AAGCCAAACGTTAAAACAGAACAGAACAAGAAAGCAAAATGTACAAGCTGTATTCTATTGGTTGGGTTTAAGCTTTTAGATGCTGGTGGGAACGTATCTGGCAGAACTCTTTCATCATAAGTTTGAACGCTGAAGTCAATGAATCAGATTGCTAATGGATGTTCCGAGAACCAGGCAATGAGAGTTTAGAGCGGATAGTGGAGATGGTTGTGGATTTCAGTAAGTCCCACCTTCCCCCATCACCCGTCACAGCTGTGGATTCCTTCCGTTTTCTGCGCTCCGTCATCACCCAGGAACTCAAGTCACCAAAGAAGGCTCAGCAGAGGCTGTTCTTCCTGAGGCAGCTGAAGAAATTCAACCTGCCAAAGACGATGATGGTGCACTTCTACACGGCCATCATGGAGTCCATCCTCTGCTCCTCCGTCTCCGTCTGGTACGCTGCAGCCACAGCCAAGGACGAGGGCAGGCTGCAGCGCGTCGTTCGCTCTGCAGAGAGGGTGATCGGCTGCAATCTGCCGTCCCTGCAGGTCTTGTTTGCTTCCAGGACCCTGAAGCGAGCTAAAAAGATCGTAGCCGACCCCTCTCACCCCGGACAAAAACTGTTTGCGCCCCTTCCATCTGGCAGGAGGCTGAGGTCCATCAGGACTAAGACCTCCCGCCACACCAACAGTTTTTTCCCGTCGGCAGTCGGGCTCATCAACAGAGCCGGTCCCCCACTGACTGACTCGGACATCCCTTTTTCCACCGATAACTCTTCTCACACACATGCACCTGTCACTTTCACAGACACAGAGTATGGCTATCTGTTTGCTGGTGCACTTTATGTTTTAACTTTTCATTTTTAACTTGTATGCCTTTATTTTTTAAACAGATTATATTTTATTCCTCTTGCACTATTGTCCTATCAGTCTTGTTGTCCATTGTCTGTCTGCTGTTATGCACCAACCGCCAGTTTAAATTCCTTGTATGTCTGACATATTTTGGTAATAAATGTTTTCTTATTTCTGAACCTCAGCTATTATTAAATACTTACATTTATTGTTTTACTGTGCTATAGCTATATAAACATACTGCATTCAGATGGTAGTGTTAAATGCATACATTGTATGCAGACGCACTGTTGGGTACTAAAAATGTTATGCAGATGAGCAGATAATAAAGTTACTGTTAGCGGCTGACACGGTTACAACTCACGCCAATAAAGAAATGAAAATGTTTCATGCATGTCAGTTTTGAATATTTGCAACGGTTACGGTTATTTTCCAATAGTTTTGTATAAATGAAGTTACAAATTGACTCCTAGATCCTAGTTTACTTAATAGTTCCAAGATATTCAATTAATTTGTTTTAAATCGTTTTGGGGAAAAAGGTCCTGATTCAAAGAGGAGAGAAAAAAAAAGTCCCGGTGTGGACTGTTGACAAACCTGGGTTTGGACGAAAGATAAGGCCAATTATGGCTGGTATGACGACGGATAATGCCTTCTGGTGGGACCACAAGCTGCATCTCGCCATTGAAAAAAAGAGCCCGAGGAGTGTCACGTGTCTGCCCGGACGCATACCGATCACAATTGGCCCGCACAGCGGGACTCGCCGTGCGAAACGGTCGTGGGATTTGAGGAACAGCGGCGAGGCATCGCTTCACTTCTCGCTGAGAAACGGCCCCTCACGCCTGAAGATATAGACATTACACTTAGTGAGGGCGTAAAAGAGGGATTGGGCCCCTTGAAGCCTTCACTGTCGCCAAGTTGAAGATCTCTCCTGTGACAGTTTAGGAAACTGACAGCAACCCAAAACATCAACTTAGTAAATATTTGACAAGATCCCGCACTCAGATTTGAGGACAGGAATCTGCAACCGACACTCAACACAGACACCTTTCTCAAACAAAACTTTTGACAACATTTCATTCTTAAGAGAAGAGAACAAAAGACTCTCATAGATAACATCTATTTACGTAGCACAGGAGTACAAAGCAAGCAAACAGACCAGCCCAGAACTGAGGGACTTAACGAGCGTACTGGGGAAAGAAAACTGGTAAATGGATTCAAAGAGCTGGCCATATTATTTTTTTTAAAGACTGTAGTTGTATATTGGTTTTCTTGTTTTCCCCAACAACTAGAAGTCACATGTCATCCTTTGCGCTATTCATACACTGATATCAGGGGCTACCATGCAAGTTGCCTGCCGCCCTTCAGGACCGTCTAACATTCACGCCCATTCATACCCCGCAGGAACCGCCGGCGAGAGCCCTGCTGAGCACAAGATGGCGGAGAGGATGCGTCTACGAGATACCTCAAAAATCCTATGAATTTAGGATCCACTCACAAGCTGGCTGCCAACATAAAATAAGTATAACAGATACTGTAGCTACATCCTTACTCTATGCAGACGACACTGCTGTGGACGTATTCTATGCAGATGACACTGTTACATATATGCATGCATGCCCAAACAAGGAAAAAGAAGGCAAGAAAAGATTAAAAAAAAATAAACTTCTTTGCAAATAAGACTGCATGCAATAATCGTTGGTAGAATTCTGTTTTGAATACTACCATGTTCTGAACGTTTCCCAGATAAGTGTAAGCCATTCAGCCTTGGACCCATTTGAGACAACTTCTGTGAACCACAAGGCATGTCTCAAACATGTGTCTCTCTGATACCATGAGGGCCCGGGGACCTGCTGTACTTTGGCTTTCAACAGCCCCAAGGTTAATAAAACAGGCTTATCGGGGACACTAGGCTGCATTACTGTTCAAAACCTCTGAATGTGGAAACTACCAATATTGCATTACAATGTCAACATTTCATCATCAGGGAATTCATAGTGTACTTTGACTTGATAACACACACATACACATACACAGCCTTTGCTTTCTTGCCCACGTTGTCATTTCATATGAATCAATCAGACTCTGAACATTGACCGGTCTTGCTCTCGGTATGCCTGTCCCAAAGACCGTATTCACAGAGACCTGCAGCTGTGCAGCTGGTGATGTGGTCTTTGCGACGAAGGAAATAAATCAGCCCCTTATTTAGTGCGGATTGATCCAATCAATTTTTTCACCACAGGAGGAAGTTGATGGCGCAATTCAAGCTCTGCATGGGGCGTGATGTGCCTTCACAAGGCACTGCGCCGCATTTTGTTGATTTAAAAAATGGACGTGTGCACATGTGGGTGAATGTTGCATGTAAAATGTACTCGCGTTCAGTTTTATGTTCAGTTTTAGAACATCAGAGTGTAATTTCTAAGTGTGACGTTAACCATCTGCAGCCTATCTGCCGCCCATAAACCTGCTTATCTTGGCCGGGGCTCCCTGCTCATCCTTTTTAATTATCCTACTTTGCCTCCTCCAGCAAAAAGGAAGTGTCAGTTTTTAATCTGCAATGCAACTATCTTTCTCTCCCCCATCTCGTTCCCACCGCCTTCTACAGTCAGCAGGTCAGGCAGACATCTTCACCCATTGCTGGGGTGGAGCGGCAGAGCACAGATGATAATGGCTGGCCAATTATTAGTCAGGAGCTGGGAAGATGGGAGGAGTGAGAGATTATGGGGGGTGGATCGATACACCACTTCGTGATATTTCATACATCACTAGGGGGCAGATTCACAAGAGCTGGAAGAATAATGGCTAACTGTCATCCACCAGCCCCCTTTTAACCACTCACAGCTGCCAGCCACGCACTCCCCCTGCAATCACAGAACATGCACTCTTCTGCTCGCATAAAAGGAAGGCAGCTTAAAATGCTTTAACAGGCGCTGCTTTATTTTCCAAAACAGTGAGTGGAATGAGCACTAACCAACTGCTCAGCACCATCGTTAGGTCTTTGCCAGCCTTGTTCTTCTCTGGTGGCTTCACTATTTTCTACATCTGCCTTTTTTCCGAGGGGCCTTGTGTTGGGTGGGGGTGTTATTTATGGCTGTTCTGTGCAAGTGGGGACACACACACACACACACAAACACACATACACACCCTTTCACAGGATGAAAGGGCAGTCACACTGCTTGCAAACATGATTTTACAGCCCTGGGTGGAATGAGTGGTGGAGGAGAGAATGAGGGCAGAGTACAAAAGGGGAAAGCCCTTAGCTTACAGGTCCCAGCAGTCAGAATGCAAACCATGTCGCAGTACACATTTGTAAAGCTGATTGTACCCAAACAGGGACAAATAAGACATCAGTTTCCACGTAGGAAGACTCAATGTTAAAGTACGTGTGCAGAGATGCATGGACACGAAAGTACATCCTCAAAGGGGAAGCTTCCTTTCTCCATGGCTCTGTTGATTGGAACAGAGTACTGACATGCCATATGCAATGTGTATTGGTATCTCTCCATCTGATGAATGCATACCAGTGTTGACGTGTATGGGGGGATGTAATGTGTATGTAACATGTGTAGTGTTTCACACATTTTAGTGTTCATACAGATTTCCCAGGATTCTCCATTAGGTATGCGTGTCCTTTTCTGTGTGACAGGACAACTAAGGCAATAATAAGTGACCAACACCGTATCAAATAAGGGTGTGGTAATTACAGATTTGGTTCATTATCCTAAACAATGAACTATATTACTGCACTCCACTGGGAAAAAAGGAACAGAAACAGACTAGTGGACCACAGACAGTCTCTCCCCGAGCCTGGGGCAAACCGGCAAGAAGAGGATGGCATGTAATTAAGTTAAATGTGTTCCATTGCCAGCAAATGGGGGAGCTACTCTGTATACACATGATGACTGAATGGGGAGTGGGGTCTATTGTAAGAGTTTAAACTTGGTAAAGCTGCAATTACTTAAATCAATTTGGGTGTAAGTTAATAGTTAATCAGTCCAAGAAGGCAGCACTGGCTGAACTGCCACAGAGCCCCTCCATGCTTTGCCATTTTTGCTTCAGTGGTTGTTTCTACGGTGCATACTGCCTCTAGTGAGGAGCACTGTGCTGGCAGAGAGCCTGTTAAAAGGGTGCAGCCTGACATCTGCTGGTGAGAGGTGACATTGCTTCACTGACCTGCTCTCTGAACTGCTCCTGAGGCAGGCAGTCAGTCACATTGACGCAGCCCAGCAGGCAGCCGGTGGGGTAGTCTTTAGGAAAACTGGGCTCTGCACATCAAACAAGAGCAAATATCCCCATACACATGTCTTTAGTTTAAGTGATGCATGCAAGGCTTTTGGAGGCAAATCACTTCCACAGGCATTCACAACCCTGTGTACCTTTTTTGTACACTTGGCGGTACATGGCTTCCACCTCAGCAATCTCCTGGGGAGTGGGTGTCTTGGCTGCAGCAGCAATCCACAGACGACCCCGATGGGATGTGTACCAAGTTCGCCCCTCGACTCTGCACACCCACAAACGCACACACACAGCGACGTTACCTCTGCTTTCATTGGCATAAATGTTCAGGTTTATTCTGTGAATTTGCTTCATCTTCAGGGCCCATCTGGGATTTTGTTTGCTCCTCACCTCTTGATGCCTTTAATCAGCAGTGAGGCCCACGGTTGGTGCATGCTGAGGCACCAGCCTCCGTCGGACATCTCCTGCAGGTCTCTGTCTTGGAGCCGCAACTTATGGCGCTCCTCTCCTCCCTTTTCCTCCGCAGAGATCTTTCCCGGCTTTGGGTTTCTCTTGTTGCTTTTGCTGCCTCCAACATCCACCCACTGGGAAGTGCATTTATTCAACCAATTCTACTGATGTTCCCAATTCATTTTTTTTTAAATGTTACAAATGTAGAGTGTAAAAGCGCCTAAGTGGGACGCCATTTTTGCTCCCAGTTTGAATGTTAGAAATGACCCACCTCTGGTGCAGACTGCATAATGTTTGGGTTGACCAGCTGGCCGAGGGTCTGTCTTCCACCATGTCTGTTGGAAACCACTGACGATTTTGACGTAGAGCCGCTGTTCATAGCCATGAGGGTCTCATCCAACCTAAACAGCAAGCGATTCAAATGGCATTAAACGACAAAACACTGCCGTTGCGGCCTTGATTCGAGGGGAGTGCAATTTTCTTACTTGTTGTAGTACTCGTTGAGGTTGTTCCCCTCGTCTATCACTTCCCTGCCAGCGAAGTCCAACGTGATCTTCCTGTCTTTGCGGGAGGCATGGCGAAGCTCTCTCAGCTCCGCTTCCTGTTTCCTCAACCTTTCTCGCTCATCGGGGGACAACCACTGATTGGATTCAGTGGCAAAGTAATCCGCCTCATCATCCAGAACCTGCGTTCTCCTGACACTGGAGTTTGAGGAGGTGGTAAAGAAAGAGGTAAGTTTTATCAGTTTCAAGCTTGCCTTCTGCAATAATCCAAATGTCCTATTAAAGGCACACAGCAGTAAATCTATCCATTGGTGAGCAGCTCTTATCTTGACTAGTGTGTTTTGTGGTACCTATTCTTGTCGTATTCCAGCAGTTTCTCTTTGTGCTGCACAGCCTTCTCCAAACCAGCCTTAATCTTGGCCTCTTGGCTTGGGAGATAATCTCTTTCTCCACCGTCTGTCACCAAAACCAAAACAAATTCACACATTACCAATTCCACTTCCCTATGGATGAGAGTGTAATTCTGACTTGTTTTGACTCTCACCTCCCATAAGCTTCTTTCGTAGTTTCTGGCTTTTGTTGGAGTCGCGTTGCAGGATCTCCTGCTCCTCTCTTGTGCACACCTGAATCAAACAAAAAAAAAAAAATCAGTGAGTAAATAATAAATATTTTAGAAAATAAGCATTGTCAGCACACAAAGTGGATTAAAATATGAAGTAATCCAAGCACTCAAAACTCTTACGTACCAGATTTTTACAGAAGAGGCAGGGCCCTGAGCCCTCCTGCTCACATACGATGCGGCCACAGCTGATGCAGTTGTTTATAAGCTTGTGCTTTTGGGCAAGGCAGTCACAGGAATGTCTACCCGGGAGTAAGATGGACAGCTTGTCTTGTCCTTCTTTAGCATAGATATTAACGAACTTACTTTTCTTCTTTGTTGAAGAAGAACTGCTGTTTTCTTGGGCCTGAGAAAGTAGAAAAAAAATGAAGACAGCAATCAAGAACAGAGGCAATACATAGATGAGGTAAACAAACTAGCCGAACTCTAAAAATGGAGTGGATCATTTATAAATATACTTCATGGGATTTTTCATTGTTTTACTAAAACAATGAGAATTAACAATGTGAAATTACTTATAAGTGATTGCAGAACAAAAGTTGAGGGCTGATGTTTACGCACCCTCATCAGATCAATGGGGGTTTTGACTGCCTCTGGCTCGGGCTCCGCTGGGCTCACAGTTAGCACATCCTGTTTGTTACGGCCCTTGCGTTTTGACTTCTTCTGACCGTCTTTGGTCACGTCTTGTGACTCTGGGAAAACAGCGCGAATTTCCGTCAACGTGGGTAGGGCATTGAAACCAATTTGATACCTCTGTAATTAAATTTTCACATTTAACCACTAGAATTTGTATTTGTTTCCAATGTTTAGTCAAGTAGTTTCCATGGTAGTTTTATTGCAGATTGTTAATGGCTGGAAGGTACCTTCATGTGCAGATTAAATGAAAAAAGAAAGTCTGATGTTTATCACACAGCCTACCTGCTGATGAAGTCGATTCCTTCAGAAGGAAAACACCTGAGGTATCTGTAGCCTGTGTTTTAGTCCTCTTCCACCTGCTGAGGAACTCATTGATGAACTGTCCTTTCCTCCCATCGGTGCCCTGCAGGAGGTCTCCCACATACTCTTCTATCTCTTCAGCATTTTCGATGGATAGAATGTATCTAGACAGCAGAACAGCAAAATCACTGCTTTATCCAAACAGTTTTTGTCAAAGTGAATGTAGAAAAAAAATTGGACCGATTTGTAAGATATTAATTTAATTTGAGATAAAACAGTTACTAGTGAATGACTTATTCTTGATTTATTTTTATTTATTAATTTTAAAAATGTAGAACAGTTCACAAGTTGAATAGTTCAAAATGTATTATTTTGTCTTCAAAGTGAATAAAAAACAACTTCACCTGGAGTAAATTTTAAATACCCTCCAGGCTAATAACACACAATATTTGTTTGTATTTTTTAACCATTTTTAACCTGACAAAAGTAAATTAATCCGATCGTTCACGTGACATAAACGGCCCAGATGCAAAAGCTACGTCACCCACGACGTGTCACTTCAAATGAGTGCATTTAACAAGTTATGAAATGAAAGCACAGGCTGACTGTTAGCTCACAAATAACGTTAGCTAGCGTTAATACACCTGTCAAACTGCCCCCCCGTTGGTGTTAACGTTACAGCTGGAGGGCCAAACTTATCTAGCGCGCTGTATTTAATAAAAAGCGGTACACGTAACACACGAGTTGGAGTAGCATTTGATACGTAGGCAACATGTTTTATAAAGAAACACATCACAGAACCACACTACCAAGCTAGCTTTTTTTATTTTTCTCCCTCACTTGGATCTCTTAGCTTGTTAGCTTGCTGGCTGGCTGTTAGCTCTTGGTCTGACGTCAGGTTTATTTTGGGCTAACGTGGACTAGCTGTGGCGTTACTTACTGGACGATGTCTTCACATGCTTCCAACCCGAACTTGTAGTGTAACTGGTCCACGCACCACTGCAACAGAGCCTCGGACATGTTTACCCGCTGGGAAGAACGTGACACTCACAAACACGAACCGAATGTAGCATTAGCGTGTCAAACGGAACCACTGTGTTTCCAGTCGGCGACATAACAAATGCACACAATACGTGGCCGCAGTGAATACCTTCCGGAATGAAACGCATGTTTGTCTTTTAAGGTTCCTCGTCACGTCAGTACAACTTAAAAAAAAGTCTGGGGCCGTTCAGACAAAACTGCAGGGCATCTTTGACAAAAGTCTACTATTTTTTGTTTGTTTCAGGAATGTATGCACATTTCCACCTCCAAGTTTCGTCAGACTTGAAATTGAATGCAATTAGTTTTTAACCAGAGAAGGTGTGAAATTGGGTGTTTTTTTTCAAATCCGTCACTAGGTGTCAACTTTGTAGTGCAGTGTAATAATACAGGTGCATTTAGACTGGACTTTACAATAACGTTATCTGTACCAAACGACTCAATTGGTCTGTATTTCAACCAACTGAAGTAAAAATCTTGTGAAAACCTTGTTATAAGATGAATGCATATTTGATTGGTTCTACTTTTCTTGATTAAATCCATTTTATGACGTTTTGTACTCCACTAGCTGCATTTTGGAGGTAAATATTGTATTTTTACTTGACTACATTTATCTAAAGGCTTCAGTTAATTTTCAGATTCAGATAGTTATACACATTCTGTCATTGTGTCTACACACACACAGGCAAGTAATATAAAGCTTATTTAAATATGAAGATAAAGATTTTCTCCGAAAATGTCTTGGCTCAATTATAACATTGCTTCTTCTTTAAACACAAACATGTATTAATGGAATGGGGAAAAGTGATATTTAATTTAATTCATTTCGATATGGATTTGTGACTTGATGGAACTTTATTAGTGTTCAGTGCAGTTTTTCATTCAGTCTTTGCAAAAAACAAGGAATAGGCCATTGAATGACTCATCTCCCTCTGCGTAATATTACCAGAGCTGCAGTGGAGTACTTTTGTCTTTGACCTACCCAGAGGGTTTTTTGGCTCTATCTGGATGTCAAACAGCCTGTAAAATCCGATAGTGGAATTCAAGGTCATAGTCGGAATAAGAATGTGTGGATGGAGCAGCAGATTATCTACAGTATATTTGTATAGAAAGTGCAGATCTGTGCAGCGATGTTTGTCTTTTTTCAAAGACGGTTTCTTTGGAATTCACCCAACGTTCTTTATTTGAAAGGACAGACTGATGGGGGTGAGAGGAGGCTGCGACACGTGCGACGCAGGTCTCATAACTGGAATAAAAGCAAAGATGTTGAGGTCGTGTTGCATCCTCTGTAACCACTGAGCTGCTAAGGCACCAGAAAAATGTGAACCATCTCACATGAAAAGCAAACTATTCTGACCTCAGAGCAGTCACGTGAGCAAGACGGGATAACAAACACGACAAACATGGTTTTGCTTTTATAATTTGTATTTATGAAAAGGCGACTTACAACATCACATAGATATAAATGTTCATGTGATGCAACAAACACATTTTAATACATGATATATGTGCTTCTAATTTTTTTGTATAATAAGTAGACTGTTAGAATTTTGTTAATCGCATTATAATGAACAATAACACACTCAACTGCACGTAGATTGCAAGTAGATTCTAGTACTAGATTATCAAATTACCCAACTTAAAAAATGCTTTAAAGTATCAGTATTTCTGGGTTATTTCAGAATTGTACAAGAGAATTAAATGTTAAAATGTTCCTTTAATATGCCACAAGGCTGTGTATTATAAAAGGCAACGAATGGGCATAAATTAGTTGTTAGTATTTATGCCGTAGATACAATTTGCCTGAAGTCGCAGTAACTGTATACAATTTACTGCCACATTAGATTACAAATGGTTACTCTGTGATGGGAGACATTGGTGTCCTATCTTTTTTTGTGATGAAGACCTTAAGTGGAAAAGTCCTTGGAAACGGCATCCACAAAGTTGGGTGCTGACATGAGGATCCCGATGGTGAAGAGGATAGTGAAGAGGGAGAAAGCCAGGAGGCAAAGCCTGTCGATGACGGACGCGGCGAATTTCCACTCGTTGCACACCGACTTGTCATCGTCTTGGTGACGGAAGCGCTTGGCGATGTATCGCACCTCCTCCAGGATCTTGGCCAGCTCTGGCTCCACGCTGCCCGCCGGAGAGCCGTGACCCGCGGGCAGGAGCAGCTCATCCTCTCCCGCCCCCCCGGCCAGCCGAGCGCAGAGGACCCCAGAGTCGGGCGAGGTGGCGGCGTACTTGATGCTGTCCAGGCCCCGGATGCCGACGTAGAGCAATTTGCCGTTGGTGGATTGGGGGGCTGGGGCCCCGGCACCGAGATCCACGCTGGTCACGCCGGTCACGCTGTTCTGCGGGGCCTCGTCGTGACGGGCCGGGCCCGGACGCCCCTCACCCGGGCGCTTCATGCGCAGGAACCAGGCGCACCAGTTCAGCAGGATCACGCGGGTCTTTTGGGTCATGGGTGAGAGAATTATGAAGAAATGAACAAGGCTTTTAAAATCAATGAAGGGAGGTGACATCAACCAGAGAATATCCAGCTTTATGTTTCTTTTCTCCCAAATCATAATGAAAAGCTTGTTATTTTGTGGTCTTTAGATACAACTATTTAATTGGAAGATTTATAGAAATACATGAGCCAGACTTTGAGTTCTCCTGGTAAATATTTGTAGCTAACTTTCTGAACACCAGAGGACCTCTGGCCTGGAAGACACCCCAAGCAAATTCAACTCAATCATAACGAACCACACCCTAATGGCTAATGGGGTCATACGAGTCACAAGTAATGGTGCAAAATGAAACCACACTCACCCACTTTGGCATCTTGCCTCCATCAGGGTCATGGTGGTGATATTGTAAGACCACAACTGTGGCCATTATTGAGAGACCAACAATGACCATGATGGTGGCAAAGTACTGAGCTGGGGGAAGAAGAAATAGAGAAGGCAGTGAGAATGGAAACAATAAAACAGATGAAGGCAACATTGCAAGAAGTCCCGAGAATAAAGTGAAAGGTTCCCCTCCTTCTATGTCTTAAAAAATGCACTGCTTCAAATATGGTGACTCAGAGTTCTATATACATATAAATACATTTAAAAAAAATCAGAATACTGGTTGACCGCTTGAGATGAGTTACACTGAGAGGTGAGAGAACCCACGATGGGAAACGACTGCACACATTTACCCCGGTGTCGTCACGCTGATAGCCGTTGACACCCGCAGCGACTGCTTTCAACGTCACACCGGCGCTTACCTAGTAAAGGCACCGAGTCCGATGTGGCGGGCATAATCTCTGCAACCAGGAGCATGAAGACAGCCAGGGAGAGGAGGACCGTAATGCCTGCGAAGGAGACCACGTCTCTGTAAGCTCTAAACTATTAAGCAAAGTGGAAGGAGGGCAAAGTGCTTGAAATGATACCGTTGGCTGTGCCCCTTCATTCCTAAAACATAGGGGGCATTTTTTTCCTTAGAGTTGGAATGGTCTCAGTTCTTTTCTTTTTTTTCTTCTTCCTGTTGAATACTTTATTCCTAGTTGGAGTAAAATCCTCCAAAACACCAGAATGATCTTGTGCTGCCTTGTATTATTGTTCACCTTGTTTCAGATGTCACAGCACCCTTCAACAATGAGCTATTGCAACGTGGAGGGCAATGCCCCCAAAATCTTTACTTCTGTGTGAACCGCTGAAGCTTATAATGTGTCACAGTCACTGGCTGCGTCAACCGAGAAGGTTCAAGCACAGAACGACACACAGGTTCCTTAAGAAATACTTGTGAGCAGAAGGTTTTCACTAATGAGCTGCCATCGCCAAGCCACCGGCTCTTTGGCTGTCTGACTAGCACACTGAACTCCTCAGCGGGGTTAAGGGTCGCAGCGTAATTAACTGCAGGCATGCTGGTGCCACTGAACTCTACATCTTCTGATGTATTATTATATATTTGCAAGGAGAAAACATGTGAATCATAAATATCATAAAATGAAACGTCAGTGAAGAATCTGGGGATCGATGAGTCAGTCTTTTGTTTGGGATTGATCGTGAAATCAAGTAAAAAATATTTTAGCTTGGAACATTTTCTTGTTTTAACAAACAGAACTAAAATTAAATTAAAATTTTACAGAGAGAGAAAACAATTACGATCAGACTTCGAAATCAGCAGAATGTTTTTGAGATCTTGTTTTTAATCTAAATAGCTCGAAACCAATTTGTTCTAGCAGAATGAATGCTTCATTTATTTTGGATAATCCAAATCTGTCCATAATCCAAATTTGCTTGTGATTTGGATGGACCAATTTTTTAAATCGAGTACAAACAAAATCAATATGAAAATTAATATTCAAAACGAGCAGACTTTCACAATAAGAATCCACAGATAATTGAATTCCTCTTGATCCATTTGTGCATTTTACAAATGTAATGCTCATGACCAAATTCTACTGAAGTTAAATCTGTGAATTAAAGCTGAAAACACACTTCTAAATGATGTTCTCTAAAAATAATAATAATAATGTCAGGGCTGTGGTTGATATACTGACTTCATATACAGTAGATCTGTGAGCTGACACACACACAATTTACCACAGGAATATAACTTATGACGTATGCCTGACTTGTGCTGTGGACTGCAGTATAAAAAACACATTTTAAACACATTTAAGGGACATTCAAATCTGCACAACAGCATATTATGCTTTCCTCCAACTGTCTGTGAGCTATCAAAACATCAGAAAGAACACACACAGACACACACACACCATCAACCCACAGATGCTGTCTCCACCCATCCTGTGTAATTTATTCATGAAATGAGCTCAAACATTCAAGTCAACTGTGACAATTGAGATAAGATTAAACAATTTTCCTGCTCCACTGACAGCGAAGTCAGTCACTCAGCGCTTATTATCAGATTACTTCACAAGGCCACAGAGGAAGTGGATTAATGAAAAAACAATGTTTTTCACGGAACTGACTGATTATCCTGCAGACAAATGGACTGGAAACGAAACGATGGAGAATTATAGAAAGGTTGCCTTTGTGTCGAAAAACACACGGGCTCTAAAGGATTTGATTTAATTATGATCTCATTAGTTTGAAGCTGGATTTTTTATTTTAATTGCCGTTAAAAAAAACCTCTCTCTAGTCAACATGGCAGAAAACAAATTAACCAGTGAACTCTTTTCAGAAAGGAGTAAATGCATTTTAGGGAAACCTGTCACCTCGGTAACATTACTGGCTTGATTGAAAGGTGCACTGTGGTGCAGAAAGAAAGTAATACAGCTGGTAAAAAAGTGTATAAAGGGATGTTTCTCATTCATACAGACTACAAATTTGAAAAACTTGCTCCATCACAACAACAGCCGAGGGATACAGAGGTGGGCCAAACAGGAGAAATCAACTTTTGGCTTGCAATGGTTGGAAAGCTTAGAAAATACTGCAGACTATTCAGATTTATTTCATTAACTGGCGCATTTACTATATTCAGAAATGTGTGGGCAAGTGACCGAGGATGTCTCATCACTGTGTAGTTTCATGCAGATCCAGATCCATAATTCACTGGCGGCTTGGAGGTATGAGCCATTTTTTATTCAAACATTAATGGAGATATTTCTTCTCATAATTTATACAGCGAGCAAAGATCAATAACAACTCAAGAAAAGAATAATTATAAGAACCCACTGTAGGACCGTTTCATCGAATTATTGTGGTCCAGGTTTTTCTTCTGGTCAATGTTTAAATAGAACGGAATAAAGTGAACAGTGGAGGATTATGTGGCGTCTCGTGGTGAGTCCGCAGTTTGGCACAAACTGAATGTCCCTCCACTCACTTCTCTCTTTACAATACCGACGTAACACGAGCAGTTGAGTGCAAAACCTCGGTAACGCCGTTCGCCTCCCCAAAAAGCCATTGTGCCCGTAATGACGCTAATTTAGGAGCACTGGAACGGTGTCTGGCAGAGACCGGTGTAACAATAACTTAATGACGTCACCTTAACAATGCAATTCAGCAACGTGTTTCATACCCAGCGAGATCTTTTCCCCAGAGTCGGCGGGCAGGAGGAAGACGAGCAGCGCCAGAGTGGAGATCAGGACACACGGGAGCAGCAGGTTGAGGCCGTAGAAGAGGGTTCGCCTCCTCATCACCAAGGTGTAGGTAATGTCAGGGTACGGCTCCTCGCAGCAAACGTATGTATGCTCGTTCCTCTGTCCTTTAATCTCTGTGGGAGGAAAGGAAACACGGTGTGCTCCGGTAGAAATGAAAGTTGCAGGCGAATCATCAATTCGAATTCTGAACATCTTCCCAGGCCGCCTTGTCCTCTCTCACCCACGAGATCCCACTCTCCGTTGGGGATGTAGCTTGAGGTGTCGGCCTGCAGTAACTTCAAGTCCACGGACCAGCCGCCGTAGGTCCAGGAGCCGAACTTGAGCTCACACTTCTGGACATCGAAGGGGAACCAGCGCAAATCCATACGGCAGCTGCTCTTGAGGATCCCTGTTGTGGCGAAGTAACAGAACAGATATCTGAGATTCAAACGACACATCCGGACGTCAGGGACCTCAAGAGGAGGGCAGAGTCAAGGTCAAAGTTGAATGTTTTGTGAGGTGAATAATTTGAAAAAGACAGATAAGATAAAAGATATCTTCGTCACAACGGATGTACAGTCCAACCTCGAATAAATACAGACGTTTAGTCACAAGTGCAAGCAACATCATTTGGGCACAAAAGGACCCCCCCAGCATTAAGACTTGCTTTGGGATGTACCATACTTCACCGGAAGACTGTTACCTGGCGAGAGAGAGACAGCAACGGGTGCAGTTTTATTCAGAGCTCTGAATAGAATTTCAATTACTCTGTAATATAGGAAGCCGACGGAGATTGAAGAAAGAAATGACAGCTGGAGAGGAAGCAAGAGAGGTGTTACTCCGATATCCAATATGACAACGAGAAGAAAGTGGCCGGTAATCCTTCAGCAGAGGCAGCCACCAAACCCATTTCCATCATTTAAGAAAGATACGAAGCATCCGAAGTAAACAAGCTCTCTCTCCGCTCTCCCGGTGCCGTGAAGATGATGAACCTCAGCGGGGAGCGGCGAGCAGAAAATGAAAGAATGAATGCTATTTACCGCAATGAACCTCGCTGACAAAGAGGAAATGATTTGGACAGGTTGACTCACTCGATGCAGTTGCGTTGAGCTCAAGTGGCGAATAAGCATCCTGGGCCAACGTGGCGTTCAACGAGACTTTATTTGCAACAGAGATGAGAGGCAATTCGCCTGTGACAGAGGCAATCCCTCCAGTAGAAAGCAGGCGTTTATGCCTACATTGATTAAGACGAGGAGGCGAGGCGGGCCAGCGCTTTAGCGAGGTAGGAGAAAAAAGAGAAAGGGGGAATGGAGAGCCGCCGTGACAGGAAGTTTCAATGTGTTGGTGTCGATGCGTGTGTTAATGTGTACACACGGATTGATGGCTGGAGGCAGAAGGTGGAAAGGGGAATTGTGTGGATAATGGCGGCGGATCAACGCGAGCCTTTGACATGAAACACGGGGGATAAAAAAGTTGAATAACAGTTTGACAGTTTGGAGGAATACATTAATTGACCTCCCCCCAACAAATAGTTGGATTAGAAGATAAATACCACTCTTCTATCCGTCTGTTAAACAGCAGGTTTGTTTTTATCATCTTAGCATGGCATGAAAACTGGAAATGAGGGTTAACAGCTAGTTTCGCGCCTTGTAAAAAGTACAAAATTCACCCACCTGTGAAGCTAGCTAATCTTACAATGCACATTTTATTCTTCCATGTAGGCCTCCATACAAACAACTTGTTGCCTTTATACATTTCATAAGTTAATAGAAAGCAATAGAATGTGTTAGCTCCTTTAGAGCTGCTGTACAGAAATAGTGTTTGCACATCAGCCAACTCAGAGCTAGAAAGTGGTACCTAAAAATAAGACAATAAATAATTGACTGAAATCTGTCTCTAATCAGACTCTGTCTCTGCTTTCATCTCACCAAAAACATCATAGACACAGAAATCAAGAGAGAGGAATTTCTTCTTTTGGTAAATTATGTTTAAAGTATGAATGACTGTTGAGGTCGCCATCACGGTGCTATAGAAATAATAGAGAATAGGATCAAAAATGTCCCACTTTTGGTTTCTCTTTTTTTCACTCATAGTAGAACCCAGAAAATGTACAAAAGAATAGCATTCAATTTCATTTTAGCTCTAACATAATGACATCAGATTCCCTTCATGCAATCAAGTAACTGTCTTATGTTTTCTGACATATTATTACGTATAAGTATAAGAGTGCCGAGAGCACTCATCTTTCATTTTTACTTCATTTGTCTATTCTGTTTCTGACTGCAGCTGGAACACGGGGTTCAGTCACGTGGTGTGTGTGAAGAGCAGCATGTCCTTTCTTTCAGAAAATATGGAAGACAGCCCTTACATTTCTGCATATATAAGTTTAGCTGTGAATATTAGCTGTCTGAGACTATTTTTAAATACTTATCTTTTTCCATTTGACTGAGAGTATGCCTCTTACCTGGAGGTAAGTGGAAACAGTTGCCAGAGGTATTGACCAAAATCTTGGTGTGGGAGGTAGCATCAAAGTTTTCATCAGCACTGTGAACAACATGGAGATGCATCAGCACACTTTGACAAATTCCTGCAGTGATGCAGCATTTGTTTGAATCAATAACAGCCATGCAACATAAATACGGATGAACCAGCGAGTGATACTGAACAAATCAATATCATGTTATTGACTGTAAGTTGATCATTTTCTCTCATTTACTCTTAGAATGCCCTTAGAATTGTCCAAACTCCCCCCTACATGGGGCCCCTGCCTCTTTGGTATGCTGCTCTTCCTTTCTCCCACGCAAGCTCGGTTGTTTTTCGAGTTGGCTGCTGGAGCCGTCGTAGAAGGAGAATTGCACAAGCGAAAGGACCTCCCATGGAACGCACTTTGGAGTCATTGACCGAGCCGTGGAGCGCAAAACATCTGGCTGCCCGAAAAAACATCTGTCGCTCCTCCTTCACGTCGGACTACTCTCTGGACACAAGACTCATGTGTTGGAAAAGGACAAAGCACAAGCAGAGTAATGCAATGAGGCCCAGATACTAGAGGGGCTTTCCTGTTTAATGGCTCTGTCAAATGCATTAAAGAAGAGGCAAGTTCTTTGTGGAGGGCTTCACGTTCAGATTATTTAGGAGGATTTAAGGTAAATCCAGAATAAAGAGTTGCGTCGTCCATCTCATTCACTAACTGAATTTTCCTGAAAAAAATCATATCAATACGACTTTGTGTTCCATTAAATATGAAGATCCAGTCAACCGCCAGTTATCTTAACTTAGCCTGGAGACTGGCTACAATTGTCCATGTATTTATTATCAGTTTATTCCACTACAATGCTGTGTTTGTATAATAACTTCTCTCTTAATAACATGCACGTTCAGACACATCTCACTGCATAGAAGCAAGGGACGTGTTGCGCATATGGAAGGTGAAAGGGGATTAAACTGCGTTTGATAAGATGTAATAAACCAAGACGACCTGTAATAACACGGTGTCAAATAACAGAAGTGTCAAATAAACACAATTTATTTTCGGGGGTATTCTACACATTTTAAAGCCGAGAATAGGTTCTGCACAGCACCCCTGAAAACTGTGGAATAGGTGAAGCTTGTGAATGAAGCTTTTCATGACTTCATGTACGTTGTACAGAGGTCTTACCATTTGGAGCCAAATGCTGGTTGTCAAGACCTGGTTCTTCTCATCCTGTTATAAAAGATCAAGTGATATTTAGTAACATATATCATTCAGGTGCTTTTGTAAAAAAGAATTTTCTGTTTTAGTTTCAATAAAAACGTATTAAGAAGAGGCGTTTATTGAAATTAAGACTAGAAGACATCCAAAGCCATTTGTTAATTCTCCATTAATGTCTCAAAAATGGATGAAATATAACAGGAACACCAATTTATGAATGAAATATCTGCTAGTTTTTACTCATATTGCAAAGGTGACTATTTCTTCATGAGATTGATTTTTTTGCTGTAAAATTAGAAGACAGTCACAATCTTCATATTAAGGGTTCATAACAACGCCAACAACATGCGCAGTTATGTGTGGGAATTCCTTTTTTACATACCACATCTATGATCTGTATGAGGCTGAGGCCCAATTCAACGGTGAGATTCTGCGAGTCGTTGGAGACTGGTCTCTCCAGCGGGTTGTAGTCAGTCATCAGGTCCTTGAACAGCCTGCGCTCGCCTGGCCCTTGAAGAGAAACTGCAGAAGACAGAGAAACCTAAACATGAAATACTTCCTAAATCTCCTAAGACAAAATGTGAGCACGACACAGACTGTTAGTCACATCCGTTGCCAATTCCTTGTCAATTACATTGGTGAACTTCCTTTAACAAAGACATCCTGCAGCGCAAACAACCCTTTTTCTACTCTAAACGGAGCTTAATGACTTTCTGTTTGACTGCTTTGAGCGCAGCTTCTGTCGATAGAATAAAATAGCTCGAGCTATTTGTTCGGGAAAACGAGACAAAAGATTTTTTTAGGCCGCGGCTCAAAGTTAGGATTGGTAGGTCGCTACCACAGCGTGTGGGAATCGTCATACACCCCCCATACACCAGGTGACTCTTGTGTTCGGCAAAGTTTTTTCTTTTTTTTAAATTAAATCTAAGTCAGAGGCCAGGGTGGTGAAATTCCAAATACACTTGTTCTTCGTCTTACGGTCAAACCTGACCAGCCGCTAATAAACCACACACCTATATTGATCAGCTTTAATAATGTAGTAGAGACGGACCAGGCCTTTAGGTACCTCAGATATGTGCTCAGACATCAGACATGACTTCTCTCCTTATGGAAGCCTCAATGTACTTGTGCAAGAGTCGGAGCCAGATTATCATTAAATCAACTGCCTCAATCAAAAAGGATCCCTTGAGACACAACATTATGTCACAAAGGGTCCTTGAACGTATTTCCACTTGCAATGTTACTCACATTTTTTATTTTAAATCTAAATTTGCACGCGACTTGAGTCCTTTGAACCAGTGCACAGGCAGTAAAGGCACAACAACAGCGCTGTCTTGGGTTTTGTTCAGCGAACCATTACAGTGAAGGTCTTTGAATGATGAACTTAGTGTGACACTTCCAGTGTTTTGGAGAAGATCTCTATTCCTGTCTCTTAAATTCAAATTCAAATGGAGCTTTATTGATAATGAAAGTTCCAAGGATAGTTTTTGCCAAGTAATCACATTTTATATCCCGGGTTAAGATCTAAAAAAAAAAAGTCAGCGTTTGATTCCTTCAAAGATATCAGTTATTTGAAGTGTAATGTCATTTCCATTTGTCTTTGGGTAAAAGGAGTTAAAACCACAGTAAATATGGGAAAAGACTTTTCTTTTGGTTGCTCAGTGACAACACTGTTAATCTGAATGCATCACAGTACGTTTAAAGGGCACAAGTCTCCTGATTCGAAGCCAATAAACTCATGCGTCTTTTTTAGAATATTTCTTAAGTTGTGTTGCCTGCATGTGTCTCTTCCACGGAGCGCCCCCCTCTTCGAAATATAGCACAGCTTCGACCCCCCAAGAAAAAAATACCATGATATTTTAACTCACACAGCACTATGACTCCAATCCACAAAGCCATGAGCATTTAAAGCGCATTGGAAATGAATGCAGGTTGAAAATAAAGGCAAAATAAAGAACCCCCCCGCAACATTATACTTTGTAGTATTTCTAGTAGCCAATTACGTAACGAGAACGATGGCACACACGTGACCCCTCTGCCCCTGACTTTAATTGCATTTCATTAAAAGCAATTAGAGCGCGCGCTGACTGCCTACCTTGCACCGCGAGCGCGGCGACCGCGAGAAAGAGCAGAAGATGCAGAGAGTCCATGTTGAGCCGAGCGCGGAGAGTTTCTTCTGAACCCGCTGAGGGGCTGCGGGGAGGATGAGGAGGATGAGGAGGATGAGGATGTTGTTGTGCGCTGAAGTAACTCCTCCTACCAAAGCGAGGGCTGCTGCATGGCAGGACAGCCGACCGATTGCATGCACACTGCAGGCCGGTTGTTTTGCTGGACAACTGTCGTATTAATTTCTGCAAAGTCCAGCCTGTGTTACGCTCAGACACGTCGGAATGATCCTCACACACGTGTGCGGTCTTCGTCTTGAGCTGAAGCTGTTGGCTCGCTGCGATGTTGTTTCTGTACTTTTTAAGAAAGTGTTCAAGTAGTTTGAAAGGGGATGCACGCTGAGGCTGAAAGAGCATTAAACACAATAAAGGAACTTTTTCTTAAAGCAAAATTAGGTGACATCTGCTGGGCGCTGAACACAATTACAACTGTATTGTGGAGTTTGTTTGGTTCTTATGTTACTTGTGATCAAAGTTGTTGCAAAGACAAACTGTCGGCAATGAACAACACGATAGAGCAAACTATTCCCTCTGGGTGGTTGGGCGGTGCATGGATGGGAAATCCATGATCATCCACGCCTACACGGCCAATACATACATCCCAAATACACAACCAATCAAAAGAATGTGCTAAAAAATGGTGAAAACTTCTGGGAACATGCAGTAGTCGGTGTAAAATACTTTGTTGTATTCATTATGAAGCATCAAAAATAACCAGTGAAGACCGTAAAATAGAAAACCCTTTCAGGGACACATCACAAATATCAAATTAATACTTAAAGACCCAAATGGAGGTCATATGCGCATAAGTAAAACATTTTAAACGTATATTAAACGTAAATTCGTATAGTAAAACTGTATTTGATTTAATGAAAACTCATAGTGTAGGTTTCCAGAGCAGGTGGTGAACTGTGTTTACATATTCCCCCCTTGGCGTGAGTTAACATCTGCATAAACCACCTTTCCCTGCAAGATAAACACCAACGTGCTGTGCTCTAGAGCGCCTTTTCTTCGGAGCGTGGCGGCTAATTAACTGGCGCTGTTCGTTCGGCTCTTTGCTAGAGAGCAAAAGTCCTATGGCGTAAGATTTCTTGTGCCGCTGGTTTGGGGACAGCGATATTGCAGGTGTACAGATTGAAAATCCCTCAGGGGAAAAATTGTAGTTTGTGATTTTAGGCTACAAAAAATAAATTAAATTGAATAAAAATAAATAATACAGAATAATAATAATAATTTCTTTTTAAATCCTGTACATAGGGGGGATTTTCATATTTTGTCATTTATACTCAGCTATTTATTTACCTGTAAACATATAAATGCTGCTATAGCAAAAACATGTATTTGTGTTTCCCCAAATTTCCCCATGGGGATTAATAACGTATATACCTATCTATTTATACAAATCTATCTATATAAAGTCAGCTCCAGGACCCCTCCGCCCCTCATCTTTCGTGCACCTCCATATACAGGCAGGTGCCTGTGTTATTAGGGTTGGAACTTGTGAATTGGCTACACGTCGTTACTTCGCTTTCATATTAGCTTCAAATCCTCTGCTGCAATATGATTGGTCGGTTGAGTCGAAAGGGCGGGAACAAGGCGGCAACCAGGAAGTGAATTTGACTGTGACAGGACGATGCCAGTTGTAGCGTTAGTTTAACGCAGTTCTCTTTCGCCGTTAATCAAACACCGCAGCGGGAATGCAGCCTGTACGAAGTCGTCGAGGCAAAGATTTACCCTCCACAAAAAAAACGAGGTCTGTTCCATTAACACTAGGCTGACGTCATCGTTATCCCACTGACAACCGACAGTTGCTTTAGCAAAGCAACGTTAGGATGATAACTAACTTCTTTATATGCTCATTTAACCACTCCGTGTGTTGTGACGTTAATTATCGTGCAGTTGTGTCCTGAAAGTATCTTGTTTGCTGTTTACTGGTCAAAAGGAACTGCCTTAATTGTATTATGTTGCATAAGCTAACGTTACCATAAACAAGCGTTGGAGCAAATAAGGTGGATACATTGCTTATTAGTAAACCCTACAATAAGAACATAAACCACATACATGAAGATGTAGCATCCATCCCTAAAATAAGCACCAATTAAATTCTAGTCAATCACAAAACAGTTGGAATAAACATTATACAGGTAATCCTCCCAACGTGCATCTCAGGGTTACATACAATATGCTAGTGAAATGGTTGCTAATAGCAACGGGATATGTGGGAGGCAGCAGTGAGGCTTTCCAGGTTGACAGCTCTGTTAGTGATCCATATTCACGCTGCTGGTGTTGACAAGCGGGCTGAAGAACCCACAGCGTACACAGCGGCGCTCATCCTTTTGTTGTCCTGGTAAACATCCCCAACCACAGCGTCTGCGCTCAGTGTGCAGCCGGAAGCTACAGGTTAAAGAGATGCACATAAGGCACCACGAGTTGAACAGCCAAAACATATTTTATACATATTATCCATTGATTCCAGAAGTTAGTGTTTTCAAACTTTCACTCTTAACTGCGAAATACTTCCAGAAAGGTTTGTTTTATTTTCATGAGATACGCACATCTTGGATAGGTGAGACTGAGTACTTTGTTACATTTAATATGAAGGATCATGTGGCCAAATATTTATGATAACAGTTCAATAGATTAGTTAAAAAGACGTAAATGTGTTTTAACCTGAATTTACTGCAGTAGTAAATACTTTATTGTATACTTTATTACTTTATCCCAGAATTACAACCGTGTCTTTTGCATCTCAACTTCTTTTCTGCCCTTTGCTGTTGTAATGTTGCTTTATTACGACGACTCTTTATTTGTATGTTGACAGCACTCACGGTCGCAACTCCCCATGGGATACTTATTCAGAAGTTACCCTCATTCTCCTCTGCTACCCACAATTCACTCGCTCTAAATGAATTCCCCAGAGGTGGAGGTATGGTTGAGTTGAAGTTGAAAGAGGGGGAGGGAATTAAGTTGCAGCAGTATAATTCAAAGAGTCTCAAATCAAGGCTTTCCTCAGAGGGCCAATAATAAAGTACAATGCGTTTCCCCCCATCATTAGTAGATGGGAGAGAATATTGTTTCTAATGGTATTTGTTCAGAACTTACTTTCAAAGCCTGATCAATGCTTCTATACAGCATTTTATACATACTCATATAATGCTCTTCTTGGCAAACCTTTTATAAGTTTATCAATTTGTCTTAACGATGTATTGTTCCCAAGCTCTCATCTACTATTTTTTTCATCTTTTGATATAGACAGTTGTGTTTAATCTAAAAAAAAGTTAACAAGTACATTCACTTACACATTGATCACGTTTGAACAAGACAAAACCGCAACGTTTTCTATTCCAAAAGGAATGAGGTCCAGCTTGGTTTGGTACAACTGTGGGATTTATTTATCATTCAAATTCTGCTTGTGGTTCTCTCTCTGCAGCATGTTCTGAATACGTCCTATGACAACATGCATTCTGCTGCTCTGCAGACCTCATGAAACAAGAGCACGAGTCTGAATATTTCACCATATTTTGACTTTTTGCCACCTGAAGATATATATTTCATTCAGATGGATTTTATGTTCTGTTAGCTCAAGGCCATTTTCCACTCAGTGTAAAATAGAGTTACAGTTGTGGTATTTTGAAGAAACTGAAGCCGTTCCCCTCTCCTCTTTTAAACAAGAAAATGGGTTTAAAATGGGGCTAACAATTATATTTTAACAGAATAACTAGTCTCCTGAAACGTGTTAGTTCAACAATGAATATGAAAGCTCGTATATGAAATGACTCTCATGCAAGAAACCTTTTGTTTCTTTATCCTGAACTTACTTTGAACATCAAGGACATTGAGATTTGATCGTACAAGTGTCCTAAAGATTCATCAAAACCTCTTAACAGCAAAAACTTGACATTAATCACTTGTTTCAACCTGATGAGTTCCCCCTGATGCCGAGTAGGTCAAGCTTTTTGAGAATTGATCATTTATAAAGCCTAGAGCTCCATTTGTGGAGTTGCATTTGCAAAACATGTGACCTAAGAGCAGATAGAACAGAGCTTCAAGTGCCAATGGCAGATATCAGCAGATGAAAATATGACAAATTTAGCAGGTTTCAGGGGTCTGAAAAAAATAGAATAAATTACAGGCCAAAGGTCACATTCCAAGCCACAAATGATCTTAAATCACTCATGCATGCAGTGTAACAATGCATCTGTAAAGAGTGATGCGTTTCTTGCATGAGGCCCAAAAAATTTCTCAATGAAATATGTTTACAACAAAGAGCCAAAACAAATAATTCCTGTGTTACAGAAAAATCTTCTCTGTCGCGGCTCATGTATCACATACACACACACACACACACACACACACACATATTGTGAGGAGGCCAGTGCATGCATGCCGACACCATGCATATTCAATTACAGTGCAGCACCCAGTGGTTTGGGCCTCACAATACCCACCTGTTATAAAGCAGAATGTCTGGCTTCCATAGGAGATCTTGAGGAAATCTAATATTGGTCACACCTGTATAGTCTGATGCATTCCACCGGAGGTAAGAATCCTCCCACTGCTGTAGGATCCAGAAAAAAATGTATTTTTCACATTTCACATCAACAGCTTCAACGTATCCTTTAAACCTGTACATTTTGTGTGGCTATTTTGGATTTAGAAGAGGGTCCATTGCAATAAAGGAGAAAAGGGACACACAAGAGAACACATTTTCTTTGGACTGCAGGGTTAACTTTCATTGAGAATGGATTCTGGCGACCCCTGTGGATAAAAGTGTTTCCGAGTACCAGAGTCACTTTAGTTTTCCATATCCAATTAATATTTCCTCCCAATCTCATCTCAAGCGCTAGAATAGTAACCTGTAATGTAGCATCCCACAGAAGATCATTTAGGAGGATTTAAGGTAAATCCAGAATAAAGAGTTGCGTCGTCCATCTCATTCACTAACTCCACATCATTGACTTTACTTTGACATTCCTTCTATCGCTGTTGAAATATTTTGACCAAACAGGAGTAATTGCTTTCCTGGCGAAAATCATATCAATACGACTTTGTGTTCCATTTAATATGAAGATCCAGTCAACTGCCAGTTAGCTTAGCTAAGCTTAGCTTAGCATAAAGACTGGCTACAATAGTCCATGTATTTATTATCAGTTTAATCCAACACAATGCTGTGTTTGTATAATAACTTCCCTCTAACAACATGCGTGTTCAGACAAACAGGAGTAATTGCTTTCCTGGCGAAAATCATATCAATACGATTTTGTGTTCCTTTAAATATGAAGATCCAGTCAACCGCCAGTTATCTTAACTTAGCTTAGCATAAAGACTGGCTACAATTGTCCATGTATTTATTATCAGTTTATTCCAATACAATGCTGTGTTTGTATAATAACTTCTCTCTTAATAACATGCATGTTCAGACACTTCATCTCACTGCGTAGAAGCAAGGGACGTGTTGCGCATATGGAAGGTGAAAGGGGATAAAACTGCGTTTGATAAGATGTAATAAACCAAGACGACCTGTAATAACACGGTGTCAAATAACAGAAGTGTCAAATAAACACAATTTATTTTCGGGGGTATTCTACACATTTTAAAGCCGAGAATAGGTTCTGCACAGCACCCCTGAAAACTGTGGAATAGGTGAAGCTTGTGAATGAAGCTTTTCATGACTTCATGTACGTTGTACAGAGGTCTTACCATTTGGAGCCAAATGCTGGTTGTCAAGACCTGGTTCTTCTCATCCTGTTATAAAAGATCAAGTGATATTTGGTAACATATATCATTCAGGTGCTTTTGTAAAAAAGAATTTTCTGTTTTAGTTTCAATAAAAACGTATTAAGAAGAGGCGTTTGTTGAAATTAAGACTAGAAGACATCCAAAGCCATTTGTTAATTCTCCATTAATGTCTCAAAAATGGATGAAATATAACAGGAACACCAATTTATGAATGAAATATCTGCTAGTTTTTACTCATATTGCAAAGGTGACTATTTCTTCATGAGATTGATTTTTTTGCTGTAAAATTAGAAGACAGTCACAATCTTCATATTAAGGGTTCATAACGCCAACAACATGCGCAGTTATGTGTGGGAATTCATTATTTACATACCACATCTATGATCTGTATGAGGCTGAGGCCCAATTCAACGGTGAGATTCTGCGAGTCGTTGGAGACTGGTCTCTCCAGCGGGTTGTAGTCAGTCATCAGGTCCTTGAACAGCCTGCGCTCGCCTGGCCCTTGAAGAGAAACTGCAGAAGACAGAGAAACCTAAACATGAAATACTTCCTAAATCTCCTAAGACAAAATGTGAGCACGACACAGACTGTTAGTCACATCCGTTGCCAATTCCTTGTCAATTACATTGGTGAACTTCCTTTAACAAAGACATCCTGCAGCGCAAACAACCCTTTTTCTACTCTAAACGGAGCTTAATGACTTTCTGTTTGACTGCTTTGAGCGCAGCTTCTGTCGATAGAATAAAATAGCTCGAGCTATTTGTTCGGGAAAACGAGACAAAAGATTTTTTTAGGCCGCGGCTCAAAGTTAGGATTGGTAGGTCGCTACCACAGCGTGTGGGAATCGTCATACACCCCCCATACACCAGGTGACTCTTGTGTTCGGCAAAGTTTTTTCTTTTTTTTAAATTAAATCTAAGTCAGAGGCCAGGGTGGTGAAATTCCAAATACACTTGTTCTTCGTCTTACGGTCAAACCTGACCAGCCGCTAATAAACCACACACCTATATTGATCAGCTTTAATAATGTAGTAGAGACGGACCAAGCCTTAGGTACCTCAGATATGTGCTCAGACATCAGACATGACTTCTCTCCTTATGGAAGCCTCAATGTACTTGTGCAAGAGTCGGAGCCAGATTATCATTAAATCAACTGCCTCAATCAAAAAGGATCCCTTGAGACACAACATTATGTCACAAAGGGTCCTTGAACGTATTTCCACTTGCAATGTTACTCACATTTTTTATTTTAAATCTAAATTTGCACGCGACTTGAGTCCTTTGAACCAGTGCACAGGCAGTAAAGGCACAACAACAGCGCTGTCTTGGGTTTTGTTCAGCGAACCATTACAGTGAAGGTCTTTGAATGATGAACTTAGTGTGACACTTCCAGTGTTTTGGAGAAGATCTCTATTCCTGTCTCTTAAATTCAAATTCAAATGGAGCTTTATTGATAATGAAAGTTCCAAGGATAGTTTTTGCCAAGTAATCACATTTTATATCCCGGGTTAAGATCTAAAAAAAAAAAGTCAGCGTTTGATTCCTTCAAAGATATCAGTTATTTGAAGTGTAATGTCATTTCCATTTGTCTTTGGGTAAAAGGAGTTAAAACCACAGTAAATATGGGAAAAGACTTTTCTTTTGGTTGCTCAGTGACAACACTGTTAATCTGAATGCATCACAGTACGTTTAAAGGGCACAAGTCTCCTGATTCGAAGCCAATAAACTCATGCGTCTTTTTTAGAATATTTCTTAAGTTGTGTTGCCTGCATGTGTCTCTTCCACGGAGCGCCCCCCTCTTCGAAATATAGCACAGCTTCGACCCCCCAACAAAAAAGATACCATGATATTTTAACGCACACAGCACTATGACTCCAATCCACAAAGCCATGAGCATTTAAAGCGCATTGGAAATGAATGCAGGTTGAAAATAAAGGCAAAATAAAGAACCCCCCCCCCCCCCCCGCAACATTATACTTTGTAGTATTTCTACTAGCCAATTACGTAACGAGAACGATGCCACACACGTGACCCCTCTGCCCCTGACTTTAATTGCATTTCATTAAAAGCAATTAGAGCGCGCGCTGACTGCCTACCTTGCACCGCGAGCGCGGCGACCGCGAGAAAGAGCAGAAGATGCAGAGAGTCCATGTTGAGCCGAGCGCGGAGAGTTTCTTCTGAATCCGCTGAGGGGCTGCGGGGAGGATGAGGAGGATGAGGATGTTGTTGTGCGCTGAAGTAACTCCTCCTACCAAAGCGAGGGCTGCTGCATGGCAGGACAGCCGACCGATTGCATGCACACTGCAGGCCGGTTGTTTTGCTGGACAACTGTCGTATTAATTTCTGCAAAGTCCAGCCTGTGTTACGCTCAGACACGACGGATTGATCCTCACACGTGTGCGGTCTTCGTCTTGAGCTGAAGCTGTTGGCTCGCTGCGATGTTGTTTCTGTACTTTTTAAGAAAGTGTTCAAGTAGTTTGAAAGGGGATGCACGCTGAGGCTGAAAGAGCATTAAACACAATAAAGGAACTTTTTCTTAAAGCAAAATTAGGTGACATCTGCTGGGCACTGAACACAATTACAACTGTATTGTGGAGTTTGTTTGGTTCTTATGTTATTTGTGATCAAAGTTGTTGCAAAGACAAACTGTCCGCAATGAACAACACGATGGAGCAAACTATTCCCTCTGGGTGGTTGGGCGGTGCATGGATGGGAAATCCATGATCATCCACGCCTACACGGCCAATACATACATCCCAAATAAACAACCAATCAAAAGAATGTGCTAAAAAATGGTGAAAACTTCTGGGAACATGCAGTAGTCGGTGTAAAATACTTTGTTTTATTCATTATGAAGCATCAAAAATAACCAGTGAAGAAAAACCCTTTCAGGGACACATCACAAATATCAAATTAATACTTAAAGACCCAAATGGAGGTCATATGCGCATAAGTAAAACATTTTAAACGTATATTAAACGTAAATTCGTATAGTAAAACTGTATTTGATTTAATGAAAACTCATAGTGTAGGTTTCCAGAGCAGGTGGTGAACTGTGTTTACATATTCCCCCCTTGGCTGCGTGAGCTAACATCTGCATAAACCACCTTTCCCTGCAAGATAAACACCAACGTGCTGTGCTCCAGAGCGCCTTTTCTTCGGAGCGTGGCGGCTAATTAACTGGCGCTGTTCATTCGGCTCTTTGCTAGAGAGCAAAAGTCCTATGGCGTAAGATTTCTTGTGCCGCTGGTTTGGGGACAGCGATGTTGCAGGTGTACAGATTGAAAATCCCTCAGGGGAAAAATTGTAGTTTGTGATTTTAGGCTACAAAAAACAAATTCAATTAAATAAAAATAAATAATACAGAATAATAATAATAATTTCTTTTTAAATCCTGTACATAGGGGGGATTTTCATATTTTGTCATTTATACACAGCTATTTATTTACCTGTAAACATATAAATGCTGCTATAGCAAAAACATGTATTTGTGTTTCCCCAAATTTCCCCATGGGGATTAATAACGTATATGCCTATCTATTTATACAAATCTATCTATATAAAGTCAGCTTCAGGACCCCTCTGCCCCTCATCTTTCGTGCACCTCCATATACAGGCAGGTGCCTGTGTTATTAGGGTTGGAACTTGTGAATTGGCTACACGTCATTACTTCGCTTTCATATTAGCTTCAAATCCTCTGCTGCAATATGATTGGTCGGTTGAGTCGAAAGGGCGGGAACAAGGCGGCAACCAGGAAGTGAATTTGACTGTGACAGGACGATGCCAGTTGTAGCGTTAGTTTAACGCAGTTCTCTTTCGCCGTTAATCAAACACCGCAGCGGGAATGCAGCCTGTACGAAGTCGTCGAGGCAAAGATTTACCCTCCACAAAAAAAACGAGGTCTGTTCCATTAACACTAGGCTGACGTCATCGTTATCCCACTGACAACCGACAGTTGCTTTAGCAAAGCAACGTTAGGATGATAACTAACTTCTTTATATGCTCATTTAACCCTACGTGTGTTGTGACGTTAATTATCGTGCAGTTGTGTCCTGAAAGTATCTTGTTTGCTGTTTACTGGTCAAAAGGAACTGCCTTAATTGTATTATGTTGCATAAGCTAACGTTACCATAAACAAGCGTTGGAGCAAATAAGGTGGATACATTGCTTATTAGTAAACCCTACAATAAGAACATAAACCACATACATGAAGATGTAGCATCCATCCCTAAAATAAGCACCAATTAAATTCTAGTCAATCACAAAACAGTTGGAATAAACATTATACAGGTAATCCTCCCAACGTGCATCTCAGGGTTACATACAATATGCTAGTGAAATGGTTGCTAATAGCAACGGGATATGTGGGAGGCAGCAGTGAGGCTTTCCAGGTTGACAGCTCTGTTAGTGATCCATATTCACGCTGCTGGTGTTGACAAGCGGGCTGAAGAACCCACAGCGTACACAGCGGCGCTCATCCTTTTGTTGTCCTGGTAAACATCCCCAACCACAGCGTCTGCGCTCAGTGTGCAGCCGGAAGCTACAGGTTAAAGAGATGCACATAAGGCACCACGAGTTGAACAGCCAAAACATATTTTATACATATTATCCATTGATTCCAGAAGTTAGTGTTTTCAAACTTTCACTCTTAACTGCGAAATACTTCCAGAAAGGTTTGTTTTATTTTCATGAGATACGCACATCTTGGATAGGTGAGACTGAGTACTTTGTTACATTTAATATGAAGGATCATGTGGCCAAATATTTATGATAACAGTTCAATAGATTAGTTAAAAAGACGTAAATGTGTTTTAACCTGAATTTACTGCAGTAGTAAATACTTTATTGTAAGCCTCCCAGAATTACAACCGTATCTTTTGCATCTCAACCTCTTTTCTGCCCTTTGCTGTTGTAATGTTGCTTTATTACGACGACTCATTATTTGTATGTTGACAGCACTCACGGTGGCTCGAAGGAAAAGGAGCCTCAGCAGAGGAGGCCGCATTTCCACTGTGACCTGTGGTTCTGTCTGACTCTGCAGAACTGGATACTGGACTTTGGAAGACCTATTGCCATGGTGAGTAAGATCAGTTGCCCGTTATTCACTAAATAATGACAGGAGAAGAAATGGTTGTTTATTATACATTTTGTGGAGCAATAGAAACACAATTGTTTCTCTGGATCATGTTGTATTAGATAATCCTTCCTCTGGAGTGGTTTCCCCTGAACAAGCCCAGTGCTGGAGACTATTTCCACATGGCCTACAATGTCATAACACCATTCCTAATGCTCAAGGTAAGGGTCAACACACCGAGCGACAGACACAAAGAAGATTCAAAATGTACATTTCTTCTCTGTATCAGACTGATTAAACCCTAAAGTATTTGGAAGCTAGTTCACCTGATTAAATAGCATTTTTAAAGCTGGCCAAACACAGGAAAGTATTTTTGTCCATGATTAACATAAGCAATATTGATAATATTTGCAGCACTTAGACAGCTCAAATATACAGCAGAAAGCTGGTTAACCTAAGGGGCTAATTATGAATGACATTTATTTATGCTAAGTATTAAAGTCCTGATAGGACTCTGGGTTGCTTCTGCACCGCAGGGAAACCTAATATGACTGAAAAGGACATATTTTAACAACACTTTGGATGTAGCCTGCAGGAGCCTTTGTACGTGATTATTTTTACCAGGAGAAACCTGCACTTACTTTGAGATTATGTTTCTCTTGCTTATAGCCTGGCAATTAAAAGATTTCTCGTCCTCTACTATCCATATAAATCTAAACTCTGTTGTGTATTTATATTGTTGAATGTTATCGCTTAATTTTGCAAAGATAGAATGCACTTGACGCTCTTGTTCCGTCAGTGTTGCACGTGGTTGGCCTGTAAACACCAACTCCTTTTTATGTGACTAAAATCATAATGTAGATAAACTAGTTAATTGAGTCGTTGAATCTAAAATAGCCTCAGTAAAGATTGAGTGTGTTTTTTTCCTGTCGCTGATTTTTCTAAAGCCAATCTGACAAAAGGTAACATACCTGCTATTCAAGGTACCGTGGATTAATTGTTCAATGTGTGTGGAGAAATGGGCAGAAAAGCGGTTGAAAGAAAGCCAGTCGCACGCTTTTCTTAAGGGACGGAGGTCGGGCCCGTGATTGAGTACCCGAGGATAAAGTCGGTGTCGTATATGCTGCGTGTCATTGCTCCGTTCAGCTGATTGAGCGCAGTCCCAGGGCGCCGCCTCGCTCGGCGGTTTACCTCTGCATCATCACTTTTGTGATGGGGGCCAGCATCCACCTGGTGGGAGACTCCATCAACCATCGGCTCATCCTGAGCGGCTACCAGCTCCACCTGTCAGTCAGAGAGAACCCCATCATCAGAGACCTCAAACCTGCCTCACTGGTGAGTATCCATTGTGTTTAAGTGGACCAGGGTTCACTTTCACTGTCGAGGTGGAAGATTTACCTTTTGGTAAGTAAGTGACCAAAACTCACTGGTTCCTGTTGTCATAAAATATAATTTAATAATATATTTTTTGGTCATTGCCCCCTTTTATGGTGTCATACAACAACAACAACAACAACAACAACAACCACAATCTGTTTGTGTTGCTCGCCATGATTCTCCAGGGAATATTCAGTTAAAAGTAAAATAAGTTTTCTTGTCCAACTATGACACAACCTGACAACACGCCACAAAAATAAAAATCGGTATTTTCACGCCCGTTGCACCCAGAAGGTTTTTTTCATACTGAGTAGGAAGGCAGATTATTTTTTTTCCTCTCCGCTCTTTTGTCGCCGTCTGATATTTTTTCTGTCATCCTGATTCCCACAAGATATAAAAAGGTTAATGTTGAACATATCTGGGGCGTTATTATTAAACCAACATTTACATTTCCCAACAAACTCTTGGACCAAAATATGTATTTTAAATGCATTAAAAGTGGAGGTTGTATTAAAAAACCTGATTTCTGTTTTTCATTTTTTTGACTATTTTGAAGGACTAGTGTAAAAAAAAGTCATATTTGTTTCAGGCTTAGTATTATTAAATCACATTATATTTTACTTAGCGGCGCTTTTATCCAAAGCGACTTTTACAATAGGTGCATTCCACCAAAAGGGAGTGTAAGAGAGGCATAATAAGTTCCTTATACTTGTCGTGCCAACTGTATCGAGATCTGGCGACTATGGAGGCCATGTCATATAATTCACATCCTATCTCACTAAAACCATTTGGATTCCACTCATGTTTTGTGTAGATGCATCTGCATTTGAGATTTTTCTCTGCCCATTTATTGCCACTTTATCCTCTTAATTTCTAACCTGTCTGTGGATGTGTTTCCTTCTTAAAAGCTGTGATAAAGTACACCTGCTACTAGAACAGCAGGGGGCACTGTGGCACCGGACAGAGACTCATGGAATCATGCAGGATATTAAAGTGTCATTGAACCGCCGCCGTTATTGTTGCAATGAGAACATTCAATTGGTCTTTGTCCTTCCTACACAGATCGACTCCTTTGAGCTGCTGTATTATTATGATGAACACCTAGGACACCTGATGTGGTATGTTTTTTTGTCTCTTTTGAAAACACATAAATGTGAAAATCAAACAGAAGTGAATGTTTTAATTAGTGTGCTGGAATATGTGGTTATTTTCCAGAAGTGTCGTAACCGGAAAGTGAATCCAACAAAATGCAGTAAAAGAGGGGCCTGATCAGAGACATGTTGTTTGGAAAACTAGATTTATTAAAAGATGAATATGCTATATAAGCCCAATGTTTCCCGTTTGATGCTGTACACTGACCTTTGTTGCATGTCAGTTCCCTCAGACCGCGTTTTTCCTGTCTTGACTTTTGATTATTCAACAGGGGCAGCCCATTAGAACTGCACTTTTTACAAAGGTTAGGAAGAGTGGAGCATCGGCAGTGTTGGGAATATGGATACAAAATATGTTTCAACTCGATATTGGGACCATATTGTAGGATGGACCGTTGTAGTTTCTATAACTAGGACTAAGGAGGTAAAGGCACATCAATTACAGCTAGAACAGTCTGGTAAAATGACATCACCATACGTATATGGAGCAAGGATAACGAGAAAACACTTTGATATCCAGAATCTAAGGAGATATCTTGTCTCATATGATGACTTGGACTGAATTCCATTCCTTATTCTTCCAGATTTTCAAGTTGAGAAACAGATACCAGTTCAACCATTTTTTTCTCACCCAAACTTTTCAATTTTTCAAGTCAAATTACAGTTTTAAATAAAATAATTCTTTCTTTCACTCAGCCCTGCCAGGTTTGCGTCATCCCTTTACAAAGAAATGCATGAATCTAAGCGCTGCCTCTTGGGTGTTTTATTCTAGGTATATTCCTTTCTTTGTCATTCTGTTCATCTACTTCACCGGCTGCTTCACCAAGGCTGAAGAGCAGAAGCGGCTGCCCGCCTCCGGCTGTGTGCTGCTGGGACCCAGCGCTCTGTACTATTGGTCAGTGGTCTGCTCCAGTCTTTGAAAACCTTCTGTGCCCATGAATACATGGTAAAAAAAACGTAATATATGACAATGATCTTTAATAAAGCCAAACAGAGCTGGCCCTGTCCACGACATGACAAATGCTTTTGTTCAGGATTTCAGTTCAGTCTTGCAGAATATTTATATATATATGTATTTTTAATTTTTTAATCTCACTGCTAATGTAATGAGTGAAGTAAACATTATCTTTGTGCTACAGTGAGTTAAGTTTCAAAAGTGCAGTGTGCTTATTGCGAAGGTTACAGCGGTCATGGGAAATGAGCGTTCTCCCGCTTAATTTGTTCCAGGTACCTGGTCACTGAAGGACAGATCACCGAGCTCTTCCTCCTCACCTTCTTAGCCATGGTTGTCATGGTGATCCATCAACACCGTCGAGGCCTGAGTCCCGACAGCAACGGCCTCTTCCTGTTCTGCAGTTTCAGTGTCACTCTGCTCCTGGTTGCACTGTGGGTGGCCCATCTGTGGAACGATCCGGTGTTACGCAACAAGTACCCGGGACTCATTTACGTGCCAGAACCGTGGTCCTACTACACCTTACATATCAAGCAGAACCACTGAGGAACCTCAGTCCGGGTGTGTATAGCCTTGTATGTGAAGAAAAAAAACATTTTCCTGAGTCAGACGTACGTCACTGATGCATGTGTGTCGTTTCTTTCTTAGCTGACTTCCTGTGACGGAGGTGGCTGCTGCACTCCTTCGACGATGACGAGCGATGAAGGTTCAACGTGCAAACCGACCTCACTGTGAAACACTGCGTCTTGCTGGCTTCATCCATCCATTCAGAAAGGGATTTCTCTCAGTTTGGTTCAATATCGTCACAGAGCCTTTAAACAGGCGGGATTTGTGACGTTCATTCGGTCTGTTCTTTAAAAACTCTTGTGACATTTTGGATTAATAAAGATAAAGCAAAAAAAGATTAGGCAACGATGTAGCAGACAATTTAAGACCTTTTGACGCATAAGTTTGAATTTACTTTAGTCCTGTGTATTGCAAAAACAAATGAGAAATGTATTTGATAAAATGATTAGTGTGTTCTCTGCTCAGACAGGCGGCTGCGGAGCGCCTGATGGTTTGGGAACCAGGGGCAGCTTTGTGGTCTCTTTGGTAAACCAGCTTTGTAAAAACACATACCAGCACCAACTGTCCTTGGCATCAACAAAAGAAAATCTATAGTACACCCGACTGTGTCATAATCAGCAAAGTTACCGCACAGCTAAGCTTTTGTGAACAAACTCAAGGTGAAATAGATTAAAAGAAAGGAGGAAAGAGAATGAGAAAGTAACTTGACCGTGCTATTACTCTGTGAACAACACGCCCAGGTGGTAAATCAGAAAGACACGCGATTTAAACGCATTATACTTAGTAGAAAAGATTTATCATTTAAGTTTCAGGCTTTTAGAGATGAAGTTACATTTGTTATTGTGAGACATGAGAGCAAGTGAACTATTACATTTCCCGATGTGGTCATTGTGGAATATTATAATCTAGCCATAGAGCCAACACGCACTGAGTGATGATAAAATTGTTCTTTTATAGCAGTGTTCTTCACATTAAGTTCACAATTCACGTTTGCAGATACTTTGCTCTTTATTTCTTTACATGTTGACTTATTGTTCTTGGTGTAAAAGTTTGATTTTTTTTTTTTTGGTAGACTTTCGGTCTTTTGCATAAGATCATTTTGTTCCTTATGAAAAGCTTATTGGTTCCTCATTGGTTCAATTTATGTTTATCTTAATATAAAATGTTGAATTGACCTGTAATTGCTGGTTATCAGATGTGTCTTAACAGTCCGTTGTTGGACCAGGAATGTGCTTTAAATCAATCGTCTTAAAACAAAGGACAAATAATAATAAATTAATTTCACATAATATCCACCTTGATTTGCTCTCATTTGGGGACCATCTTTGTATATTTCATGTTTTGCCTTCACTTGGTCTCTACGTTTAAATAGGTCGACATCCAGAAAAAAACAAAAGAATAAAATTCTGTACGACTCTTTATTCCACCATTGTTTAAAATGCTGCCAATTATGTGCTTACAAGCTTACAAACTGTCATCAGAACCTGTAGTATCAAATGTTGAGAATCTGGACCCGGGCTGTTGTGTGTGTGTGTGCTGGGGCACAATGCAGCCCTATGGATCTGGTATCTGCGTTTCCATAGCAACGCATATTAAATTACGTGGAGGCGTGCAGGTGGTGGACTTTAAACCGAGGTGGAGGAACAGGTGACGCAGAGCCGGGAAATCTTCTTCCTGGAAAGAAGGCCAGCAACTGCAAAAATGGTGAGAGCACGACACTCGTTCCATTCCAACCGTTTCATGTATTTTCTTGCGTGTTCTGTGTGCTTACTTGCCGAGTAACACCGTTCTATTGTCACCTCACAGGCGAAGTTCTTCACACCGGTTCAAATCAACGGTAAGAGGATTTCACAGCACCGCATGTTTCATTTTAAACAGATTTCTGAAATGCTCCATTTCCCGTTCTGTCTTTCCCAAAAGTCCTGCGCCTGTATCTTGTTAATAACCAGAACATGTTGATAAAGAAACAAGGAAGAACTTGAGGCTGACCGTGCCTCTTTTTGTTACTGTGACGTAAACGCAACCTATTTCAAAGTTGACCTGCTGTTGAATGACGATAAACTGCGCTATAATAAACTATAATAATCTTTACTAAATCATGCTATAGAATAAAGTATGCTATAATAAACTACAATAATCCTTACTAAATCATGCTATAGAATAAAGTATGCTATAATAAACTACAATAATCCTTACTAAATCATGCTACGAAATAAACTATGCTATAATAAACTATAATAATCCTGACTAAATCATGCTATGAAGTAAACTATGCTATAACTATAATAATCCTTACTAAATCGTGCTATGAAGTAAACTATGCTATAACTATAATAATCCTTACTAAATCATGCTATGAACTAAACTATGCTATAATAAACTATAATAATCTTTACTAAATCATGCTATGAAATAAACTATGCTATAATAATCTTTACTAAATCATGCTATGAAGTAAACTATGCTATAATAATCTTTACTAAATCGTGCTATGAAGTAAACTATGCTAATAAGTATTGTTATTTCTAAACTTGTTTTCATTTCCCCTGCAGAGTTCAAGGAGTGCTTCTCTCTGTACGACAAGAAACAAAAGGGCAAGATTGTTGTCAAAGACCTGATCACAGTCATGCGCTGCCTCGGTACGAGCCCCACCTTCGGGGAAGTCGAAAGACACCTACAAGTTCACAAAATCGGTAAAGTACAACATGGAGTAAAACTGCTGTTTGTGGGCCGGGCGGGTTGTGAGCAATTGCTCAAGGGGACAATGGATTAAAAGGTCAAGAACGGTCTTGAACTAAAACTGTTTTTAATTGTAGCCTTCATTCAGGAAAGAGCATCAATTTAAAAAAAAAGAGATTTCCCCCCTAATTGACATTAAATATGTCTTAACCCTGAGTGGCCCCTATGCAAATCTATTGCACATTTAAATATGATCGAATTATTATAAAATTATTTCAACTCGTTCATCCTGTTTTGTTCTAATTTGACACGGAGCGTATGTTTGTTTTCACATCCATATTTAGAAAAGAGCGGTGAGCTGGACTTCTCTACCTTCCTGACGATGATGCACAGGCAAATGCAACAGGAAGACCCCAAGGCAGAAATCCTGGAGGCTTTGAGGATGACGGACAAACAGAAGAAAGGCTTCATCCAGGCCTCCGAGCTGCGGGCCAAGCTCACCATGCTGGGGGAGAAACTCACAAACAAAGAAGGTAAATGAAGGGCTCATTCTGGTAATTGTTAGCAGAATGTGGCCAGCTGAGACCGCCAGACCTCACATGAACACTGGTCCGCCTTTAGCTCAGGGATCGGGATTTAAAGTCACAGGACCAACTTGTGCGAAAAATACGTCGGCTCGGAAACGCAATTATGAGGTCCATTTCTGAAAGTTTTAAAAGAAACCGATGCACCAAGAGGACTATTATGTAGCCCATAAGAAAATAAAAAAGCATGACGGGTGTCTGCTCAAATACTGTGTGACTGCAGTGAATTTCAAACTTCAAGTTGGCAATTTGCAAAGAGGAGTTCGGGATTCGGGATGGTTTTGAATTTGAACTCAGAAGAACCTTTGACTGTTGTTCGTACGCCGTGAGAATAAAAAAATCAATGCACGTTTTAGGGAAATGGCTTCCAGGCCGGCCTGCTCTCCACCACCTCGCCCGACAACGTTTACAGTACCTTCCTCTCGCCCGACAACGTTTACAGTACCTTCCTCTCGCCCGACAACGTTTACAGTACCTTCCTCTCGTGGGTCACAGCCGATTACTCCCTCAAAGAAGACAACACTCCGGCTCGGACTATGGAGAGTGTGGCTTTAGACCCCTGAATCCTGTGTCCTCCTGAATGTCTTCTCAGAATGCTGCCTGGCTGTGGTGCAAAAAGCCAAAGTCAAACAAAACATAAAACATAAAAATAAGTTGGTGAATTGAGGTGAAGCGTGTGCAGTTTTTTTTCTTTGGCTCATTCAAGAAAGCAGGGTTTATTTTTTTTCAACCCAGTGGATTTTATACTTCTGACACGCCAACGCTGAGGTTTCGTTTTGTACGTAAACGGATAATTGCAGAGCCACAGCATCAAGAGTTGTTTGTTTTTAATGTTGTTTCTTCCCCGGCCACGCTACGTTATTTATACCGTTGCTGGCTTCAAAGCAACATAAAGATCTAATCCAATGTGTCAATGTACAGCTGTGCACAGAAAGCAGTTCATATTCAAATGTGGCGTAGATGCTCCTCAGCGGGGAGGCCTCCGATAATGATGCCGCCGCTCAACAAATTGGATCGTAAGTTAACAGTTGCTGCTCTAATACAGCAGGATCTTTTTACATAGATCCCTATCGAATCGAATTAATGAGCTAACTTCAACTCAAGGTCCTATATCAATTTACCTCTATTTCTAACATTAGATTCCAAAGGAAATGGTTCAGTTACAAAATCATTTTTGACCTCAAGGGGTCGTTCTGAGAAGACCAGAGAAGTAACTGCAGCCCTAAAAGCAATGAGCCTGCTGGATGTAGAATATCTATTTGACTTCAATAAATGCACTTTTAAAAAGCTTCAACATGCAACAATACGCGTCATGGCAGGACTACAAATCTTAATTCATGGTCATTGCACGCGTTTCCTTCACCAGAGCAGGTCGTTTTTTTATGAACCACCAATTATTCTTTGTCTCATTGAAAGCGGTCATGTCTCTTCATTTTCCCGATTACATGTCTATGTATATGCACTATATTATATACACTATACTATATATACTATAACAGTTTGCTACTATATTAATGTCAGAGTGTTTCATAAAACTGATTGGTATGAATTGCTTACATTAGAAACAGTTGTGAGCCTTTGAATTGGGTAGAAATTGCCTTGGAGTTCATTGCTTTGGAGTCGATAACTCAATGAACAGGAAGCGCGCCGACGGTCTGGCTCATCACAGTCGGCAGCGCTTCTCTTTTCAGGAGTCGTCAGTTAGACAAAAACTCCCACAGGCGAAGACCAGCAGAGACCTCCTGAGTTTTGAATCATCGCGGCGGACTGTTCACGCGGTTTTCTCAATCTCCTTTTTAAAAAGCCTGTTCTCGCTTTCTCTTCCCCGCAGTGGACGAGCTCTTCAAAGAGGCAAACGTCAAGTCCAACGGGCTTATCAACTATGAGGAGTTCACGCAGATGGTGACGCTGCCGCCCGTCGATTACTGATGTTCCCAGTCGACTTCACACACATTTAACTCGATGGTTTGCAGAAATCCCACGAAGGTGAAACTAACACATTGTGACCCAATGCTGTTGTACTGTAACTAACTAACAAGATGATGAATTGGCATGTTATCCTTTCATGGCCTCAATTTGAATCCCCTTTACTCTTGTTGTCGAGTCAATCAAATGTAACCTCCAGTTTGGCATCTTCTCTCTGTACTTCAGCATGCGTATAAGCAATATATTAAACCCTTCATCTCAAGATGTACATTTTCTTCACTGTCAACACATCAGCACCAAACCGCATTATCCTCTTAAACCTGTTAGTGGTTTGAATCTTTCTCTGATGAATTCCCCACATTATAAACAGCATATTAAAGCCGCATCCATATGGTTTCAACTATTTGACATTTACGAACATTGCATTTACACAAGGGTTTTGTAATTAACATTTCATAAAGGCTTCCCCAAAAGTTTTATTTTGCAGTTCAAAGCACAGTATGCAATTATCCAGGTGTAATAACACATGACTGATCAATACCAAACATGTTATTGTAGTACGGCCGAGGTTGTAATTAGCCAACTGATTGCTTTGAAGACAATGTATTTATTAGCTTTGATTGCCGTTTGGCGAGAGTCTTGATTTTGTGCTTGGAAACCGACATCATCAATAAATGTACAATCTGGAAAAAGAAAAAGACCAGAAGCAATCAATAAAAAAAAAACAGAAATTGAGAAGAGGAAAATGTTAAAGGCTTTCACAAACCCTGCAATATGTTTGTAAATGGGTTAATCTAAAAAATCCGCTGAAAGTTTGACAGTATAAAAATACTCGGATCTCCCGCAGAGGCTCAGTGGCACCCGGAGAGCGAACCTGACCCCCCCGGATGGTTTGATACCCAAAGCCATTTGAGAAACTGTCATTGGAAAATGTTTGTAAAAGGATAGGCCTCTTTAAAGAAATACTTGGTAAGTCCTCGCATAAACCATCTGTCAATCAGACCCTTTCTGAGCCCCATAGCAAGCAGATAAAAAGCCTCCAGTGCCATTCTCTGCTCCCCTGTTCTGATATGGCTGTTGCTATGGAAACGTCTAAGGAGCCGCCATTGTTGTTTAGTGCCTCTCCCGACCATCTGACAACTCTCAGCTGATTGGTCCCCAGCGTACAAACACGCCGATTGAAGCTGATGGGACGGACGATCTGGCGGCTTAAGCGTCCTGTATGTAAGCGCTTTTTGTAAAAAAAAAAAAAGTTTCCACACAAGCATCGTCCGGTGGGTTTCATTCTCATTTGTTAATTGAAAGCGCTGGTCCTTGAATGAAGGATGTTGGCAAGAAGCTCCACCAGCTGCCCCAAACACAATCCCTCTACTGTCCCATCCCTTGTAATGTTTTCCGTTAGAATTAAAAGCTTTACCGGCAGAGCACCAATCACAGTAACCAAAGAGGGAGGGGCCTAATTCAATCCTGAGAATTTCAAATGGATGCGATTTGTCGACATCAAACTGAAGGAAGCACATGAACATTACCGTCATTTCATGTTCCGAGCACCGACTTGTAAACTTTGAAAAAAAAAAAAAAAAGTGCTTTACAACATTAAAAACAGCCCTTTACATGAATACATTATATAGAAGGCAGGGAAATATATATTGTGAATACACATCAAAAGCAAATTATGAATCTACACTATTCCAACTGTGTGAGATGTAACAATACACACTGTTGTGTGTAGCGATGCCTGAGAAAAGCAAGTGCAATAATACATTTTCTGCTAAATTAATACATTTTCTGCTAAGTGTGAAATTGGATTACTTTAAACAAAGGCCTTACAGATACAGAACATGATGTTACAGACCTTTCACTCTTCCAGGTAAGAAATGTTTATATAAAGCTGCAGCACTCCAACAAACTCTACAGGCCTCCCTCCGGTTACCTGGTATATGGCAAAAGCATTTATCTTTTCAATCACTTACCCCTGTGATACCTTGAGATCAACATGAGGAAATACAGGCAGATATAATGTCAGGAGTAAAGTGTCCGGGAGACTTCAGTTGCTTTATAAAAAACCACAGTTAAAAACACAGTTAAAAAAAACAACCACAAAACCAATTTCTTTATCGGCCACACAAACTAATTTACAGAGCTCCCTCTATTTTGAATAATTTCCCAATCATGTAAATCATGCACATTTCATTGAAGTAGTTATCCCGAGTGACTCAGGCATGCCGATACCCGAAATGTTGGGGGCCAGTTTGGCCTCCAGCGCCATTCACATTTTACTTTGTGTCTTAAAATAAATGTGTGCGTCAAAGCCAAAGTGTGACGTTACAGTTTTGGTGAGTTTCTGCAGAAATTAAAACACACCGACTGACCATTTCCTAAATCTCCTCTCTAAACACGTCAAACCATTGCTTAGAAACCGTAACCAGGCACCACAGACCCGTCAAGCCTTTGGATCTCTGCACGTGTTTGCGTTTCCTTGTCTGAAAGTGAACGCGTTCCTAAATAACTTCTGGGGTCTTTTTGTTTTACTTCATATATCAGTAAATAGCCAACATGTTAATTTTGATGCTTTTATGAGTCTTTAAAAACGCTGACACAAAGTGGCAAACCAAATAAAAAGTGTGAGGAATTTAAACAGTGCGTTGAGCCATCTACAGTAAAATACCCTCAAATCTTTATTACATTAGGTATGGTTTAGGTTTAGTTGAGATATTCTATTGCTAAATAGAATAGAATATAAGCGCTGTTTATTGGCTAACTGTAGCCGTTCTTACAGTTGCCGCTTCACGCCAACAGGACCCACGGTTTAAAAAATGATCTGTGAGATGGAAAAGCTTGACAGGTGCAGTAGCATCAGTAACTGTTGGGAGGTGGGGCCTACTAAACAGTCTAATAAATACTCAAGTCACATCATGCACCTTGTTTGCTTTGTAGCGTTTGTACCAGATTATACAAAAAAAAAAAATACATTGCAAATTAAAAAGGCTTTTTTCCTGTCTGCTTTAATCTGTTGAGTTTCTGCTGCTGTCCATGAAAGGAGAGCGTTGTACCGACCACAAAGGTTCATTGCTCTACATGTGTAATAACGCATTAGTAGGATGGCTACAGTCACAGAAAAGCCCTTATGTAGCCACACATTTGTTATAAAAAACAGTTAAATGAAATTACATTCTAGTCAAACTGTATCATATAAAAAATATTTACATGCTCATTATTTATCTGAGAGAGAGGCACTGCGTTATTATTCTTTCAATTATTGTCAAACCTGTGTAATAATACCACCAGCTAACACATGCAGAGTTTCGTAGTGGGACCAATATGCAATTAGTCTGTAGTGGTGTGGAAATCAGTGAAGGGCTCAGATTGTTGACCTGCAAACCGTGGCTCATATTTCACCGGCGTCCCTGCGGCTCAGCGGCGAGACGTGCCGCTGGGACGCGAGCGACCGCTGGCCGCAGGTTTTGCAGCACTGTGCTCGCACGTTGGGCAACTGGCAACGGTCGAGCCAGCGGAGACTCAGACAGAAACGAACCGTCAGCCGGTCGCGACGGCAAACTGCTCCTGTGAGAGAGAGAGAGAGAGAGACGTGTTCTGTTACATCGGTATAAAATGAATCAAAAGGCACAACGTGAGGCCCCCTCAACATCGTAGGATATATCCGTTAAGGGCTCACGCTTGTTTGTTGTGGGTTCGACATAGTCGATTTCATTTTGACAGAATTTTTTTTGGAATTTCTTGATGATAAATTTGCGGATAAATCAAGAAGATTCCTGGAGATTAAGTGCCGCTGTTCTTTTCGTTCAGTTTTTTTGTGCATTCTTTTGAAAATGACTGACAGCCCAACAAGTTGACAACCTCAAACCTTCAAACGGTACACGGCTCAGACAGAACAAAAAAGCAGATCAAATGAGCCAAAACCCAGAGGATTGGACCGGATTAAGTAGCTCAACATCTCCTGTGTGTGTGTGTAACTGTTCCTCTATTGCAGCCCAGTATGAAACCCCCTCTTTTTGTTTACCCTGGAGGATTCCATTCCTGGCTTGTCATAGTGGCTTAATTCTGCTAAACATCTTAATAAATACTTGCATAGAACCAGGAATCCAGGCAATTAGCATGCAGGCACGTACGTGATGTATTCAGTAGCCTTGCAAATGTGAACTATTTCAAAATGCAAATGGCACAAAGACCTTGCTGTCTTTGTCCGGCAAAGTGTGCTCCAGAAGAGGAGAGTAGCTTCATAAGCTGATTCTGCAGTTCAGAGGCAGATAACATACACCAATAACAGAACTCCTTCTTCTCCATGCGGCTGCACGGTAAGATTTCCTTACTGTATGAACTTCTCACGTACCGTCCATACCGGTGTTCCGCCGTATACCCTGACGTTGCTCTTCGGCAGGCGACTAAATATGTATTTTTACACGTCATTGAGGAGCGCTCAGCGGCCTGAGCTACTTGTCTTACGTGTCTTGAGATTGAGTCACTATTATAACTTTATAACAACAATGACATTTATAAAAATGACCCCGCCGAACTGCATGTTGGGTACAGCTCCGTGAAAAGAGGAGGAACAACGAGAGAAGGAAAAGAGAGGAGCTGCGTCTGTTTGGAGGGTTTTTGGTTTTGGAAAAGCCAACGTAAATTAGATCAGAAAACGATTTATTGCAAAGTCTGTCGAGCCCCTGGTGGCAACACTAGCAGCCACAACAAGCTAACACGCTAACCAGCTAACTAGCCCGCCAGTTGGCCAGCGAGCGTGTAGCCGCGGTCAATGAATGAATGTGTTTACTTGAAAAAGGAATACCGTCAGAATCTTTCTTAATACGGTGATATGGATCCCGTGCAGCCCTTATTCTCCAGCAGAACGGAACCTTTCGTCTCACTACAGTTCACACACTTTGCATGAGAATCTAGTGCCAAAATCAAAGCATGCGGCATCTAATTTAATACATTATGAAAATGGTTGTTGCTGTGTTTTCCCACAAATGTATACTGCTAATGGACAAAAAAAAAAACAAACAGGACAACTCATCGAGAAGTTCTGTTCGAGGACGACCTACAATGAACGGGAAAAGGCGTTTGTCTCCGTCAACCAGAGCACGCATTCTGACTTCTTACTGTCCGGCCTGTTCAACTGCTGCAGTTACAGCAGAAGCATGAAATTGAAAAAGCAGCGCAGACAAAGATTTGAGCGTGGGCGGTTATTGAATTGTCACACTTCATCCTCACGCCACCTGTTTCAGGGCCTGATAGTTCTTTAGTATTCAACTCCTTGTCTTCTCCTTGAGGAGCAACCAGGTGGGCAGGAATCAGAGGTGCTTCACGGATTAAATGAGCTTTTCTTCCCTCTTCCTTAGCATCCAGCACGAGCCTGGAGTGACTGTCAGAGCAGAAAATAAAATGAAAAAACATCAACCCACACTTTCCTGCTGGAATCTGCGCTGATGGCCTTAGCAGACAACTTGAGTTGGCCCACTGCAGGTCAACCATAAAACTCATGTGAATTGCAATGTTCTTTTCAAAGTCTCAATGCCATGATGGATGAATATTTCCTCTCTCAAAAGTTGTCTGAAACTTGCAAATCCTCAACTGAACCTCCTTCAAATCAGGTTGCATCTCTACTTTCGGGATACACACAACATGCGTATGAAGTGTGATATCAGATTAGATAATTTAAAGGCTTCTCAGGAGCCCCGAAACTGTGGGGGACTGCAGGCAGCAGATAGTGGTTTTAAAATAAGAGAGCAGAAAACGACACGTGACTTTTCAAGGCGACTTTCATCACCCGAGGACGCAAGGACACAACTACTTCGAGATGGGATCTTCGAGCTCGGCTCCCAGTGAGGAGGGGACTGTTTTGGCTCCATCCAGACAACGTATTAGATGTAGGACTCCCCCCCACATGGGAGTTCCTGTCCCGAGGACAGCAAAGGGAAGAGAGGAGGAAAACCAGCCGAGTCGAATCACTGAAGATAAAACAGGTCAAGATAAAAGCTTTTAAACAAAATACCAGGTGACTTGTATTGTGGGAGCGTTTCTAGCAGGAATCTTTCATCAAAGTGGACCTTCAAACTCTACCGGGAGCTAAAGCCAGCAGCGAAAATGACAACATCTATCTATTTCTTCTTAATAGTTCTGATGAAAATAACATTCAGCAGTGGCAGATAAATTGTAGTGTCATTGGCGCACTAAGGGCAAAGTCAGGGTTTCCTCCAAATGATTGGAAATCACATCCTAGGGATGATGAATGTTCGTACCACATTTAGATAATTTCAATTCAATAATATTTCATGGTGGACCAAATTCTCAGACTGGGAGACTGAGTTCAAACAGAAAAGGGCCAGACATGAGAAGCACTATTAATTGCCATGTTCAGCAACAGGCTTCCACCCGTCAAGCTTGCAGGCAAGCGCCATCCTTCAACATTTAATTTCATTTATTTCCCATCAGAATGGTCCCTTTGATTTCCAAAATCTCTTTTCCCAGCGGGACACCTGGCCATGACGGCAGCATAAACGATTCACATGAAAGCACAAAGTGAAAAAACAAGTAGTGTCGTCCAGTAAAAAGGACATTCCGTGTGAATAATCCGGTGTCTAAAAATCTTACATGCTTATAAAATAATCCAGTTTAAAAGAAGACGGTGCTGGTTCTACGAACGAGGGAAAGAACTCGTCTCTTTGCTGCTTCTGGGAGTGGATAGAAAACCTAAATAAGGAGGCGGTTTGGTATGCACCACCATGTTTTCCATTTCAGGGTTGTATAGCAACAAGTTCCCAAACAAACTGTGCAGAGACCAAACTCGGGAAACAAATCGCAAGGCAGCGTGGCGAGCACACACTGGATCGGAGCGCCGCCCCACTGGACCCGCTGCTTCTGCATTACAGCAGTCCTCTGGAAAGCAAATTGCTAAATTTCCAATGTGACCCAGATCAGAGAAACTCCATGACATCAAACAAAGGCCACAGCTGCCACTCAATACACAGCATTTCCTGTCTTCAACCCCCCCATTTCCTATATCCGACCCACTGGACAATATGCTCCATATGGAGCGGAGACAATAACAGGCAGTGGGACTCTTTCACAACTACAACAACATTTGTTGGGGTGAAACAAGTTGACGGGCGACGCCTCTTCTTCGGCCTCTCCCCCTACACACATCGACGAATGTGGCTTTGCATTGGTTTTCATCAAAAAGAGTGAGCGGTAAATCAAAGAAAACATGGAGCGTTCCCCGAATCTCTCCACCTTCCATCATTGGTACAAAAGATGATATAGGCAGAGGTGTTGCTGCTGAACTCTCAATCATAGAATTATATTGCTACTTTCTGATAAAAAATGTGCGTTTTTACTACTAAAACAGGCAACTCCCCGAAAAAATAGTGAGAAAAAATATATTCCTTTGGTCACGTTTGAATTTTTCTAGAACTTGTTAGCAACACGTATGAACATCAGCATTCATTCAGCCATGTTTGTGTGTCCCAGAAAGGCCAATATTCACTCCGCTCTTATTTTGGTCTCCACCAACTCCTGAGGGAAATATTTGGCCCGATATCCACCAAATGTCCAACTCTGTCCACCAACTCGTTCCTAACTTTATTTGTATGCTGTTTGTTTCTACATGTCAGGCTTAGATTTCTAATGTCCAGAGATTGTTTATATGGATTCTGAATCTGAGACTCAATGATTGATTTACTTCTTTCGAAAAACCACACAATGTAGCTCACTACTTGCCAGAGAGACCTACATCTTATTCGTCCATTTGACCTCCTGGCATTCTGTCTGCTTTCTGAAGGCACCTCAGGTCCTCACAATGACTGCGGGTCATAGATCATAGAAACACACAACAGCCTCTTTTTAAAAGACAAAAACACATGTATGCATAATGCATTGAGGTGAGACGACACCCACAATGTTGTGCACAAGGTCGAGCTGGAGCCTGGAACACACGGCATGTCTGAGAAACCACACAATGCTGTTCTCTATCGCCTGCCTGAGCAGTTCCTTTATGAAACAATGTGTCATATGTTATAACAAGAAAAGTTACTGATAAAAAACTGAATCCTTACTTATAAAAACTGAATCCTTCGTTAATTTCAGTCGTCCATTTTTTACTGAAGATATTCTTTCTAAAACTGAGCATATATATATATTTCCATGCATTTCCATCCATTGCACTGTTAAAAGCAGTCCAATGTCTTATTAAAAACGTCTTATTAATTTAATTGATTTAATAAATTGGCTACGGTCATGTAAACCAGATTGCTCCATCAGACAAAAACAAATAAATGTAAAATAAACGCTTCGGGGGCTCACTGCCCCCCGCTGGCTTTGAGGTTTTTAGGGAAAGCTACGGCTAAAGCTGAACAGAGCATTAATACCACATCTGACTGGAGAAAAGGTCACTGGATATGGATATATTCCACTCTCTAAAAGCAGGTGTACAGTCCCTGTGAAGGTTGGACTCACATCGACATCTCATTATCCTCGCCAACCTCTGCTTCCCAGTGGGCTATTAATGACCTGCAGCTCCAAACACAGAATTTTTTTTTTATTCCTGACTGAGGCTCAAACCGCTGCACACCAGGTCCTACATTGATCCCATCAGTGAAACTGATGAAAAACACAGCTTCCGTGTGCAGCTTACAGGGCCGTAACTTTTGTTACGCAAAAGCATGGGGGAAATGACAGAGCAGGTTTATCCTCCGCCATCTATTCATCTGGTTTATTGTGTTGTGGGAACATAATAAACACATACGATTGTATCAATGTAAGGAGATAACACCTAAATATAACCTTTTGGTTACTGAAATGACCATCTACTCAAACCCTTCCCATTTTCATCACCTCTCCATTAACTCTGATATTTGGTCCAAGTAGTCTTGTGCTCGCTCTCGATTCACTGCAGCATCTGAATGGCTGTTGATTTGCTTGAAACTCAAAACGCTGCAAAAGCCATTCATATTTATGTGAGATTGTTGTCACTTTTTGTATTTATTTCGGAAGAGGGACGAGGTTAAATCAGATCTGTGCTCAAATATTGAAAACTAAGCTGTGAGGACCATTTATTGCAGGCTAAGCTAAAGCTAAAAGCAGACAAAACTTTTCTACTGTAACTAACTATTCTACCGTCTACTGCAGAGAACAAGACACATTAAAGAAAAGATGTTTGAGTGTTCAAGTCATCGCCTTCAACCCATAACTTTGATCAACGGTAGGTAAGATGCTTTGGGACTAAGTCGGATATTGTTGAGTGAACGATGAGTTTCCAGCAGAAGAATATAATTGTCCTTTTGTGAACAGTGGCTTTGATTGCAAATTTCTTCTATCCGAGTCTTTTTTTTCTCCCTTTTACTGGTTGACAAAGAAGACTTTTGATGCTACATTAGTCATCCTTTCCACTGGTCTTGGCATGTGGCTTCGCCAGAGGAAGAGCCGGTGGATTCACAGTGACATCAATGCTGCTGTTCATTGCACTGCTGCATGTGGTCGTTGGTTGTTTCAGTATTGAAAAATATCTCGTGCTTATAAAACATTTTGGCCGATGAGGAAACCAGTCAGATGTCCACGCTGCAATCTAAACCGGCCTTGCTGTATTTGGTACGTTTCGCGTTGGAGGTCTTGGTAATTCCCCTTGGTTGACCTTTCACTCAACACCTCCTCCTGTGTGCATAAATACTCAAAGCAACATCATTTGAGCCTCGGTTTATGAAGATCAAACACTTTCTCTTGTGTAAATTGCATATTCAAATGCCACAGAAGATTGAATGGATGCGAGCCAAAGCAATCGACTGGGCCATCTGCCTAAACACACACAAAAACAAGGTTGTTGTCGTCAACAACTCATGCGGTGACTATGCCCTGCAACGGCATCCACACCTCCCACTCGCCTCGCCCTCCTGCCCGACACACACGCTGTTAGTGTATTTTTAACGGGGTTTGTGCAGTATAACGTTGAGGTTAATTATTTTGCAACTTCAACAATCACAGCTGCCGCACACAGCGAGATTGAATATACGTTTTTAGGGACAATTGCAGCGGAGACATTTTTTAACACCGTTCAGGCTTTCGGGGAGTCTTCTGGTGTCAGTCAAGGGGTCTCGAGCCCCCCCCCCCCCTCTCACCACACCTTGCATTTCACACAATGATCGATATCTTTTTAGTCATAACTCAAATCAGTGGGGTTGAAGGTTGTGACGAAAAAACGTGCAAACACTGCAAACACTCTTGCTTCTGTGATAATGAGAGAACTATACATCTTCACAGAAAGTGGTGTAAGGTACAATAAGGTCTGTTGAGTTCAAAGCCCAGACGTTTCAGGCTGCACATTAGAACAAACCACCTGTGCTTGCAGGTCAGTGGGGCTCAGCTTTTGCACTAAATAACGTCAGCATGCCGTCACGCTCACAAGCTCACACGCTGATGCTACGCAGGTATCACTTTCCTCACCAGAGGGGGCGCTCTTGCACTCCTGTAGATTACACTTCTGGGTGCCCTCGGGCTGCAGCTCGCGGTCACATTGAGCTGGATCCAGATCGTCGTCCGTCTCGGCCTTTGTGTTGACACATTTAATGAGGCGACGCCGAACTCCGCCACCGCACGAAGCCGAACACTGCAGAGGAAGTTCAGCAAAATGTTCAAAGTCCTTGCAGATGTTGTGTCCAGTTTAAAGTCCGACTAAACGTCCGTGCTGCTCGTCGTTTTGAGCCTGATTAACGCTCGCGTTGAAGTCGGGACAAAAGCGGATGATCAGATTAATCCATTGACTGTTTACCCGCATCCTCCTAAAGCCTGTTCTAAGACAATATCGTTCGCTAATCTTACTCAGAATTAAAATGGACACTACAACATTTGATACTAAAATCTGTGCCTGGAAGATTCCGCTTGTTGAGATTTATTTTGTGAACATGGAGGATCTAATTAAATCCACATTCCTCCATGGAAATTAAAAACAAGGCTTATTAGATTGAGCCAAATCCGGCAACACTGTGTCGAATATGTCGACAGATATCAACAGATTTCAAGTAGTAAGAAGACAGTTTGATAGTAATTGCTTTTATACGACGGTGATTATAGAACAAATACTTTCTTTTTTGACTGACTGTGGGGAAAAATGAAAACTTTCAGACTCGATTTAATACCAATAACTTGGTAGGAATACTCTAGGACGAGTAGTATTTCAGTGTGAACTGTGTGTGTTTGTGTATGTACCTGTCCCCATGATCCAGTGAGCCACTGGGCACAGGGCTGACTGTTACATGATTGGATGTTGCTGGGCTGAAGGTCCACGTCGCATTGTTCTTCCTCCGGACAGGTTACCAAACGCTGTTGTTCACCTCCCCCACACACCTCGGAGCACTGGACAACACACACACACACAAACACACAATGAAAGGCATTATTTAACCTTTGCCTTTAGCCTTGAGTTAGTTAACTGCTGAGCAGTGAGGAAACAGTACACATGCATACGTATATAAATACATATACACAAAGTCACAAGCAGAATAACCAAACAAACCACTTGTTAAATGAGTCACCTGTCCCCAGGAGGAGGTGTACCATTCCAGACACGGCTGAATGTTGCAGCTCATTTGGGTTTGTGGCCTGGAGGAAACGGCCCGGCAGTGGAAAGGTCGCAGCGGCCTCCGGTCCCTCAAGTCAAAACACTGGACCTCTCGTGATTTCAGGCCACTGCCACAACTCCTGGAACACTGGGAGAAGAGACGTAGTGCCCGTTATTCAAAGAGCAGCAGCTTCTGCAGCTTGTATCAGTAAAGTGTCAGTAAAGGTTTTCTATGTCGCGCATTCTAAAAGCTTTACGTGTATGAACTCCGCTCAAGTGGGAGCATTCTGTCCTTTCTATGACGATGCCGCTCGTACGGAAACAGTAAAGAGTATTATGTATTTGTTAGATGGAGCTTTTCTTTATCATCGGTACGTTTTTTAGATTACATTTAAATAAAGTTTATTCTTACCTTGCCCCATTCCTCTAGTTTCCATGTGGAACAGGGGCGCAGGTAGCATCTCTGGGCTGGAGCCGGCCTCTTGGCAGGATCGCAGTCAGAGTCGGGACCGGTACTGCAAGCCAAAGTCCTCCAGATGGCACCCAGACCACAGCTGGTGGAGCACTACCCCAAAATGTAGTAATGCAATGAGTACACCACAGGCTTGGATGCACAAACATTGTGTGAAATACAGCAACATTTTCCCTTACAACGTGCGCCAATTCTTTCAATTGTACGCGGAGCAGAAGCAACCGTTACGGGAAAAAAAAAATGTACTACATGAATTGGCGTTTCAGATCAAACGCGGCCTCCGGGCAACACAAACGTGTGCAACGTACAGGCCGTGTCTGCATAATCAAAGCGGCCCGGAGGCAAAAATAAGGAGAAAACAGCTGTGCGCCGTCCCACCGTCTAAGCTGACCACCAGAATGTGTGATGTGCACTGACGCAGACTCACAGCGCTCCACTTGCCGGTGACCCAGTAGGCAGCCGTGGTGTCTTGTGCGTAGGCGGCGGTCGGCGCTGGACCTGGTCGGTGTGTTAGCGAAATGGGCCCGGCGGGTGCCGTTGTGGCTCCGCGCTGGGGAGCGGTCGCCGCGTTCGTCGGAAGCTGGCTTGAGGGGGCCGGGTCAGTGCTGCTGCTGGTGCTGCTCCTCCTCGCCATCGGGAGAAGCGCCATTTCGTTTGGCGCTGGAGATGTGGAAGACGCTGCGGTTCCTTCTGTGGAGGCGGCTTGTGTGGGTTTCCCTGCGGCTGGCGGCTCATCGGCTGCAGCAGGCCGAGCGGCTCCCTCCGGGCTCGTGGGAGGTATGATTTCTGTTCCAGATGTCGGCGCGGAGCCGTAGGAGGCCCCTCGGTTACCTGAGATGTGCGGGAAGGGAACCGCGAGGTGAGCGGACGCCTCAGAGGAAGGAGGTGAGGTTGTACCGAGGTCACGGCCTGTCCACCGCGAATTACCCTCAGTAGTGGCGTAAACCCTATCAAAGGGATTCTGATCCAAGCCAAGACCCTCCAATGTGAAGGCAGGCGTTGATCGACTGGTTGTTTGAGGTATTTCAGAAGAACTTTCCAGCTGGACTTCAGTCCCAACCTGATTTATAGTGTCTGGTGAGGAAGAGCCAACTGGTTCTGGACTCTCTGCAGAGCCATCCAGACCGTGTGTAAAGTCATCACGTGCCTCGGTCGCGCCTATAGTGCCGTTGGTGACGCCTTGGTGTGCGGGGACGGAAGAGACATCCTCAGGGAACATGTCGTAGTTCTTTTCAGCTTCTTCTCCATACTGCCCCCGTTTCACATTGGTTGCGGAAACCAGACTCGGCATTGTGCTAATGTTCTCCGGCCGGGACGCATCCTCCCGTCGCGTCTCTTTGAGTGTCAGTGAATGAGGGGTAGACAACAGCGGGGAGCGGGTGGGGAACGCAGGCAGGAGATAATCCTCAGACAGGAGGTCACTCAGATCTTCTGAAGTGGTTTGCATTGACTTCTCGGTCGCTGCCTCGCCGTTCTCCTTTGCATCCTCCGGATCGGTGTTCTGTGGCTCTGAGGGCGGTTTTGTAGTTTCTTTAACCCCGCCGGCCGGGTTGATCCCCGGCGGAGCATCGAATCCGCGACCGCCCCCTAAATCTTTTCCGTCGCTGTCGACGTCGTCCAACAGGTCCTCGTGGAAGTTGATAAAATTGTAGTCATAGTAAAAATCATCGACTTGAACCCCGTTTTCCGGCGAGTGGTCGGTTCTTTCTAGCTTATTGTGATAGTGAAAATCTCCCTCCACAACGTGGCCGGGGTGATTATCATTAGACCTCGGCTGCGCCCGGGTGGCGCTGTGTTTGGGAGGAGGCTTGACGTCGGCTACGGAGTCAATCTCGTTGAGCACCTCTTTGCTGGACCAGCCACTTCCGGACCAGTCGACGCCCCCAAAGTTGTCCACCTCTCGTGGACAGTCGCGGACGAGGCAGGCGCTCGCAGCGGGGGGCTTCTTCTCCGGGTCGCAGTCCACGCCCGTGTTCCTAGAGCAGGTGACGTTGCGGCGACGCACTCCGCTCCCACACGTCAGCGAGCACTGCACAGAGGGGAAACACACAACAACTTCAGGTCGGGATACGCGCGGGCTTTTACTTTTAAAGCGTTTTGTCAAAGTTGAGGGTATAACTGGAATGTTGTGGTACGACTTAAAATCGAGTGAATGCAAGAAATGAATCACTTAATCAGATTATTCAGCCTCGGCTGAAGAACTGACAGAGATGTACATCAAATATAAAATGCTAGCAATCCCCGTGATTCAGTTCGAGGGAACATTTCTTAAAAGTGTAGGAAGAAAACACAAAGGACGTGACCTCCGTATAAGCCTCTACTTGAGGCAGTGCTTAGCCGGCTCTTAGCAGTGCGGGTCGGTCTGTGGACGTCAGTCAAAGGCTTGAGATGGAAAAATGTGTTGTGGCGCTATGCTGCCATAATGAGGAAAACGCACACAACAGAAGAACTCGACAATAACAGCACGGACGACTTTCTCCAAGGTCACTAAATACCCTGACATCACATTCACAGAAAGTTCTTTTCACAAACTACTCTGTGTGCCTTATTATTCTTATACTTATTATTATATTTGACATGTTTGGGACTCGCCTTTGACCAGCTGGCCACGCTCCAGTCGGCCGGGCAGGGCAGGTGCGTGTTGCAGGAGGACAGGGACTGCGGCGCGGGTACGTGCTCGCAGTGACCGGCCTCCAGGGCCTTCTGCTCCTCAGCGCTTACTGCCCGCATGCAGAGCACCGTCCTTTTGGTGACGCCCGAGCTCCCGCAGCTCGCCGAGCATTTCTGCCACTCTCCAACCCGCCACCTGCACGCAAGCACACAACAGATGCAAACGCTTACCCTTTAATAAAGATGGTAATACTGTACAGCTGTGCTGCAAGTTCGGCGAGTTCAATTCGGCCTCCCTCGGGCACACAATGAGAATATTGCTTTTTCTTGTGGGTCAAAGAACAATACTGAAATTGACTGAATATTCTACATATTTGTGGATTTGCTCGGGAAGCTAGATGTGTGTTCTGTCTCACGCCGCACATTTGGTTTTAATTCAATTCAATTTTAATGGTGAGATTAATGAAAACAAAAATTTGGAGGTACTTCAAATACGCTATTAAAAGCCATTTATTGCCAATCTGTGACTTCAAACCCCTGCTGAAGATTGAACTATTACATTTGGAATAGCTGTTGCGAGTGTTAAGATACAAAACAATGGCACCTGGTACTTCACATGTGAAGCAATCAGGTCAAAAGTCCAATTTTCTCCAATGCACACTACAAAGCTCCTGCTGGTTAAATAACACATGTTGTATAGCGGAGTGTGCGTTTCTGCAGATGTCATTTTGTTAACAACGTCCTGCGGATAAACACTCACATGGCCGGACACGGCTCCTTGCTACAGATGGTTTGGTTATCGTCGGGTCGGGTGCCGGGGTCACAGAAGTGCTCCTCCACTATCCCAGTTGTCTTTTCCACACAGTGAACAATCTGCCTCTGAACACCTGGAACGCCAGTGACACGGGAGACAATATGGGACAAGGCGCTCAAATCGATCTTAGCCGACTATTATTAATAACATGACGTTTTATCTTTTCACACCCACAATATTGCGAGTTGCACAAAGTCGTGCACGAAAGGACTCGGCTCCTCCAGTAAAACCCTTTTCCATCACAACTAATTACGCCCCATCAGCCAGAGTGACACCGCTGAACTCCGTGTGTCCTCCGCCCGACTCAATTTGCAACTGCAATGAACCCTTTGGAAGGAAAAGACGGCTGCAGGCAGATTGAATCCCAGACAGAGAAAGAAACGAGGTACACGAGTCCACATCTGCGTGACATCACACGCAACCTCACAAGTACTCGACCTCCACTCCCCCCCACCGTCACTAATGGAAGAGGAACTGTGTCGAGTTGACGGTCCACAACACAAAATCATGTTCCACAATCCTGTTCAAATAACGCACCTATTTGTATCGCCACATACATGACATTTAACTCCTGCATTAGACCCGTCCTGAGCATTAAGGAGCATTAAGGAGCGGCTGTGGTTTATTGTCCCATGAGCACAGAAAGCAGCCGGGGATCACATCACCAACCCGGTCGTTGGACTAAAAGATGTCTACATACAGTTTGTTTAAAAAGAGAACAAAAAAAAAAAAGGAGACAGTCGTTTCCCCTGAATTAGTCATTAAAGTACTAAATCCACGGTCGACAGGGACACAGAATACACGGTACTCGCTGCACTCAAGAGGCAGCTCTATTTAATCTTCTTCATGCAACGCTTGTTTCAAAAGGTTCACTGTTCAGCCACACGGACAAGCTTTCAAATCCTTTATCCGTCACACACCATGAGCCCCTAATTGATCTTCAAGGCCCATCACGCAGGTCAGCGGCAGCAGCTCCTCCGGTACGTCGGTGAGTATAAACATTGACAGATCGGCTTCACACCAAGTTCAAAACGTGTTTAGTGTTGACTTTCAAAAAGGGGACTGACACGTCCCCTTTTCTGCTCAGTGGCCGTACGTGCAATGATCAAATGTCATGTGCTTTATATGCAATAATGGAATTGCATATAAAGCTAAGAGAGATCAGAAGGTAACCAACGTGTTCAGCGTCAGCCTTTCTTTGTATACTCTTAAACGTGAAATACCACTTCTATAGAAATGTAATGGAAAAGGATAAATGCAATTGAATAATATTTCTGTGAATAGTTTCTCTCAAGATTTGCATACCGAGTAGTTTTTGAATGGGGAATGTTAAATAGTTGGCAAGACCAGTTTACCTACAAACCCAGAGCAAAACCCCACGGTGGATTTTCCTACCTGTCCCACAGGTGATACTGCATTGAGTCCATGAACCGTGTTTCCAGAAGAAAACGGACGCGGAGCCGTTGTCGTCCTCTGAGGCATTCCGGCTGATTGTGTACTCGTAGCGCACCCCTGGATTGCTCTCCTGAAAGAGAAGCTTTAGCACACAAGACAGAGTCAAATAGATTCAAACCCAACTACCAAAAGAATACAACTTCATCATTTGAGCCTATTAAACATTTGGTGGACATTGCATCGGCTTTGTGATCTTAATGTTGTAAATAAAAGGTGATTGTCTGACCTGAATCCACAGTGGCTCCATAGTGGGCCCCGGGGACGTCAGGTTCTCCAGATGTCCCGTCCTCTTGTAGGTGAACACTGTCCCGGCTGCCTTGTACTCTCCGTTCCACTGGATCGTCCAGCCACCGTTCAGAAAGTACTTGTTGGGGTTATCGCTTCGTAGCGCCAAGAAATTCTCAGCTTCGGCCACTTCCTCGATGCGGATGTCCCAGGCAGCCTCGGGGATCAGTCCGATGTCCACGTAGCCTGAGAGGCATAGAAGGGACACACAGTTAAATAATCGTCGGGGATCCCAGACTTCTCACATCAAACGCAAGTTATTAAGAAACATACCAAGTCCTTCAGTCTCCTCGAATGTTCTCCTCACGGTTGTACAGGTAGATCCGTTACCGTGACACACGCCACAGCGGTCCACGACGGCACCGGAGTCGATCACATAGTCGCAGCCCAAGTTCTACACATACGGATGAAGATGAACTCGACAATCCATTATCTAGATCGATCTAACGACAAAGCTGACATGCGATAACAGGCATGATGCCGCTGGTAGGGGAGTATAAAAGACACATTTTCTGTCATAAGGACTTGATGAGCCTGGTGTGATCTGTTCATTCGTGCACGGAACACAACCCTGCCTCACTTCACCTGCCCAGATAAGACAGGAGATGTAAGCGGAAATCAAAGTAATCCCTCTTTTATTGTCCCTTGCCGTTTTAGGATTGTTGTGAGCTAAAGGTGCAATACTTGATTGAAAATAAGGAAAAGGTTAGTGCTACGAGATCATAATGAAATGAAATATTGCGGTCCAGACAGCTGCCAGCGGTGCTCACAGATCAAACACGGCTGTGCTAGCAGCGATAACCGGAGGAAGAACCGAGGAACCATTCGTCAGGATTCTCAGCGCGCGGAGACGCCCGCGCTAACAAGCCAGCGTCGCCTGATGGGCAAGATGGACAAAGCACAGAGGAACTCGTACGGAAACAGTCAGAGGCTCAGCTTCCTGCTCAGGTAGATTTTACTCCCCTCGGTCCGTTTTGCCTCAATTTGCCGTTTTGCCTCAATTTGTCTGATCAATTTGAGATATACTGAGCGGCTCTAAAAAAAAAAATCCAAATTGTTTTCCGGGTAAAAAAGGTGGGATCAATGTTGATTCCTGACATAAATGTCACAAAATGTCATGAAGTCTCAGGCACAAAAGTCTGTATCGCCGTCCACGCAGTATCAAAAAACCACGTCTGCATCAGCGGCATCACTGGCATTTTGGCCCCCGGGTGAGATAACGGCCACCATGTCTTTCCATCAACAAGCCCATTCTCGCGCAGAATGTCAAATGCACGAGCCGGAGACGGCGTTTTAACATGCAGCATGGCCGGCGAGGCAGACGCACAGTTGTCAAACAATACGTGCAATAGTAGTTCACAGCGGTGATACCTTACAGACGCCGTTCACGCACACGTCTCTGCTCTTGTTGCCTTCGTGGCATGGCGTTCCGTCGGCGACGGCCTCCTGCAGCTTCTCGGAAAAGTCTTCATCCAGCGGACGGCAGTGCAGCTCACAGGGGCTGACTGAACAGAGTCACAAACAACCGCAGCGGCCGCTTTAAACTCTCCCCGAAACGCCGTCTCTTGGGTCAAGGCGAAGTCTGCTCCGCTCACCTCTGTTGATGACGGCTTCCCACTCGTAGAACTTGCCCTTGTGCGGCACGCCGTTGAAGTGGCGGCACTGGAGGTCTCTGAAGGTGGGCAGGTCGCGAGGACACGGCGCGTTGTTGCAGATCTTGTACCTCCGTCTCTCTCCCAAACAATACTTCCCTCCGTGCTTGGGGCTGTTGGATCATCCAAGCATTTGTGATGGGAGTGAAGATCAGCGGCTTCATTCAATGCCCGTCTATTTATTCATTAAATTAAGGTTATGTGATATCCATCTGTTTGCTTGTACCATCATCCTTATTGTTTGTGTTATACACGATGCCTAGTGTTTATCACTAGCAATCTATAGATAGATAAAACGTGTGAATTAAGTTGCTGCTTTTATCATTAAACCGTCAGTCATTATCGGACCACGTAGAGCCCAAAGAGGCCTCACCTCTCCTTGTTCTTACAAAGACACTAAACAAAGTAAAGCAAAATAAACTTTTACAATGGCTCTGTCTTTAAACTGTATTTACTGGATGTGTAAAAAAGGTATTTTTGGCGGAAGAGTGAAACTTACACCGGGTTCTCACAGTGTCTGTGGGCGCTCCGGACTCCGACGCCACACGTCCTGGAACAGGCCAACCACTCGCTCCACGCCGCCCAGCCGCCATCGACGCTCTCGGGCTCCGATCCGACGGCTACGCACTCGCCGCCGAAACACCACTGGTGAAAAACGGAAAAGCTTCTTTTGATAGAAGCTCACTCACACACGGGAAGCTTCTTCTTGTTATCGTATTGACCACTGAGATACAGACAGAGCACTTTGTATTCTGGTACGTTTTCTCTCTGTGATATTCATGAGAAACAAATTGTTTGTGTTTTTTTTCATTTCAGGGTAGTTTGTGTTTCTGCTGCTATCTGGTTAAAGTTCAGGGTGCATTTGCACAATAACAGCCAAGGCGTTGATGGCCATCATGTTTCTTGTTCTCTCAGTTGAAAACTGCAAATAGGAAAGACTAAAGCCCCTCGACAGCACGTTAACGATGCACGACCGATTCCTTCGACACGCTCAGGGAATGAAAGCCTCACCTTGTCGTCCCCACAACTGGTCCCGTCCACCGCGCCGTCCAGCTTTGAGTGGCAGGTTGCTCCCACCGTGCACCACAGAGTGCTGCACACGTCCTACGGAAGCAACGAGGGATTTGAGTCTTGCTGCCACGACGCCTTTAGCTTGTGTAAAACAAAAGAACGTATGAACACAATGGATTTACAGAGCGTTCTGCTGTGCTGCTGAAGAAGTTTCTCATAGAGGATATAATAATAATAATAATAACTTTTGCATTTGGTCCAATTGTTTGTGTTTTAAGATTCAAACCTTTTAAATGCAAAAATGCACATGTGAGCAATATTTAGCTTATTTCCCCATTAAAGATCTCTAACTGTCTGACTTATGACATCCAAAAGAAAGAGACAGGTGACGTCATCATAATCCTTCTGTGTCGCACGAAAAAACAAAAAGCATTAGAGAAGCTTCAACAACCCTTTTTACCAAGGACACAAAACGAGACGAACGGACTGAGAATCCATCCAGGGAGCTTTGGGAAGAAAAAAAAACATACTTTCGTTCATACCTTCACTTTTATGTTCAAAGCAAAATAATCAGAACAGCAGCAGCGACTTATTGAGAATTCACATTTGTGTGATTGGAGGACAGAGAGACAAGTTGCTCCGTTTCATTTCTGTACGAGAGAAAATTCATTATTTCTGTGACGTTTTATCGTATGAACCATTTCGGTTCATCGAGTTTCCAACACACTTTTATGTTGAAAAGAAACGAAACCCAGCAGATCAATTTCTTCCAGCTGCAGCGGAGACACGGGGCAGCAAAGGTGCTGCCAGGAGCTTTTAATATGTACATAATCCTCATTAAAGTAAGCGTTGTCAATTCCTGAACTCTGGCTTGTGTTCTGCGCAGTAAAGTAAAGCTTGTTAAAAAGGCAAGACTCATATTCACTTATAGATAATTCATGTGTAGAATGAGTGGAAGAATTAAATGAAGGACGGAACTCTGCACTCGTGGATTCTATTTTATTTTCAATTGAAAGAGGGTTCAATGGGAAGGCATCTCTGACATGTGCCGTTCTTTCGTTATTAAATGTGTTGGCTTTGTTTTGCATTATAATCCGAGGGGAAATGAAAGTTAGGAGAGTGATAAGCTTGTGTGCTGTGACGTATAATTGACAGATTTAAAATCAAATTGTTCCCATTTGAGTCGCCTGCTAAAAAGTGCTGCGTGACTGCGATCTACAGGGACGCATGGCCGCAGTATTAGAAATAGACTGATGTTAACTTATGTAAGCCAAAACGGATGATTCGATTTTTATATTAAATCAAGTAGAAATTCCATGTTGTAAATCTGTATGCATCCACCGTTGTTTTTCTATCCCGCGAGATGCTTGCTGGCAATCCTATAAATATATAGAAACACTATGCGGTTACTTTGAGGGATTGGTGGGAAAATGCAGGTTGGGGGTCTCCTGCAGTCTGTCATTTTGCCATTCCTGCTGTTCAGGCATGATGTGCGGCGCATAAATCATTCAGATCAGCCTCCAGCAGTAATACACAGGAGTCCTACCAACCTTTGAGCCTGACAGCTTAAAAGGCTCACAGGATTTATGTCTAATCTGGAATACATCTACTGAAACACACAAAGTGTCTTGTCAAAATGCTTAAATTGCCTAGTGGATTCTTCCGCAGTGAGTTTGGACCTTGTTTGTCATCGACTTGTTAACCTTTGCATAATTTCAACTGGTCCCTCTTATTTCCCCATGTGACCCATTTCACCCCGACCAGCTCGACTACAGAGCGCCTGTCATGAATCAAGGCTTGATGAATGCAGAGTGCGCGGCAGTGGGCGGTAAGAAACACACACACACACGGCGCCCTTCAGGCTCCAGAGCGCTCCCTCAGACCCCCCCCCCCCCTCGTTAGATGGTTGAATAGCTTCTGAAGTCTCCTCCTCCTCATTGATGGATTATAGAAGGTGTTTGAACTCATTAGACGACCAATTCTTTGTTGAGAAGGCCTTTTCTGGACTCCATTGAAGTGACTTTAAGTCCACTCACTCTACGATTGTAAGATGAGAATCTATTTGTCAAGTATTGATAATGACCACATGGTGCAGCACAGTGCACAGCAGGTCCATTCAGAATGTAATATATTCTTTTCTTTGGGGTTTCTACTGGAATATGGCTGCATGCGTGGTACATTCTAATGAGCCTGCAGGTGATATAGGAAAAGGAGCCAAACCTGGAAGGACTTTTCGTCACATGTTTTCTGATTAAGGCAACTCTCAGAAATACCCAAATGTGTGTGCACTACGGCAAGAGAGTTTCATGCAATGTTCCCTTAAAATAAACCGTGCTGTGGACACAGAAGATTAAACGATAGTAACGTGGAGTTTACTGCAGCCATGTGCCCTGATTTCCTATGTAATAATAAAATAAGTCGATAACTTAGGAACTTTTCCCAGTAACTCTTGATTCCTTCTTCAGTTTATCTTACTTTGTGCCTTGTGACAGAAATAATTCTGATTATTATTAGTTGTGCTCCAAGTTATTTCCCCTTTAATTGAACATCAGTTAATTAGATAACAAAGCACGTACTGTTCATGTGCTTTTTGTAGTAATGATTCAGATACGACGTTCAATCAATCAGAAAGAATGTATACGGCTGCTGTTGTTGTGAAGAATGTGATGCAATAATTAGATGTTTTCTACAGCAGACGCTGTGCTGAACACACAAAAGGATCAGGGAAGAATGCAGTAGGCAGACAGCATAAAGGGAGATGTTTCTATGGGAGCTGTAAAGTACAAGGACAGGTCAAAGCAAACAGTCTTTGCAAGGAAATGTGGGACGGGGACGACCCCACAGTGCAGTGCAACAAGTACACACAACACATAGGAGGAGTACAAAAACGGGCGACAGAGAAAAGCAGAGGAACGAAAGAATGTGAACACAGGAGCCGCCCCATTGTTCCCACAATACTTTGCATGGGTTCATTTTGAGATAATTGAGCCTTACGTCCATGTCATCGCACAGCACGGAGCCGGATCCATACTGCAGCCGGCACTGATGTGCAGAGCTGTACAGAACCCCGGGGAGCACCGAGTCCGGCTGCAGCTTCCCTTTGACCGGCGCGTCGTCCAGGCACCAGCCCCAGCCGCGACTAGCAGGGGACGACCAACACAGAATGAGAATGCTTTAGAAATGCCTCTTTGTTACAAACAATCTTTCTTCCACATGATGTCAAAATGAACACTTTCTTTCTAGTTCTAAACTACCAATTTACACCAAATTATTTCATTAATCTTCTTTCTAAATGGTTGCGAGGTCACTGCATGTATACAAATTAAGTAAAAAATAAAAAAAATAAAAAAATCTGGATTAATTATCTGAAGCCAAAGTCCCTTCATAATGTCATCTGCGTGTGCACGAACACTGCTTTTTCATTACAGGTATTACAACGTCGTACTCGTGGATTTGTCAGCTGAGCAACCTGACCGGAATATTATTGTTTAACTGGGCTGAAATCTGAAATTCGCTCCCGTATGGATTCCCTGTAAAAGCATTTGATGCACGATAAAGGATTTTCCATCAGTCAATAAATTGGTCAGATTGAGTGAGCAGATTCTGCCTTAAACACGAACGCAGCGCTTATCAGGCGGACGCAACAGGCCGGAGTGGCAGTTTTCTGCTCTATCGATCACATGAATGATTGCACACATGAGATCAATGGTGCTTGTTTGCTTCAGCAGAAGCAATGAAGTTCAATCGAAAGGAGGATGAAACGGTTTGGCGATCGGTCCAATTGAAACGTGCAGATTAAAAACTAATTCAAACTTAAATATGTGTATTTAATAAAAAATAAAAGGTAATCTTTAAAGTACAGGCAATGCCTTTAATTAAAACAATCTTTTGCCCTCCTTTAAAAACTCCATACGAACAATAGTCTCTAATCTGCTTCTTCGGTTGTCGTTTTATACTTTCAACATATAGCCTCTAGATGCCTTTTCAGCCAGGTCGTCCTTATGAATTGACTGTTTTTTTTTTTTATTTACTTTAAAACGACGACGGTTCGACCACCGCGGTCTTCGACTTCTGTGACACGCGCCACGGGAGGAAAAAAACGCATCATTACCACTTTTTAAATGACTCCCAGAGAGAAGGAGGCCCAGCAAAGGGCATCGCTTGAAGGTTTGTTGTGTGTCTCCCATTAGCATCGGCAATTACACTTAACTCTGTCACGATAACGAGTATTCCGTTATCTAGCTGAGGGTTGGTAATGGTCTTTTTACCAAATTGGTGACTCTTCACCACAACCTTCAGTGAGGAGGTTCTTAGTGTTTGTTGAAAAGTTACACGAATAAGCTCCCCGTCACTTACTTTCCATCCATTTAATGCTTGCAGTGCAGGTTTCCTATCAATGCAGTTCTGAGAAAAACAGTCTATACATCAATTCCAATGTCGGGTCAGGTTGCTGTGCAACGTGCTACAAACGCTTCACTGTAATTCTTTGATTTTTTTCCTTTTCATCAGAGCTTCTTCTATTGAAAACAACTGGCTGCTGCGACTGAAAGAAACGGCCGACTGAGTGACGAGAAGGAACTAAAACACTTGAGCTGCATTCATTCATTTACAAAATAGAAAAAAAGTATAAAATAAACCCCCTGCGTAGTCTTTTTAGCCTTTCCCTTTAAATAACTCCTCCTGTTGCCTGTGTTACCTGCATGAACTGTATTCTGTTCATTTATTTATCGTTATCTGTACATCTTTTGCACAAATGACACAAATAAATGACTAATTGGCTGTTTTGCATGCAGGGATTTTGCTGCAGTGGTGTACAACTCTCCTGCTGAGCTGACGATTAATAAGTGCACATAAATTATGTAGCCTCGTATTGTGCTTTGCTGTATTTTATGGTGCGTTGTGTTTATCTGCGGTTCTCACACACACGCAGCTCAGGAGTCGCTCTGACTCAATATCTCAGTATAGCTGATAAAACACATTTTGATATCTTTTAGATCGGGACATCTCGAGTTAATAAATATAGGATTTTTAAACTTTAAACAGCAGGTCCTTTGTGAAGAATACATGTTCTTTAATATTGAAAAAAAGTCTTTAAATAATGTTGTACTCATAAGTTAAATAAATAATAAAATAATAATATAAAGAACAGTAGGCACAAATCTGATATGACCTCACGCCTCCTGTTGAACAGCAGCAATTAAAATGTTCTCCATCAGTGCCTCCAGAACGAAACGCAGCTCAGAGGTCAAATTAGGTTCAACCGCCGGTTAAACTGAGCGTTCCTGGAACGTTTATCTCAATAAACAAAATACTTCCCGAAATTAATTACAATTCAGAAATTTGATGCGATAACATTTGCCGTTATGTGCGAGGCGTCTCCGTGCTCTGTTCCTCGAAGCAGCAATAAAGTGAACATGAGAGGCTTTTGCCGCTTAGCCTCCGGCGGCTTTCATCAATTGAAAGAGGGGGGCGCAGAGGGGGGGGGGGGGGGGGGGGGGCTCTGTATATGAGCGGTCAATCTTTGCGATAACATCTGAACCACTCAGCCCATCGTGACCCTTCACATTCCTCATTGAGTGACACCTACGGAGCAAACCTGCGAAGGCTCGGGGACGGAGCCAAACACAATAGGAGCCTTGTCCCGCTGTCCACCAAAGAGACAAGAACAGAGGGAAACGTGGGGGACGCTGGAGCGCAAACGATTACTGCAGCTTTAGTAAAGCTCGATGTGGCTTGCTGGCGATCAAAAGATGTGGACGCGCCAGTTGGGAGGGGAGGGGGGGGGGCTTTATATTTGAGCTGTGTCCCACACGGAAAGAAAAAAATGCTTTGTATTCTAAGTGTGTTTCAAGAGGAGCGTTTTCTCTCTCCAGGATTACAATCACAGCTTTAGAGCACATCTGTCTCACGGGGGGGGGGACGGTCCTGCGTTGGACCAGACGTCCGCCCGGAGCTCCTTCCTGCACGCCGTTCCGTAGGCAATTATAGGAAATATATATGTGAAACGTTATCATTGAGGCCGAGGATTTTGCAGTTTGAGTTTAATTTGAAAAGAAAAGTCAGTAAAAAGCCTCGGGGATCACCTGCGGGGAACGAGAATTACTGCTCAAAATGGAAAAGCAATTGATTAGTCGACCAAACACTACTTAAAACCAGTCCAATTAAAACTTTACAAATGCACAGATACAATCTGTGTTTCATAATTGTCCTTTTAAGTACTTGTCTCCTTTTTAATTACCAAAAGCCAGACACACAAACACATAAACCAGCGGCCTTTGAGAATCCACCTCCCACCGGACTAAAAAGGGCTTCTTTTCCTTTTTTATGTGTGGAGTCAAGAAGCCAACGTGCTGTCGAGCAGCCAAACACCCACCGGATGAATTCCAGATGCTCGCAGCTGAAGACCCGAGTATCGTGTGTAACAATAAACCGTATATTCAACACCAGTTTTTGTGAGGAAAGACAGTGTACTGAAAGCAAAGCGCTCAAATGCAGAGCTGGAGAAACGTGGGGTTTAACAAACTCACTGCAGCCCGGTGCTGTTTAAGAGATGTGTGTGTGCGTGTGTGTGCGTGTGCGTGTGTGTGTGCGTACTCATCATCAGTAACCCAGCAGCAGGAACTGTGTGTCTTCCTGTGTATTTATTAGACAAGTTAAACGCCACGCTGCCCTCGGGTCAGGATACGGAGAGAGAGCGGCTGCTTTGTAGACACCACGACTGGAGGCGGATGAGTCACGTTCAGCTTCATGTTACCTCGCATAACAATTTATTTTGTGCGACCTGGTCAAATGTCATCCATCAGTGAGAATAAAGAACTGTGAAGGATGTTGATCAGAAGAGGGATAATCAACCCTGCCCGGGTGTACTAAATAAAAGAAAGCCCTAACACCGCAACACGGTGTGCATTTATTAACTTATGATAATTTATTTATTAACTGTTGATGCACAGAATGCGCGGCACTCACTCGAGGAAGCGGGTGATGTACTGGCGACTGCAGCGGGACCACCTGGGCAGGGAGGTGCCGTACAGGAGCTGTGGAGACATGACGAAAGGTCGTTTCCCAATTGGTTCACAGTCATTACCGTTGCCATCATGCTGAATCCCAAAGCTGTGACATAAAAGCACATCCCCACAGAGAGGGCGGTTAAAAGGGAGCGGGCACACAACAGCAAACAAGAACGTCAAGGTAAAAGTCACAACCAGCAGATACATGCATCCGTCTATCGAGTGGAACACTGTACATCAACACATCTATATATTTTGCTTAAATGTTGGATTGACATTCTGCTTTTCTCCCCAGACTAATAAAACAAATCCATTATCTACTCATGTCTGGGACGAATAAACGCACTCAGGGGGAGCTGCCTATGGTACACAAGTCATTTTAATGACTATCAAATGCACACTGCTGTCACTGGTTGAAGACGAGGTAAGTCTGCAGAGAATCGGCACATAATGTAGAATTGATAAATGGATCAATCGCCTAAAAAAAGTTGTGAACGCTCAAAATACAGAGAACATATTATTATTATTATTATATCGAATTTACTTTTTGAATTTTTTGAATCAGGGTTGTTCATGAATCTAAGGCGATAGTTTAGTTGATAATTGACTGAAAGGAAAATCTTCAAGGCTCTACAATCACCGCAGTGAAAGAAAAGGAACATTTTGCTCAAAGAAAAGTCTCATCGTTTGTAACGAATAGACAAGAGACCACGAATGAATGTGTCCCAATCGTCCCAACCCTTATAATTCCATTGTCTCAGATTGTTTTGAAGATTGCTGACCTTTTATTTCAGTATTTTTCTCACTTTGACAGCCACATAAAAAGTCCAAAAATGGCATCTGCCTGTATTCCCACACAGACGTCATAGATGGTTGTATAAAGGGAGGCGAAGAAGTGTTCTCAGCTAACTATACTAATAATATACATATATTTGAATGGAACTGAGTGTAATTAAATACGCTGAATAAACTTTAGTTGGTTAAACACAGTGAAACCTTACTTGTGTCCCAGCTCGTGAGCGACGGTGAAGGCCAACGGGAGGCCGGTGTCCTCGCTGATGCTGCAGCTGCGATGCGACTGACACATCCCGGCCACGTGGGACAGACCCAGCGTCGCACACGGCGCGTTCACCGCCGCACAGATGTCCTTCCTGGGAAAAGGGTGGTCACATTATGCTCGATTCAGAGGGAAACAGGCGAGACACAGAACGGACACTACAGGTTTTTCCCTTCTCTCCTGCAAAATGACAGGAGGCCAGCCAGTAAACAAACATGCATTATATGTATCATATATACATTAATAAACTCATCTTTCCTTTAAACGGATCTCTCCCGTGCATACTTTCTACAAACAAGCGCTAATAGTACTCTTATACTTTGAATATACTCTGGTACCTTATTGACAAACATCCCGTCCTTTGGAAGAAGAAAATGGCATTTATCAAGTTGTTATATCTCGTCCTTCACTACGCTTGGCAATTCAAACCGTGATGCTTTTTAAAATGGTTTAAAGGATACAAGAGCATTGCTGTAAACTACATGCATGACTGAATGTATTACACCGTTTATTTATTGAGTCATTTGGGGTTTGACTCGGTCACCTGCACTGTTAACTACATCTAACTAGAACCCCTTCAATCGGTAAATCAATGACTCCGGACTCCCTTGGCGAAGTGATTATGTGCGGACGGATAAATTGGGTTTTTATTGACCTGGTGAGCAGAACTGCCACGTCGTGGTGCAGCGGCTGTTCCTCTCCTTTCATGTTGAGCTTCTTCTGCCACTTGCAGAAGCTGTTCAGGCTGTTGTCAGCGTGGTGTGTAATCTTTAAGTCCTCCTGTTGTCCACACGTCACGGGGGGGGGGGGGGAGGAGAGCATCGGCTAAAACACATTCCACTAGCAGCTCACGTGCCTTAAGTTTCTATTCAATGGGATTTACGGCGCACAGCGAAGGGAAACATTCAATCTCCCTTTGACGGAAAAGGCTGAGTTTCATCCAAGCTTTCCGGCCTTCAATGCGGCTTTAATAACGGTCCGTCATACAGTACGTGCTGTATTGTATTTGTGAATTTGGGAACATGATTTATCAGGATAACTAAAGATACACACAATATCAGGAAACATTTACTTTCTATCTGATAAGTAGAAATGCTGCAAACGATGTAAAAGCAGAACATATTTCAGCTGGAATAACCTTAGTTGACTCTAATATTAATATGATTTGGCAAACAAAGGCCCGTGTGTATATTCCTAAAATACCTGCTGGTATTGTGGATAAATCGATGATAGAAAGTCAAAGCGCTGCTAGGCATGTTGTCGGGTTAATAGTGCACTAATTCACATTCTGCTCAGAATGCCTTTAAGGGATTACTCCTGCTCCCTGTAGTTCTTTTTAATTTTCTAGTTTTTTGTACATTTCATTTCATCAAAAAACAAACACGTTTTAACCTCCTCCTGCTCCAGTAGGATGAGCCGAACAACAACAATGTTGATTGCGTTCCCAATACTGGCGTCTCGGAACAGACCGGCCACCTGAAAAGAATAACAAAAGCGCATCAAGCATTGGTACCTCACATGATTCCTCCCCAGCCTGACACCAGCGTCACGTAATCCTAATGAGACACTTCATTCTGCAATTATTTTGTCATGTATTATTATTGTCGGATAATTAGCTGCACATCATTTTCAGCGCTTTGCTGTATTCAATTTCACTTGTTCTTACCAAGTGTTGAGCATCCAAAAGCAAATGCCAACGCGTTCTGCAAATAACCTTTCAGTCCCCCCTCTTAACCCTGGAGTGGACGCTTTACTCGGATGGTTTTCACACTGAGGAATTGCACCTAAAATCTTTGTTTTGACCGCGACTCGAGGTCTTGAGGCGAGGCGGCGCGTCACAGCTCCGCTCGTTTAAGGGCCGGAGGCAGCGAGGGTTTAATAACCGGAGAGAACGGGATCCCGGTCACGGAACGGTGGAATTAGAAGTGACAACGGGGGGGAAAACGGTCAGAGGTGAAAGTAACTCGCGCGTAAACACGGCAACAGCCTGCTCGCCGCACACGTCAAGTCAATAGAGGGACATCAACATCGCACCTTAAAAAGACCTCGTTGTACACTGCAGGAGATGTTTGTCAGATGCGAGATCTGCAAATGTAAACACCGCAGGAATGCATGGACAGGAAGAACCTTAAAGTCAAACTCCAACACACATTTAGGATTTTCACCGTGACGGATTTAGTCCACGCTAGAGAAATATCATTATTACAGTAGCAATGTTACAGGTATATTGTAATATACTATAATACTAAGATTTCAACACAATAAACGCCTCATTCAATGCAAGAATCAAAACTCTTTCACGGTGTCTGCTGACATGGTGCTTAAGTTTGAGGAGCTCAAATATGCATTTGAGAAACGGCCACAGATGCAGCGCGGAAGGAGAGAGCACCTTAGTCTGCAAATAACAACCCAGTTTCTAGCCGGTGTTCTTTTTGTCGGGTGAGAATGTATTCTGTCCGAGCGACGCCCTGCAGACGAAGCAGCATTGACGCACATAAAAGAGATAAACATCGAAATGTTTCGTCTCCCGTGGCCCAGTCACACACATCTCATTGCTGAATCAACATGAATTTGTCTATTATTTCTCCATTGTTTATCTGCTGAACGAAAATAGAGCTGCAGCTATTTAAAGCGTACAGATAATAACCCTGTGAAAGGAAGTCGGGAGCTATTTTTGTGGAAGGGCTTTTCTTGCTGAGGTTGATCGTCCCGGCTCTTACATGCGTGTTAAGCACACGGTGCCAACGGTGCACAGCAACAACAAGACGGCGTCAGTGGGGAGACAACGGAGCGCGCCGGTGGCCGAGGAACACGAAGCTATAACTTTGCTGTTTGGAGGTTGAGAGAAGGTTGCGTCGCTTGATCCAGTGCGAGATTGTTTTCACGAAACCGATTCATTCAGAGCTTTAAGAGTTCAAAGCTGGAGTCTTGCGGCAGAGGATGTGAGGGATGATGGCCACTTCCTGTGTGTGTTATTGTGCGTTAAGCCCGTTGATCCGCAGGCTCCTCCGTCAGCGAATCCCCTCTCCCGATACTCTGATGCTTCTTTTTGTAGCTGCGTTGAGACCAGACTGGCTCTATTTTTGGAGAGACACCTCTTCTGCGCTAATCCGTGACGGACGAGGAGTCAGATTGCTTAACGCCGAACCAGGTGTCAGTAATGGCGTTGATGGTGAGAGGCTAAAGGAGAGGACTGTAATCAAGCCATTGTGTCGCCTGATACAATTTAATCCAAACGAGATTCAACAGGTTATTTCCATTATTGGGACTCCGGTTCCCAAAAAGATTATTTAATCCTGGTACAAAACTAAAATGTCATCCAAACCGTCACATTCATTCCTGCTTTCTGTCCCCATCATCTGACATGGAATAACGTGGTTGTTAGTGCGGCTCTCCCCTTCTTTTTGTCTTCGTCAACGAGGATTTCTGTACTCAATTCGCTTTTCTGCTTATTTGAATGATTAATGACTTTTCAGCACACTTTCTTTTCTCAAAAATATGACAATTAATTCAACTAATAAAATGATCTCGCACGATCCTATTTGAGCTATTTAACTTCCTCAATTTAGAACAGATCTCAACCGTGAGTCAAGCTGCACTGCGACGAGCTCACTAGGTCACCGTGGAAATATGCTGTTGTGCGCGTAAACTACGGCACAGGAACACACGCGTCGGGTTGAGTGAGAATAGAGAAAACAACCACGTGCTGAAGGTACGCTGACTGTGTGCTGGCCGGGAAGTGAAATGGGTTTTTACATTTTTGATGAACCCGTGGTTTTGATGCACGGAAACGTTAATGTTGCAGCAGCTTACGATGTTCATGACGGCCAGGACGTAACTTTCCACAGCTTTGCTCCCGTGATGCTCCACCATCTTGTGGTCGGCCACCACCAGCGTCTCCACCCACTTCTCCTTGCTGACGGAGCGCTGGCGGATTCTCCTGCGTCTTCTTTGCTGCCGGTGCTCCCACCGCTCCCTCTGCCTCTCCGTGTCCAACGAGCCTTGATGGGAGTCTGGAGACGAAAGGCAGAAACGGAGCATAACAGCTGGTGAGTAACGACACCAAATACGGCTTTTAACGTGTGTCCAGAAAAACAAAAACCTGCCAACTCCCATAGAGTTATTCTATCCGTCCTTATTAATTAATACTTCCTTTTTCAAGAATGAACAAGTTGAAACCACATTTTGTGTACAATAAATTATGAAATATTCTGCATAAAACCACCTACAAAATTGACACACTGTAATTGTCTGCAGCTTTAAGATATTTCTCAGACGTTGTTTGTCTATTTCTATCTGTGATCAGTGACTTTCACCTAAAAAACAACAACAACAACTGTATTCATCTGGTACCTGAGCAATGCTGGATCTCACGCATGCACACACGCACACTGCTGCAGCATTGACGTCAGAGAGAAAGACGTTCTTCACTTTTAGGGGTTTATGAGCACAATTTCTATTCAGGGGCTTAAATGACTTTGTTACATTTTCGAGAGGAGCAACAAAACGTGTTCATTGTGAGCAGCAGGTTCTCTGGTGGATTCTTTACGTCGGACCGGATTCTAGGAGTCATTTTTAACGAATGAACAACAAACTTGAATGGACACGTCTGTGTGTGTGTGTGTGTGTGAGAGACGTACTCGTGATTCCGCAGGTGCCGTTGTTCCCCGGGACGGGCCGTGCGGCCGGACTGCGGGGGGGAGGGGCCGCGTGGCGTTTGTAGACGGCGTGGGACTGCGGCGCCGACGTGTCCTCGCTGGACCTCTCCAAGGGGCGAATGAAGAACTCTTCATGGGACAAGCTAAACAGTCCTGTCTGATGACAGAGAGTGGGTCAGCGGCCCTCGTCTCCTTTTAAACAATACGTGGAATATTTAGTCTTTAGAAGCTAAAGTGAAAGTACGACCCTTGGAGCTCACGCAACGGATTCTCCTCCAGCACACAAAAATAAAACTGGAAAGCTTCCAGTGAAACGGTACAAACCACCTGATGTCTCAAATGTGCTGCAGGCATCCGGGGGCGCTGATAACGGAAAAAGGTCAAATGTCACGTGAAGTACCGCCCGAAACCACATCGGCACGGTGCCCAAACAAAGTTCCGGTAGCACCGGTCATTATTTCTGGCCTCATATTTAAATCCGCTCCACCTTCTGCTCCCATGATTCAGCTTCAGTGGCTCTGACAGACAGACGGTACAGTAACACATGTGGGGGAAACGCTTGGCGGCTGTGTCTCAACGTGCAGTTCTTACGCTCGCTATCGGTGGTGCAGAATGTAGCGCAGGAGTCAGCGAGCTCACAAGAGCAGCCAGCTCCCAGTTCAGTCCACGCCGCTTTAAATTAACTACTTCACTGTCACACAAAGGAAGGAGCCACTTCACGTTCATTTTGTCGTTTCTTTCGAAACTAGTTTGATATGATGGCATTTTATTATTCTTTCTTACAGTATATTAACGCTGCTAATGTTAATAATACTGCTAATAAAGAGCCTTTTAGTATATTCAGTTAATTCAATTGAAATACTGTCTACCACAGATATAAATACTTCCTTTCATATTTAATTATCTTCATATTCTAGCCCTAAATGTTAACTAGCACTATGTAATCACGATGCAGTAACGTATTCAGAACTTCGAGTGAGCCGTGGAGACGCCTTTCTGTTATGTGGCCCTCTGCTGTGTAAATATGTGTCATCCTGTTTGTTCGCCCGGAAACATTCACTTCACCAGGGACTCTGTTATTGCCCCTTTAGTCTGACACAATCCTGCAGAAGCAGTTTCACCAACACAATTTCGGAGATATCTATTTGAAATTTGGAGTTCAGCTCATGCTTTCATTCAATGTCCAGACAGAGACCAACGATGCGAGCAGTTCATCTAAAAAATAAATATAGTGCATTAGCGTGTCTTACTGTGCCAAAGGGCTTCTGGTGGATTACCCTCAGTGGATTCCTAACCTCCTCAGCAATCAGTCACAGGGGGGGGCAGGACGGGAGGTGCTGCTCCACGGAGTGCAGACCAAATAATCCACAGGCCGGAGCGTGTCATCGCTTCCTTATAGTGCGTCCTTAATCCAATGACTCGCGCTCCCACCGCAGTGTAACAGTAGAACAATACGAGTTTTGGAATTGTTTGAATATTTATGGTCGACTTGTTCCGGGACGCAGGTCTAAAACGGGCGAAACGCTCATTCAATGCCGTCCGCTCTGATACAATAAAATGACCCCACTTACCCTTGTGAAAAAGAAACTCATAATGCAAACTCATTATGACTTCAAAAAAAAGGTAAAAGCAGATGGAGAAAGCTTCAGCTTTAGAAAATGTAACACACACTTTTCAACAAGAAGCGAAAAAAAACATGCAATTATCTTTCAAAAAAGGCTCCAGCAGGACAGAACTAGGACACTGTATTCCTCCTCCAACCGGCCATGATGCAGTTTACATCTATATCTGTCCAGAGCTTCATCATTTCCATCCGGGGTCATAACTGTCCACTGATGTCGACCTGGCTTTCATCTAGCGGATCATCATTCGACGTGAACCAGACTGAAGCCAAAAAGCCCCAAAAATCAAAACAAGCATGGAGCGAAGGTGCCTGCAGCACGGAGCTGGCAGAGCACCGCCAACGCGTAAACTACGTGTCTGCTGATCTTTATGGGCTGCATAAAAAGAAACATTCAGAAAATGAAGGTCTGCAAAGGATAAACAATTACAGGTCGCCAGACCTTTGAAGACAATGTTTGTGTGAAATAACGTTTGGTCTTTAGCAAAAACGAGGATATAAACCATGCAGGGATTGAAATACCTTGCCAGAGTTACATGTATATGCCTTTTCCAGGTTTAGGGCAGATGAAGCTCTTACATGAAGCGAGCGTGGGCTCTAAACAACATGAATGCATGTGTCGTGTCGGAGGAGGTGGTGCAGATGGTTGCTGCTGGATGATTGCATCCCTGCAGCTGCTCCAATTCTGCAGTTCGCAGCGAGTCGATATGGACTGACACCGTGACGCCAACATGGAGGAGACTCTACAATCCTTAGATCTCCAGCTCTATTCAAGACGCATTGCGGGATTGATTTGGAACTAAAAGATCTTTCGATAGTCCACGATGCTCCCGAGACTGCTCGGGCCAGAATTCTCAAAGCAGTATTTACCTCGAGAAAAATTCAGATAGTATTCACATGACAAATCACTTCCACAGAGACGACGTGCTCGGGTGCACTGTGAAGTTGCTTAATTAAGTTAATCGGGATCCTGTCTGCTGTTGTGGAGAAATGTGTTGATTAAGGGCAAAAACATTATCCACCCACAAGGAATCATCGCTGACTTTCTCTCCTCACACTCCGAAGGCAATATGTGTGTGTGTGTGTGTACTTTAAGTGTCTGCCGTTCGATGAGACTCCCACCAGGGTTGCCTCCGCACATGAATAAGGCGAAGCAGGCGGAGTGTGAACAGCTGTACAAAGGGTAATCTCAGCGGGGGGTTCGGTGCACCTGAAGCTAAATATTGCATTTTCCAGAAAAATCAATAATATAACAATGAGCGTTGGTCTGAGTGGCAATTAAAGAACTATTTGAAGTACCTCACCAGCTACGCAAGCACAGCACAGCGATGCTCCTCGACATATTCACATGGTAAAAAAAAAAAAAAAATACTATATTGGCAACAGGGCCTCAAGTTGTTTTTTTTTAAAGTCACTCACCAGTCCATCACAGGTACTTATGGCTGCGCTTCCCTTTCCGGTGACCTCATCCCGCACCTCGCCCAAGAAGTGGCACTGGGAGGAGCCGGCGGGACGGATCCGGGCCCCGTCCAAGCCGCCGTACCGCCTCTCCGTCAGGAAGCCCGGTGCCAGCAGGCGCGGGTTGAGGCTGAGGTTAAAGTGCAGACTGTGGCCGCCGTGCCACAGCTGGTAGTAGACTCGATCCCCTTCCGCTGGACCCTCGGAGGCTTCCCGCCGCTGGACGCGGCGAACATGGTGAGACAGGAAGTTGGACAGGAAGTGACCTCTGGCATCCACTCGGGTGGGGTGAACCACATCATGCCGAGGCAGATCCCGCAGAAGTCTCTCTGTGAAAGCGACGGTGGGAAGAGAAGATGGGTTAATAAATGATGGGATGGAGGAGGGTCATTAAAGCGGCTGTAGAGCCGTAAACAAACCCGTGTGGGGGTCTCGTCTGCAGCGTGTGCAGAGACCGTTACACGCTGCATTCTTGTCTACAACCCTCTGCTCTCATGTGCAACCAGTTGGGCAAAGTCGCCTGTATTCATCATCATCATTCATTCCCTGTACTTCTGAAGTACAAAGCTCATGCGTGGGTAAAGAAAACGTGAGGTGCAGTGTGCTCTTCTCAGATCTGCCCCCCCGGCTGGTGGAGACTTTAGTGCACGTTTGTCTCACGCATACAAATGCTTCTGATACATTGTGTAGTGGAGATTACGTCTCACTTAACATTGAAAACCTTTTTCCTTCAACTCAAAAAATGAAACAAAAGGGAGGACAAAAAAGCGGAGAGTGGCTGTGCCAAAGAATCAACTTAAAAAGACTGTCATGAGTTCTTCTTTTCTTCGAGTAATGGAATCTAGTGGACTAAAATACTGCAGCTCGTGTGGATGAAAGGTTCCCTTTCTGGATATATGAACAACTCATAAATGCAAGATGAAGAAGCAAACATGAAAGATACATTTTAAAAGGATATTTTACTGTTAAATTGACGTTCTTTCAGGTGATTTTCACTTGGCGGTTGTCAAATCCCGGCATCGTCACATCCAGACACTCTGCCTTTGCATGGGCTGAACCCTCATTGGCTTAATGTCATTCAAAGGAAATCCACCGCGGGCAAAAAGACATTTCACACAAAGCTTTGTGATGAGGTAAAATGTGGTCTCGTGCCTTACACGAGGATTACCGTCACAAATATTTCCGTGAATACATCAGTGCAGAAAGACGTGGGTTTACCGCGTTCGGCATCCAGCTGCTTGGAATGTTTCCTTGAGAGAAGTGCGACTAACCTTCAAGTTATAAAGTCTCCACGTTGTGAAAGGCCACTTGAAGTGGCTTCGCTTTCATCCCTGAACGCCTTCGGTAAGTCGCCACACGCCAAACGTACCCTCTAAGTGACATATAGTTCCGTGGGTATCTTTCAAACGCGTGAAAGAGTTTATCCACCTGTAATAATTTTACGTAGCATCTTCATCAACAAAACAGACACAGTGTTAATTCCAAATTTAGGGTTGGGCGACATTGCATTTGGTAAATGAAGCAGCTGAGCTCCTTGACGCAGGTCAACAAGCAATTATGTTCTCTGAGAGATGGATTTCCTATTTTTAATATGACATCAGAAGAAATCGGGTGAGCAGCTGTGCCTGAAAAGTGTGTATCAAAGCAGAACCCGCTCCATTGTGAGAATAACAATGCGTCCCGTAGACACACACACACACACACACACGTGTGTGTTTCCTGGCCTTCACATGTGAGGTCAGAGCCCCGGGGTCAGCGGCACCGGGAGTCTGCATTGGCTCCACGATGCTTTCCCACACGGGGAGACTAAAGCGCTGATAATCCAATGGAAACAAGGTCTCCCTCTCTCCCTCTCTCCCTCTCTGCAGAAAAGGCCTTGGCTTTAATTGCAGTGGTCGGAAGGAACTTTGTAAACACGAGTCCCAGCTGGCCCGCTGGCTGCCTCTGGGCGCAATTAGAACGCGCAATGAGACACATGTGCGCAACAAACAGCAGCCAGCTCGCGTTAAGAGGACGTGGCGCGTATCCCGAGTACCGAATTGGGCACGTTTGGGTTTTTCGGCCACACTGACCTGGTTCACGTGGTGGTGCCAATGCGTTGCAGTTGTCCAGGGCCGTCAGGAGGGCGACGAAGAGGTGAACGGGAGACAGTCCCCGTCCCGCAGCGAGAGCCCCGCAGCCCGAACGGCTCATTTTGTCAAGACGGCGGACTTTCTTTTGGGAACATTTAATAACGCTTTCCTAACCGCGCGTCGATTGGCAATTACAAATCACTGCCGCAACATGCGGGTCACGCGCTTCTCTTTGTTGTGACCGCGTGCACTGAAAACTATGACAGCCCCCCCCCCACCCCCACAAAAAAAAAATTCTCCAATTTAGGCCCGGACGACATCGTCCGCCTCCACGCGCTTTCTTTGTTGCATCCTCGCTCTTTTCCACAGCCCGTCCGGACCTCGGCGTTAATGTCTGTTGACGAGTTGCTGGTCCCTCCGTCCTCCTCATCGGTCCCTTACCAGCAGCCAAGTGACAGCTTGGATGTTCTCTTTCCCCCTGCAAAGTTTCGCAGAGCCACCCCCACAGATGGGTGGACTCAAGACAATGGGCCATGTCTCAGCCGGCCTGCTGGGCTTAAAGGGGAACGCTACTCCGAGGGAACCGGATCTGCTTTCGGCCCCCGATCGGCGGCTTCCCGCCGCGGAGGTCGTGCGGGTTCTCGGCGGGTCGCACGAGGAGGACCGCTGCTGATGCAGCTGCGTTCACTTGGAGTCAGAGAAACGATGAGAAGTCCAAGGAGTGTTACAAACATGCCAGCGGGTGTTTGTTGAAAAGCACTTCGTTGAGGTTTCTGATCTGAAATTTAAAAAAAAGGCCTTGCAGTAAAGTTTGTTTTGAAAAAAAACAGACAGACAAACTTAGTTTGCATCATTGTTTTACTTTGTTTTCAGCATTTTGAGCTGTGGCTCCCTCTAGCGGCAGAATGGCGTCACTGGACCACTGATGCAGGGATGCTACTTTATTTCACCTTCACTCCTTGGGTCCTTGTTCCTATATTTCTGTTGAATTTATTGACCTAAAAGTTTGTCTTTTAGCCAACATACCACCACCACCACTGGCTCAGTGCGCTGGATTTGCTAATGAAACATAAATATAAATGTATGGAAACCCGTCAGCAAAGCCGTCCTCTTGTTGTCGGGACGCGTCGGGCTCATTTTCTGGAACCGCGTCTTTCTGTTTCTGTCACGTCTTGTGCGACCAATCGCGGCTCGGCACCGGAGCGACACACCTGTATAAAAGCGCGCCCGACATTGATTTACTGGGGATGGAGAGCTCAGACACGCGCGCCTGTACCGTGCGCGCCGTTCGAAACCTCTGGGTCTGTACTGTGCGTATAGCCGGACCGCCTGGCGTCAGAGCGGGTCCCCAACCTTTACGGCATGGAGGACACGTTTAACCACAGCGGAGCGTGTAACCGCAGTTCACCTGGAGATGACAAATTCAGTTTCGAAGACATCGACGTGAGCGCGGACGGCACCCCCATCCTGAGGATACTCATCTCCGTGGTGTACTCGGTGGTTTGCGCGGTGGGCTTGGTGGGGAATTTGCTCGTGGTTTTCCTCATGAGGTTACGACAAGGTCGGAAGAGGTCCACCATCAATTTTTTCATCATCAACTTGGCGGTGACGGACTTCCAGTTCGTGCTCACTCTGCCCTTCTGGGCCGTGGACACCGCGATGGACTTCAGCTGGCCGTTTGGAGACGCCATGTGCAAAATCATCCTCTCGGTCACCGTGATGAACATGTACGCCAGCGTGTTTTTTCTCACGGCGATGAGCGTGACCCGCTACTGGTCGGTCGCCTCGGCCCTGAGGAAAAAAGCGCACCGGAGGACGCGGCGCGTCAAGTGGGTGTGCGCGGTGCTCTGGGTGGCGGCGACGGTGGCCACGGCTCCGACGTCTATTTTCTCCACCGCCACCGTGGTCGCAGGAGAAAAACTCTGCCTCCTGAAGTTCCCCGAGGGGCACGACTGGCTCGCCCTCTATCACATCCAGAAAATATTGATCGCCTTCATCATCCCCATGCTCATCGTCTGCGTAAACTACCTGATGCTGCTGCGCTTCGTCCGGCGGCGCAGCATGAGCGGCGGCAACCCCAAACGGAGATCCAGAGTCACCAAGTCCGTCGCTATTGTGGTGTTGTCCTTTTTCTGCTGCTGGATGCCAAACCACGCCATCACGTTCTGGGGTGTCTTGGTGAAATTTAACGCGGTTGACTGGGATAAATCATATTACCTGGTGCACACGTATGTGTTCCCGGTCACCGTGTGCTTGGCGCACGCAAACAGCTGCCTGAACCCGGTGCTTTACTGCCTGATGAGGCCAGAGATCAGGAAGATGCTCAGCGGTTTGATTTGGAGAGTCTCCACTCCGTCCATATCCAACCAGGTTGGCACGACGCGCTATTTTACGCAGGGGGAAACCCAGGGAGTCGTGCCTCTCCAGGTTTTGGATAATAACCCGTCCCTGCTGTCCATCATAGACCGTAAAGGTTTACCGAGCTCCAGCATAATCCAAGACACCACATAACATCATGAAAAATAGAATCAAATATACCTCATGTAGCTTGTTTTGCCCGGCCGGTTGTCCACCTGTAACCGTTATTACTCGTGCGTAATGCTTTCGTAATCCAACAGTAACCGTGCACTATAGCTATCACAGTGAACATGAACAACGTATGACAGGTGTAATGTAGACTTTATTAAATCCCCAACACTGTCGCTAAATTGGACAAAAAAAGCTCATCCCGGCACGAAACACGGGGAGAGAGAGACATAGAGAGAAAGAGAGAGTGAGAGACGAAACGGATTGAAGGAGGACCTAAAATGAATATGGGGATTGGATGTAATGACACATTTGCAATGTTTGCTACCCATGTCTGCCTGTAAATAAATGGAATTTTCAGTGGCTACAGATGTTTCATACTGCTGGACTTCACAGAGCATCTTCAATTCGGAAGGAAGAAAAGATCATTTTTATTGTGTATGCATCTGACGGACCTATTCAAGCGCAGCCTTCATTATTTAAATCGAAGAAAACCTCCTTGAGTTGTGTGACAGCATCTTCGCATCTCTCCACAGACAGACACACAAATATGAACACCTGGCAAGACACACACAAAATACGTGCACACTTGCACAGACTAACAACAGCCACAGTTGCCATTCAAAAGTCTTTCCTTTGGCTTTCAAAAATGAAAATTGGTTTTCAGTCAAACCCGATTAGTTGATTGTGACATTCAAGCAGTGTACAGATAAAGTGGGAGGATATGACACACCGACAAATACGTCTACACTCAGACAAAACAATATAATGGTGGCTGCAGAGAGACGAGACATCGGGTCCTTTTCAGACTTCTGAATAAAGTCTCTTGGCTGCAGTCGGGCTGCCGACAGGTCTGTGTGCTAATGAGAGTCTGTCCCATGTCCTCCTCGTGTCCTTGATGCTGGAGGGACGGTGTGAATTGTAATGATGACATAGTGTGCAAATTGTAGACTTTTCCCCAAAGTGCCAAGTGTTGGGAATATGTGAGTCCCATATTGTTCATCTATCTGATCTCCTCATTCAATTTTATTTATACAAACCAAAATGAAGATGCATCGAGGTTCCTCATTGGAAAGGAAGACAATCACCAAATAGCTTTTAAAGATGATCAAAAAGAAGAACAAAGAAGGAAAGTGTACTGTACTGATTTCTTGGTGTGTTTTTTTCAGGAGCACCTTTAAAATAAAGATCACTCATGTATGTGGAAAAAAAGTACATGTTCTGTGCTGAAGTTATTTCAACTACAATAACAAACATATTTCACACCCGTCTGGCCAGAATAACCTATGATAAGAAATAACCATCCATCATATGAAATTGCTAACTTACTTCTTCAAACATTGTTGGTTCGGTAATTGATGTCATCTGAAGACAATATTATTCATTTAGCATAACAGGTCGCCAGACACACACACACACACACACACACACACACACACACAGCCCATATATCCTACTGACATTCACCTCATTTACTTAATCTACTAATCATGCTGATGTTATCGTCTCTCATGTACACAAGTGTTCATGAATGTGTGATTTCCTGCCAAAAGGCCTTGATTTGTAACAGGCGGGTGGCTGAGAGGATACTTTATCTTTTTGAAATATCTTGAAGGGTTCGTAAAAACCATCAAACGCTTTACAGTGCTTCCAAGAGACTGAAAATAGACGGGGGCAGAATAAGAAAGAAGATCCATCTGAGCAACGGTTGAATAAAATAAATGACCAGTCTACAGAGTAAACTGCATAAGTTAAAGCTTACGGATCCTAAATCAAAGGTTATTTGGGGGAGAAAAGAGTTGAAATAATGTTCCCCACTAACACGTAACACCAATTAATCATTAAATAAACTATCCCAAATGTGAATAATATATTTGGTAGTCTGAACTATACTGTGGTTTCTGCTATCATTTCTCCGGTAGTGTCAGCGGAGGACGGTTAGTGTGTGTCGACTGAATGGATACAAAGTCAATACAAGTGACAGTTCCAATCAACCTCACCACATGGCAGCTAGATCTGTGTGTTCATTATTTTCTAGATTGGCAGTTGGCTGCACACTCGCCTTTTTGTTCATTGTGATGGAGTCTGAAAAAAACGCTTTCATGTTTGCATTAGAACAGGACTCACAAAAAAACATATTACATCGCACACAGAATCTATAACATGCAAATCTACTTTAAACATATGTACTATCATATGTTTACTATCATACATTAATTGCCAAATATATAATAATTATCCACTTCCACTTTACTTATTAAACATTCGATAAAGTCTAATCTGACTGCATCGCTGCAGACTGAGCGCGATCACAGCGACCCGGACCAAGAACCGCTGACTGAGAACCAGATGGATTGACGTGTGTTTTGTTGCTCGTCACCCGAGGATGAAGAGGGTTTTTTACTGCAGCCGCAATCAGCTACGCTAACCTACGCAGAACTCCCATCAGCCGCAGAGAACCTCCCATTCTCAGTTTGCATCAAGTATATATATGTGTGTACATATATATGCACATATATATTCAGGGGTTTTCGATTCATTGAACGGATTTTAGGAAACAACACTTGTGGTTCTCGAGGCTTCGTATGTGCAGTCGAAACGCCCCAGGTGTTTATTAAAAAGACATTCTGAGACTATACCGTTTTATTTGTAGGCACATTACATCTCTTTACACGAGTTCCGGTTCCTCGTGAGAACCGCATTGTCGAAATCCACTTTCTGCGCATCCCTTTGCTCTGATGCAGTGCATGTTAAAAAGGCATGCAACGTCTCGTAACTGGGTCAGTGACTCAAAGCCCCGTTGCTTAACTTATAAAGTAATTCCGTCAACCATATGGAAAATACTGAAAACCATTATACTATTTGAAAGGGTATAAAAAAAAGAACTTGACTATTTACAAAATTCAAGTTAATTTTGTACAAAAGTGCATCAAATGTTGAATATTTTTTCCAGGATGAAAAAGAAAAGAAGTGAAGTCTTAAGAGGAATCGCCTCTGCGAGTTAAACGACGTCAATCTTCTTCGTCCAACTTTCAGTTTTCTCATAAATTATTATGCAAGTGAGCCGAACGTGTTGCAGATAAAAATCTTCCAAACATCCGAATCAATATACAGTATCGTAACTTGACATTTGTGGTAGCTTTTTTGGGTGGCGAATCACCCTTGAGGTTTTTCATGTGTCCCAAAAGAGTTAAATAAATACACATGGGGAAGAGACAAAAGGGGGGGGCTGGCTAACGCTCGCCTCGAGGGGCAAATCGTGGTCCGAAATTCTTGGTGAGAAGTACCGGGGCTCCAGCCTGCAGCCCAAAAAAATAAGAGCGCTCAAAGATCTGCGCAGGTACCACGCGGACGAAGGACGGCCCCCGACGTCGCAACAGTGCAGGAACGCTGAGTGGGCGGGGCAGTGCTGACTCTCGGGGTCAGGGGTCGGATCCAGTGCACTGAGTGAGCCTTGCTTCAGCGGTGATGCGGAGCTGTCAATGCGGAGCAGGGGAGAGGGGGGGGGGCACTGTGGTGTTGGGGAGTTGGGGGGGGGGCGGGTTTGTCCCTGGATGTCGGGTCCCCTGTGGAATAAAAGGTGTCTGTTGGGGGGCCCTCAGCCTGCGTTACCGTTCTTCGGCCACGGTGCCGTTGGCCTCAGGCTCGTGCTCGTCCTCGTCCCTGCGCTTCTGCCTCCGGAAGAATCCCATCTATCGAGAGGTCAGACAAGAGGTCACTTTTCTCTGTTGGACAAGGACTACGAATAGTTCTTACATGTAAAGCGCATTGAAACACGCACGCTTTCTCATGAAATAAAACGTTTTTGCGTGAAGCTGTGTTGATTGTTTGACCTTTTCTTTCAAAATAAGGTTCACATAATTTCTTCAAGTGGAAAAAGATGCACGTATAGGGATGTCACATGATTTAACGGTTTATTTAATTTAAGTTCTTTGTCTTTTGTCTCTAGACACCGTGTCGAAGGAAAACCTTCCTTTCAAGACATAAAAAAATATATTACTATCCGTAGCTCTAAAAACACGATTCATTTTTTTCCTAATGTCTTTAGGAAATCACCATGAAATTCGACCTTTCTACAAGCACAGCGGTGGCAGGTTAAAGGTACACTGGTGCACTACAGTCCAGGCTATAACACAGACTGAAGCCTTCAGAGGAGCAAAGTTACGTTGGTAATCGAATAAAATCGAATAACATTGCATTCCCTTCTTTAGATAATAACAGCAGCAGTAAGGCACAAGTGTTTGTTAATGTCAATATCAACTAATATAGAGGAACTGTGCTTTTTATGAAGACTTACCTTCCATAGAGCGAGACTGAGCAGGGCTAACAATAAGAGTCCGCCCAGCGTGCTTCCGATAATGATCCAGTTAGAGATTCTGTAATCACCCTCCTTCCTGATCTCCAATATTATCTGAGGCAAAGAGCGCACATCATTACAGCTGTATCATTTTGAGAAACACAGTGAACTCAGTCATCTATCGTCTGGTGTTATAATGCAGAGCACAAGTAATATATCAGAAATGGGATTGAAACAATGCTGAAAAAGTCCCTTCTTTTCCAACGTATCACATGTCAGAAATCCGCATACATTTCGAGCTTACATCAGCTCAAATAAATCTGAATATTATGGTTACAGAACCACAATTGACAGTTTGACCTGGCCAATAGATGGCAGCAGAGATCAGGGCACGAGTCCGCTCTGTTCCATGTTGTGCCGCTGGTCCTTTCGGTCCCTAAGCACCACACAGCAGCACATGTGCTCTCCAACGCCAGCCTCCGCTGTCTGAATTATTCACGGCTCCGGTTATGCTGATTCCACTCTGCTGCTTTATTAACGAGTCACAGCAGCAATGTCATTTTATTGGCTTCGGTCCACGACGCTCGGTTCCGTTGAGTATCGGAAAGGTAAAGTCTGACTGGAGGATGGTGATTTTACGCGGGCGGATTTGAGTCGGGGTGCAACATTGGGACAGCGGCTGTTGACAGCATTAATCCGTGTTCACTCACATGTCTGACAGGCCTCTCTTCGTGCAAAAACATCGGGCTGGAGGACAGAAGCTCCACTGATGCGCTGGTTCCCAGTTCCAGGATTTTAAACTTCAGCTGGAGGGGAAATTAAAACATTCTGCTCACTTTCGCAAACACGCCCCACAGACAGCGCTGTCATCACTACAGAGTCAAAGCAGAGTGAGACAAAGCTCGTCATTAAACTTTATGCATGCGTCACTCACTGCATGTAAAGTGTCTATTCGAAGCGCTCCTGTGATCCTAACTGCTACTTCTCTGTTGGAGGCAACGTTGAGGGTGCACTGCATCGGCAGAGTCAGAGTGTTGGACCGGTTCTGTGGGAACAAACTGGACATCAGTCTTTTGAGAGTAAAAAATCTCCAGAGGGAAGCGTTTTGGTGGGTTTTGCACTTTACCAAGCGGGAGAAGCGCGAAAGGTCCTCAGGAGCCGCCCTGCTCTGGGCCACATGCTGAGGTGGTAAACAGCGTGATCCGTCTCGCTGAGGAGGGACAGGACAGTAGAATCTCCCGTTAGCATGTTTCAACCTGATCAGCCAAGAACTAGTAATGGACGTCGTACATGCACGTACACCTTCACACAAAAATACATATGAAAGATTATACATAATAACAATAAAACTCTCCGGTGCAGATTGAGCTTTTCTTTGCTTCTGTTCATGGAGCAAATGTCCAGGCCTTTGCTGAGCGGCTGGATTAAAGCAGGCGGGGTGGAGAGTGTTCCGCGTGGGTCCTGTTGCAGGTCATAGCGGCCGCGTGGTCGTGGTCCGCGTGGACTTGTTCTTGCTAAAGAGTGTGCTAAGCTGGTAGCCTATTGGCGCCCGCGTCCGCGAGATCTTCTGTGTGAGACTACAGCTGAACACTGGGTGTAATGGGGAACCTCTGACTGCCATCAGGTATTTCGCTGACTGAGAGTGTAACCAACTTTGAGGCCCCACACTCACCTGGTCAATGGAGAAGTCAGATATCTGCAGGAGTTGGTTCCCGTTTTTTGTCATTTCAGGGATTTCAATGTTCAGCTGCAGATCCTTTACTGGAAAATAGCCAAGGTTCTGGATCTGAGAGGCAACAGAAACAATGGGAAACAATGAAAATATTCTTAACAGTCCAATAATAATGGTGATGTACTTAGCTCTCACCTGGAAAGTGAAGTTGAAAAGAGGGCCGATGACTCCGGGCTCCTCCAGCGACAGCTCTGATTTGATGTCATATCGAGTCGGATTTGAATCCCTTTGGAAGAAAAGAATAAGCACAAACACCATGACACGAAAGAATCACGTGAACATCTTTAAAATGTGGCCACTTTGCATATACGACAGCAACTTACACTAATTCAACCAATTGCTTATCAATCGCTTCCACAAACAAGTGGAGAGCTTCGGCAGCTTCTCAGCTTTGAGTGGCTTCGAGACATTCAGGAATTGACAAACCTTGTGAAGAGAAGGTCTCCCTCGTATTTCAGTGAGTAATAGATGTCATTAAAGTTATCCGCCGTACTCATCTCCTCGCCATCGCTGTGGAGAGAGCAGGATAAAAGCATTAAAAGAGCACGTGCAAAGATGTTACAGCGACGCACACGCACATTTATATGAATACAAATATTCATCCTCGTAGCTCAACTGCAGTTTACTGATTTGTAACAGAAAAAAGGTGAGATTTTTCTCCACGCTAACAGGAAATGCAATCAGGGGTTCACACCTTCTGGCCTCCAGGATCACCCTGACGTGCTGCAGGAAGACGCTGCGACTGAACTCAAACTCAAGACGAAACGACACCTGCAGAGGAAAACGGTAAAGTTCACCACACAATTTGACCACAGAATTACCAACAGCCTCCAGACTCCATATGCTACTGTTTACATGTCCACACCGGCAAAGGCCCTGCATCGTGCATCGTGGATTAAGGGGTAAAGCCCGCAATAACCTGCTGCGAGTCCTGGGCTTTGACCCCAGGAAGCCGTCCGCACGGAGAGAGGAGGAGAAGTTCCCCTTAGTTTAGGACAATGTAGAAAATACGAATAAATATGACGACGTACACACATATTAATGAGGGTAAGAGTAAGATTCAGGGGGAAATATAAGCCCCAGTGGCAGGAGGACAGAGGGAGAAACAGAAGAGACATTAGGTGTATCAGAAAATGCAAATCAGTGGAAATCCAAAACAGAAGGAGAAGCCAAGACGACAGAGGAGAGGAGGAGAATGTTGTAATGAAAATCCTGACGGACTCTGTGTGATCAAAGAGGTATTTATACGGTTCACTGAAGCTTCCCTCCTCCGTAGAGCCTGACTCCGCAACAGGAAACAGATAACAGACAAACGTTGAGACCTTTTTCAGTGGTTAAAAAGTTCCACGCTCTGAGATATTTTTGAGGTAGTATTTTCATTTTCTGCTACTTTACACTTCTATTCCACCATAAACATATTGAACTTTTATATTTATTTGACAGCTAAAATGAGTAGCAACTTCTCACAAACAACGTTTCAATGGTTCGCAACCTTTTCAAGGCCACAGTGAAGTGAAATTTCACTTTACAACATGCTGATGATACTTATGCACTTCAGCAGGAATTTGAATGGGATGATTTTCTTCCTTTCTTTACTTTTACCGCAGGAAAAGATCAAGATACTTGTATCGTCTACTTCCTATTTTCACATAATCTGTTAGAAGACAAAAATCTCATGTTTTCATTCGTCACAAATGACCTTGAAAATAAACCTTCATCTTTCTTTCCATTTTCCAAAATCACTGGATGAATCTATGTTCTTCTTTCTTCATTCAGAAGAAAGTTTGATGAAAACAGAAAACACACACGCGCGCACATGGGAGCGCACGCACACACACACAGGCATGCGAGTGGTATTGGGGTTTGGAAGACACGGTTGTCCGTGGCCAGGCAAATCTCCCTGCACCGGCATAGTTCCATAACATGGAAATTCCGGCGGAGCGTGAAGTTCCCCTTCCTTCTCTGGGGCGATGAAGTCCACCCGCATCCCTCGGCCCACATTTCCTGTCAGCCGCCAAGCGATTGGTTTGTGTGCGAGATCCGCAGCTCCGTTGCGCGGAAGCAGCGAAGTTTACGTTACGCGCCGGTTCGACGCAGGTCAAAACCAACCCGGAGAAGTCGGAACCAGCGAGCGATGACTGGGTGTTTTTGGTTCCTTCTCCCCGTCAGCCGAACAGCGGTCAGGGGCCGGCTTAACTGTGCGCCACATATTTCAAATGCTCCCGACCGGAGCGCGTCATCCCGTCATCCCTGTGGCTCTGGATGCTGTTCAGGCCGGAGGAGCCGGGTATGAATCACTGGCTGAGTTGACCAGAGTCCCCTCGGGTTCAGCCTGTTTGGGAGCTTGGGAGATGTTTCCGTTGCCCAGGGAGACGACTGTTGTTTGTGATAATGATGTCGTGGTTAGGACATTTTTTCTCAAACTCTTTGAATCACCTTCATTACTTCATTCCTGCAGCATTCGTCAGCAGACTTTTGGATCAGACATCGAGGCTACAATCGGCTCGATGTTCGAGAGCTTGTGTTTGCGCGGCGCGATGTAGCGCCGGTGTCATCCCCATCAAAGTTAATTCAAACATCACCCTCTTAAAAATAAAAACTTGCTGCTCTGCTGTAAAACACACCGGAGTCTCGTAAATATCGTTGACATTAAAAGCCTTCGGAAAGGCTGCAGAATTGAACGTGAGAATCAATAGCAGATGAGGACAAACCTCCCACTGTCTTTCTCTTGGTCTCACCTGGTGCACCAGGCAGCAGCGAAGGAAAAAACCATCCCAGCTGAGTGTTTTTTTATTCTTCTATCTACCAAGGTTTTGCTGTGTAGAAGTGGAAGTCACATTCAGTGTGAAGGCTGTGGGTTTATAGCACAACGTTTTGGAAAGAGCACGACTTTTCTCATGAAAAAGGCAACAGTCACCAAACAGTAACTTTCCCGGTTTGGCAAAAAGTCCGTCAAAGGTCGAAAGGTTTCTTGAAACACCCAAAAGTAAAATGTTGAATACATGTTTCGCTAATAGCAAATTCTAAACAAAGTCACAACTCCACAATGAACAAAACAATAATTGGTGGATTATCAAAAAACAAATAATTCGAATGACTCACCTGAGTTTTGGCCCTCATGAACGGAGCACTGACGTTGCAGATCTTCTCATTCCTCAGTTTGTCCTCAACTAAACACTCTATTTTGATGTCAGAGTTGTCCTGGATGGGAATAATAACAGGTTTCGGTAACACTTTCTACAACCTCGATGTGATCATTGCAATATAAATATAGTACTTTACAGTTATAGTAATCAGCATTTAGAAATATTGCTAAAGCTGTATAACAGTAAATACTTTATAACAGCACATTAAGAAGCTTAATTCTTAATGATGATGACTTATCAGTCAAGTCTCATAATAATACTTTATAATTGCTTTATAATAAGCAATGTCACTGAGTGACCAGAGATGATGAAGATGATACAAGCCTTACTTTGTGTTATTATCATTGTTATAAAGCAGTATTAGACAACCACAGCTTTGTAGGATTGTATCATTTCCTTTTTTCCCCCCATTTACAAAAACGACCCAAGCTTCTGCTTGTTCACGCTGCCTTCTTTGCAGAATTGATTTCGTTTTTTGCTGAGGAACCCGAGTGATGAAAGGCTGGTGTTGTTAATGATTTTATTTGTGGATGTTTTCATATAGATAACAGCCTTCTTGTACAGTCAGCTCTCGTACATAATTACCATGTCCTGAAAAATGGGCTTTTAAGTTTTGCCTTTATGGACGGAATGAAATTACAGATCTAATGGAGATTTGATGTGGTGTCATAATTTAATCTATTGACCTTATTATTTCCCCCCTCTCTTTGTATGACAATTATGTAAAAGTGCTTATAACTACAATTATAGGAAGCTATAAGCAGATTATAATGCAATGGGTCATCATGAAGCAGACGAGTTGGGCCGATGGTGACGCACCTTGACTATGAGACTAGAGAAGCGCAGGTTGGGCGTGTAGGTGATATTCAGGCCGGCGTTGTAGGCGTTCTCTCCTTTATTCTCCAACCGGACGTCCACCACCATCCTCCTCCTGTTCCCCTCCAGCAGGCGCAGAGAAACCTCGCCCCCTCCTTCACTCTGGTGGCGGCAGAAGGCCCCGCGGGACTGGACGGGCTGCGCACAGAACTGACTGGGAGGCGTGGAGGGGGTTAGAGAAAGGGAAATCGTGAGCCGAGCACCGGTTTCACTTTGGCGCCTGCGTATGTTCTCACGCGCCGACCCACCTCCGGGTCATCAGGTCGGTCGTGCTCTGGAGAGCCAGGTCGGGTGTGCAGCGGTCATCCTCGTCGCAGCCGTTCCAGAAGGGCAGCTGGACAAAGAGACGAGCTTCCGTCACATCGGAGAACCGACTGCTACCAATTCTTTCCTTTTTGTGGGTTTGATCGAACCAGTTCTGAGCAATATAATGGCAAATGGCGAGGAAAGAATAATCTGTCTCCCACCTCGGTCCTCACTACAGTAGGCCAGCTGTCATCCAGGACCGGTCCTCGGGCTGGATCTTGTAGCTCCGCCTGAGCAGTGAACACTATGAGCCGTGCGTAGTCTAAGGTCTCCTAATGTGAGACAAGTTGAACGTTTAAAAAAAAATTAAACAAACAAATCCTCCCATCGGTCTCTCTCATGAGAGATTCACCAACATCTCACCATGACGTGGAAGTAGATGTGTTCGCAGGTCTCTTCTCCGGGGAAGATGGTCAGGTTTTGAGGCTGCAGCTTGTTCGGGTTGTCCAATATGGCGCGAGGATTGAAACGTCTCTCCGCAATGGAGACGTTGTATTTGATCCCTAGAAAACGTAAAAACATCCTTTTCATCTGACCAACACCAACGAGTGACCATCATGTGACCAACGTGTGAACCGGTACAAACCGTCTCCTCCAACCAACGTTGTTTAAGCGGCCTTCCATTAATTGCATTGTGTTTTCATGGCATTGAGAAACAATGCGTGAACATCAGTTACGTATTGGACACTGAAATGAAGCCTTTTCTCAATTTCTCACCATTTCAAATAAATTTATTTTTTTCCATTTTAAGGAGCTATGCAGCAGAATCATGTAAATTGAAATAAAGGCCGTCTCAAATTGAGTCAAATTACAAATTTCTCTTGCATATATTGCAAATATATATTTGCATCAATACCTTTAACCAGACTAGGATGGAAGAAAAAGAGTTTTATGCAACAGACCACAGCGAGCTCTCAAACACCAGAACATGTGGCATCCATTACGGGCCAGACACGACACAGAGGGGAAAATTTAATTAACGGGTTCCACTGTAAGTAACCAGCAAAAACAAGATCAGTGCCTCTCTTCTTCCTCTACACTCTGTTTTGGCACGTCTTATAGATTTGATGGAGATGTCGCGGGGTCAGAGAGGTTAACTGGGAACACGCTCCGCTTCCTCGTCCGCTGACACTCGCTCGAAACTGGAGACGGCCGCCGTATCTCCGAAAACAAATGGCAGAGACCCCCGGCTGTTGCACGCCGGTGGGCTGCGGTGTCAGTCGCACCCGTCTGCAGGATTGAGTCGTCACCTCCGCCTCAAGACAATTAGAACACAGTCTCTTTCTTTCCAAAGGCGGATCAGCTTTGGCGGAGGACGGCAGTGGGATCAGAATCTCTCGCAGCCAGTAAAGAAACACTTTGCTTCGGCGCGACTCTGAACGGAATCCAAAAAGCGCTTTGGAGCCGGGAGGAGATTAAATTTATACATTGTGCCTTTTCTCACTTACAGCCGGCCACGTTCCATCCTGTCACGTCCTATATCACCGTCTAACCAACAGCTGAACTATATTTCAAATAGGGATCCAAAATATGAATTTCTCTGCTCGAGCTTAACGGGGAAAATGATCTGTTGAAGGTTTGACAATATCCAGAGATTTGAAGCTTCAGCGAGCAGTCTTTCATCTTTCTGTCGCAGGAAATATGGATTTTTGAAAGACTTTTCTTATGACTGTTTATTTTAGCCTTAGACTTGATGAGTAAAAAATGATCAAGGGTCTAACTTTACTAATGGATCAAATGGGGTTCTAGGGAAGGTGCCAAACATCGGGCAAAGACGAGAGGAGGTTTAGTGACGTGGATTATTTTTGCTGGTTTACCAATTTCCTGTGTTGGAGAAATGGCCGTCCTGGCAGTGATGTTGAAACACACGATGGCTGACATACAGGTCACGTCTTTGCCGCCTCGCTGACAGTCCTTCACGAAGATGTTGATCTTACTGGGCTCGAACCTGACAGTGGTGTATATCCGGACAACGCTCTGCGACCTGCGGGGGCACAGAGGTGTTGAAGAACGTCTGGAACGAGGATTCGTTCTGAAAAGCCAGCGTAAAACTCTTTCTTTTAGAGGGTTTTCAGTAGGTAAAAGCAACAGTTAGCAGTTTTTTTTAGGGTGAAATACTAACCAAAGGAGAACAGCAGCACCAAGAGAACCTACTGCCAGGTCCACCAAGCCGTCATTGTTCATGTCCATGGTGCCGTGAATACTGCGGCCGAAGTACAGCAGGCCGGGAGCCAAATCTGCTGCCGCAATCCTCTGAGAAACAGAAGGGGAATCCCAGCAAAGCAGGATTATAGCAACAACAAACAAAGTTAGCGTGACATTCAGAGAATTTACCCCCAAAAGAAAAGAAAAAAGCTTCCTTCCAAATAATATTTGTTCTTTGTGGTGCTGTGGGCTGATCTCAATAATCATTGACAAACAGACGAGCATAGTTTAGCAGTGCTTTACACACAATGAGATAAAAGCCTTTTGATTTTATAAACAAAATATCTGTGGGTTTTTTATTTAACCCCGTTACTGCAAATAGTATATTTTCCATTAATAGCAACCATTCTGTGAAGGATGCTCGAGGCTCGAAATGTTCCCCGCAGAGCTTCCTCCTTAAAACGTCGTCACTTGGTCGGCTGCCTCAGATCAAAATATTTCACATTGCCTCTGCTATTCTTATTTGTTGTCTTCATTCCTGCAATGTTGTTTTGCTTAATACGAATCATTTATGTCGTATGCGTTGAATGTGTTGCAACTCGAGTCGTGATTTCTAAACACACAGAACGCCTTGACAGTAGTTGTTTATAATGTACATAGATACAAACTGTGAAGGACAGTAGCTTTATTGGAAGCAGAAGCCTGAGCCGAAAGGACATTTTTTTTATACTTTTGTTTGTCTCCTCTAGTAGGCTGATCGATGCCTTCTGGGGGCGTGGTCAAAGGGCAGATCTGTTATTATTATTTGTTGTCTTCATTCCTGCAATATTATTTTGCTTAATACGAATCATTTATGTCGTATACGTTGCATACATTTTACCGGAATATGGCAAATCAAATGAAAAAACTGAACAGCAATTTCACGTTCAAGACCTGCAGGCGGAAAAACCTGCAAACCCATTGACGTTGTCTATCGGCTGCGCTCCTTCACACCTCCTACCTGTTTGTATTTGCGCAGTATTCGGTTGTGCTGGCTGAAGAAAACATAAATGGCCCCTTTGTGGTCGTCTTCCAGCGGGGCTCCCACCACCAAGTCATTGAAGCCGTCGCCGTTCAGATCCGGCACAGGAGCCAGCGACGAGCCAAAGCGAGCGTTCTGGCCCCCGTTGTGGATTTCCAAAACCCCCTCCAGGAGGAAGCGATTCTGAAGCACGAAGGGGAACATAACGATGAGAAATCGTGCATTTGATACAAATGTTTGCTGCGATTGGCTGAGAGACCTTCGATTTTTGGGGTATTTTGCGTATCGATGTTGCTTAATAGAGGTTAGCTTTGTTGTGGAGTCCCACAATGGGAGATCTGCAAGTAAACAAAACACATCCACTGCAGCACACAAGGTCAGTGAACAAAGGCACCACAACACAAGATGGAAAAATTGGACCCGTGAACGTGAACAACTGGACAATACAGCCTCATCAGACGTATGTCGGAGCATACTTTGTGTGGGTTCTGGCCCAACAGGAAACCACAAGAAATGTCCAACAGATCCAAAGTAACGTGATCTCTTAATCCCTTGTCTCAACAAAAAGAAACACCGTGTGTATTATTCAGACCGTCTATGAAACATTCTGTCGGCACTCGTTTGGCTCTAACCAGGCCACTTCCCACAGTGCGCTGTAGAGACCACGGCGGTGAGAGTGGTGATGAGCGAGACGGTTCACCTGGGTTTAGGCGTCTGCATTTGGATTTTACCCACTTTGCCGTTGTAGTTATCGGTTTCTGTAAAGAGCCTGTGAACATTTTGATGCCTAAACACACAGAACGCCTTGACAGTAGTTGTTTATAATGTACATAGATACAAACTGTAAAGGACAGTAGCTTTATTGGAAGCAGAAGCCTGAGCCGAAAGGACATTTTTCATACTTTTGTTTGTCTCCTCTAGTAGGCTGATCGATGCCTTCTGGGGTCGTGGTCAAAGGGCAGATCTGTTCTTCAAATGATCCCACAGATGTCTCATAATAAACCTCTTTTTCCTCCATCCAGCTGCGTTTGTTGTTTCAATTATCTCAAAACCATCTTTAGTCAACTAATCATGTTGGAATTCACACAGGACAAAAAGGAAGAAAGAAGGTGTTTTTTTTCTAATCTAACATCTAATCAAACAACAGATAAAGTTTGGATCAGCTCCTGTTTTTTCAACAAACCCTGAAAAGTGCATCAAAAAAATGAGGACATTTACCTCTTGATCGTAAAAGAACAGCGAATAGCTTCAGTATATTTATTGTTCTATTCTTAGGGAGTATAAAGTCAGATGGAAAATATCCATATCTTTTAAACTACCCGGCTGGACTTTCAAAGAGAAAACGGAGCCAAATAGTTCATTCCATCAGTGGCCATGCATATCATTGCTCCATTTGGCACCGCAGCTCATGATACGATTTAGGGTTGGCAGAAGAAACATGAGATCACTTGTTATTTCTGTTGAATAAATAGGAAAGGAGATGATTTAGGAAGGGATATTCTACTTTCTTGGCTACCTGATCTGTGCGTGCGTGACAAAGAAGCAGATTGATGGAGAAATGGGGGCAAATATATTCAGCCGTGTTTAAATCTGAAACATATGGTTTGTGAAGAGGCCATAAAGGGTCACAACCAGTGTGCAGTAGCTAGGGAGGGCGTTTTGCTTCAGCATGGAATATTATTCTTGACTATAAATCTATTTAGCTTTGGTCTTGTAGTTATTATTCTGTGTTGGTCACAGATCCGGGTGCAAAGGCTGCAGAGTATATTTAGGCTACTGCATCAGTATCACATTCATTTAGTGTTTAAATTAAGAAGAAACTCTTTAAATCAGTGGTCCCCAACCATTATTACCTCACGGGCCGTTTTCATGTCAGACACTATTTCGCTGAGCGGTCATTCTACAGAGGTTTTTCCCCTGCTGGAAGACATAAAAAACACTTCCTTTCTTTGGGGAGATATTTCCATCTGAACCAGCATTGCCATATAAAGCCACACCAAGGTGGAAAATAGTCATCGGCAAATATGCCGATGCATTTTTTAAAATTGAGTCTCCAGAATAACATTTTGGATGGAAAATAAAACCCTCACTGTAATAACAAGGACACATTTTCGAACCGGGGTGTCCAACCTTAAATCGTTTTCCAGAACAGCATCCCTGTGCAACATCTTAAACAACCACCTGGACCAACCACATCTTGATTATTATTGCTGTCCTGAGGTTGATGGACGTTTTAAAAGAGCGATTTCTCTCTTCTTGTGTATTCTTTCTGACTATTAAGCTTGGCCGGCCACCTGTGATGTGGTTTGGGACAGACCAGGCCAGATATTTAAATGCCTCTTCCATGCCTGTTCAATGGATTTAAAAACAGCTGAAGACATTTATTATTCCAATGAGCAGCCTTGGAGAACCGGGAAATTTCCTTCTACTAAAAGAAAACTCACGCCTCCAAATGGCTGGTTGGAAATGGCTTTAGAAGAGGCCGACATATTTTCCTGTTGAGTTCATTGTGCACGTGCATTAGGATCTGCGCATTTGATCGGCACATTTGATCTGGGCAACGCCAGTGTGTTGACTGTGGAGCTGGAATGCAACAGAGGCTAGTTGGGCTACCGGACACCTCTGGTGAGGCAGAAACGACTGGGAACGTCTGAAGTTTGAACAGATGTTTCACCCCATTCTGTTTTTGTGTGAGCAATTGATGAATCCCTTCACGCGTCTCTGCATTTGTTGTTCAAGTGTTTAGAGGTCGTACCCACCAGCTCGGTCACTCTGTAGATATAGACCTTTCCCTTCTCCAAGCCTCCACTGAAGAACATGGGCGCCGCCACCAAAAGGTTGTCAGTTATGCCGTCTCCATCAATGTCCAAAGGTGCGATCTCGCTGCCGTAGTAGGAGCCGATCTGGAAGAGACGTGTATGCAAAGTGAGTTTGCAGGTGAATATGTTCTGTTTGTTGATTCACACGTTGTTTTCGGAGGCACTGATGATCTGGAGTTGATTATTTACTCGAATATTGAAAGCAAATGGGAGGTCTGCGTGGCGTCAAAACAAGTGGTCAGAGTGGTGGGGATCTCGTGGATGCTCAGACGGAGACGCTGGATCAGTCACTGGTCTGGACGGAACATCATCTTTGTGTTTTCAGATTAGAAACATCTGCCTTTTAAGAAGCTGTTTGCACTTGGCGTGACCTGCTGCTGACAGGGTCCAATGTGAGCAGACTGCTGGCCCTGCAGCCTGCTGGCCCTGCAGCCTGCGAAAGGGTTGCCAGTTGTGAACGTAGGACTACTGTTACTCTGAAATCACGTAGGTTGGGTAGTACCTGCTGTCCTTTGAGAGCGTGCAGGATGGTGAGGTTGCCCGAGTTCTTCAGAGTGAAGATGATGACTTTGCCGGTGTGGTTGAACCGCGGAGCTCCCGCCACGAGGAGGCGACCGCTTCGCGCCGACACCACAGACGTCACGGCGTAACCTGGTTATTTAAAACAAACACGGCAAATCTGTATTTACATTCAGAGACCAAGCCAACTCGTGTAAGATGTTACTTGTGGAGTTAATGATTCTTCTCTTGACTGTGGAACAGTATATCAAGATTGTTTTAGTCAAATTGTAATAAATACCACAGCATTGTTTTTTGTTCCACTGTTTGAGTGTACTAAGCGTGATTGGGCCTGACCTGCAGGCTTCACTTCATTACAGTGATCTGCATGACTCAAGGAAAAAATAGTAAAACTCAGCAACTCGAGCAGCATTCCGTTAAACAGAACTGGATGTTCTTCTTTCTCAGATTTCTTCCATTATTTCGTCTTTTCCCACTGAAGATTCCACTCTCTCCCTGTATTCTTTTCCACCTTCATCTCACATCTTCTTACCCCCGTTTTTCCCCCAGCCTTAGCTTAACTCCTTGCCAGTCCAAAATGATGCTTCCACATCATTTTACTACTGAGTCTAGAATGGCATCCATTGGCAGCCTGGCGGATAAGCTCAGAGACAAACCACTGATGGTGAAAGCAGAGGTCTGTGGTGGGGTGAGATGGGGTTGGATATAATGTGAAGTACTGCTAATGGGTACACATTATAGAGACGGCTTGCAGCTTATGTAGTTAACAATAAAACACAGGTATCTTACCAGGAGAGAACAGTAGACTTAGAAGGCTTCAAGCGTGTCCTTCATTATCGCAATTACAACTTGTACTTTCTCTGCATGTCTTTTCACAAAATATCCATCACAATCAGAGTCATGGTTGTTCCGCTCCATTAAAGTAATTTCAAGCGCGTTACTAACCCAAGTAGGCCCCGTGGTTTTTGAGCTCTTCGGGGAACTCCTGGGTGTAGGAAGATTTGGGAGGCACCACCTTCCCCTGTCGTGTTTCCTTCAGCACGGCTCCGTTCCAATCGTAAGCGCCGACTGCACCGACCAGAATCCCGTCCTGTACGGGAGGCGTGGTTAACTTTTGCACTCTGAACAGCAGAGCGGGGGGAGAGAGCGATCCGGTTGCATGCTGCCTGGGCTGCACATGCAACGTCCCTAACATGGCAATTATTATTCCACTGCTGGAAGAAAGTGCGATCAGCGTTTTGGCGCAGCACCCCGTGTGTTTGGCTCGCCTTAGTTTCAGCTAGAATAATGACAGTGGTGGGAAATTTAATCTTGGTAACAATTCTAAACACGAAGGGTACTTTAAATGAAATATATCCCTCTTTTTCCTTAATCAGATAACTTTCAGATGCAGATGACTACAACAAGAACATGTGCCCCAATGGTCCTTCTCGAGGTTGTATGCCTTTTCACTCAGATTGCACACAGGAGAAATCCAAATTTCTCTTTCTACAGCAGCGTACCGGCCCCATTCTTTCCCCCCTTTGAGATATCTCCTAGCAAACACATATCATACATGGATTCTTACATGGTTCGAATAGCTCTTCGAGACTTCCTATAGTTTTTAGACAAAATGTGAGAATATGTCCAAGGTGAAATCTGAATGTCTTGTATTGTGAGTCCCAAACCCAAAATATATTAAACACAGAGGAAAACCCTTTTCCAGTCATAAAAAATCTTCCACTGGATCCACCCAGGAATCTCCTCTTATTTCGATAGTCGGAGCATTGCTATGCAAAACAAAAAGTGAATGAAAATGAAAAGTCTGCTCATCTCTATTTATAATCAAGACTTTTCTCTCCAGGAACTCCTGATGGAAATGAACTCATGACAGCGATGTGTCACCAACCGTGACGAAAGCTACTGTGGAAAATGATTCCTCGATCACAAACCACAGGGTGCAAAGAATGAGAGTCTGCTTTACAGTGCATTATCGAAACCCTGCTGAATCCTGATCAGTGTGCAATTAACTGCTGACGCGAGGAGCGATTTTCTATCTTCCATGACTCACTCTGCATTGTATCACTGACGCTGTAATTACAGGGCTGCTCTGCCTAATGAGCTATGTTTTCTTTTTCACCTCACACAATATGCCGATGGCACATTTTCCAGGGTTTGAGCATATTCTGGAGGGCTCGCGATTCCTGCCTGAAAGACGGAATTGAGTGCTGACTGCGCTCTCATTGCGTCACTCTCTTGACAGCAGCTTTTTCGCCAATGTGTGCTTTGGTCAAATTGGTCTCCATGGCAAATTAATGAAACCCCAAAAAAGGTTCAACCTGAACTAGTGAACTATTTCAACTGCAGTGATGTGCTGTGGTTAGGATGTCAACTCTGTATTGCCTCAGAGATTTGTGGTCCTAAATAAATATACATACGTTGAGAGAGTATATACACTTCATACCAGTTCAACAAACACGTGAGACACAGTATATTTGGAACTGTTGGGTACAGATTCCTGTATATAGTAATCACGTCCAAATAATCGCAGAGATTTGAGATTATTTTGTTTAGTTACAGTTAGTTACAGTCAACGAAACAAACAGCAGAAGCAGCCTCAAAATTTAGCAACTTTCAGATTCAGCGAACCGATCTGGGGTTTTTTGGCACTGGTTTCCTTCTTTACAGCGCTGGCATTCTTTTCAATAAGTTATCCTCCCCTCAACACAGGTTGGTGCTGATGAGCAACTCTGGATCTGGCCTTGTAGATGGAATATACAGCAATTCGTACCACACAGCTGCAAATTCCGCAAAGAAATGATACTAAATGGGATATATTCATTCCTCCCTTGCCTAATCCCACTGTGAAGGGACACTGGGAAAGTCAAGCCAGTTGCATCAGCAAATGTCAAGAAGGAGCCAGAAAATGAGGAATGGGAATCAATGAATGGGTTTGAACGCCGGTACAGTACCGGAGATTTGTCTTATCTGCGTCCTCCTCCAGCTGTGTCACCCTCTAAGCCAGCACACCTGCAACATCTGCTTGTAGATACAATCAAAACCTCAGCGAAAAAAAAACGCCCGGCTCACTCTTGCCTCAGCTTCTCACCGGTATGTTTCCCATGGGAACAAGTGGTGTCTCATTACCCATCACCGCACGGTTGAAGTGGAAAAAAAGACCTCTCTCCCCTGTCTGGGGCTCCTAAATCATGAAGACCTAAACCCCTGGGGCCACACAGCAGGCCTCACATGGGGGGACTGGAGAGTGACAAATGGCAGGTTTTGGGGAGGACAGAAAATTGAGACAGTATGTGTTGTTCTGAAATGAGGCGACGTGGTAGCAGAAATCAAAACTCACCTCGACGTTGTGCGCGGAAAATCCCGCCTGAGACATCTGGAGGCCAAACGCTGTCCCGTTCGTACTGGTTCCTGTGCAAACAAGTCAATCCGTTACGGTTCTGAACTGCTAGAGCAGCTGAGAAAATCAAACCAGTTAAAACCTTAACGAGCCTTTCATTTCAATCGTCTATGGCCCACATAAACTTGAATCAATTAAAAAAGCTAGAAAATCTTTTCATTTCATAAGCTTGGAACAACCAATGTTTGGCATTTTTGCAGTTGACTTTATTATTTGAATTGTTGGAAAGCCTGTTTCTGTCAAATTGGCATCGTGGGTCTCTCGTTTTATGTAAGGATTATCTGAGCTACCTGATCGGTATCGTTGCACAGAGAAATATCACATCCTTTGTCTAAAGATAAAAAGCAGAGATGTTCTGCTTCATTTTAAATTCAAATCGTTGCATATTTAACACTGAAACTTAAGAAACACGCTTTTTATGAGTTGCTTTGGATAAAAATGTCTCACAAATGAATATAACGTAGCTCTAATAATTTCTTTGCAAAACCTTCCAAACTGAAGATGCGTTCTCCGAGTGCGTCCACAATATCCTTCAGGGCCGACTCATCCGTCACGTTGAAGAAGTGTTTGTCATCCGGGTCGCTGGCGATGTCCTTGATCTCCTTGAGGAAAGCCTCGGGGTTAATTCCACGCCGGTTGTAGTAGCCGAGGACCTGCGAAGTTCAAGCAATATTTCAGTACGTGCACGAAGACGTTGAATGTCAACCAGTTGAATTGCTCGGTCACATTTGAATGGCCTCGTCACAGGTTAACGGCGGTGCCCTTTGGGAAGGTTTCGGTGCATTTTGGGTGGTTTTCCTCTGCCAGTGTCGCCAGCTGGTTCCCAAACTAACGACTTCAGTGGATGGAATCAAGTGTGCCATTGGCTGCTCCGACAGACTCACAGCGATGGCGTAACGGGTGATGCCGTCCTTTTCGCTGTCCTCGATGGCTTGCTTGAGATCCGCACTGTCGTGCGACTCCCCGTCGGTTATCACGATCATCACCTTCTTGGCACCGCGTCGGCCTCCTCGCGTGAAAGCCTGTGAGCTGTGAGAGCGCGTTCGACGTGTTCAGTAAAGCAAACCACAGAACGACGAGGAGTAGCGTAGCTCGGGTGTGCGGAGGGAGTTGCTGTACCGCGCTACGTTGATGCCCAGAGCCGTGTTGGTCTCCTCGCCGCCTCGTTGGTTGATGCTGTGCGCCCTTTTCACCACTTCCGCCACAGATTTGTAGTCGCTCAGTTTGAATTCATGCACCACCTTCTCGCCATACTGAACAACTCCAACCTGTCCGACAATAGGCAATAAAAATATTAATTAGCGCTCTGTGTACATCTTATCTCCTTTTGGTGTCCTTTCCTCTGTTACACACCTGTATTTGACCTGGTCCCACATAGAACTTCTGAAGAACGTTGATGAGAAAAGCCTGCACTTCATACCAGGGGTAGATGGAGTTTGAGCCGTCCAGAACGATCACTATGTCCATGTAGGTCTCACACTCTGGAACGCATTTAAAGACCCAAATCAAAGAAATATCCGCGAACGTGTGTCAGCAGTTCAAGCGGGAGAAATGCTTTGGGGCTCACTCTGAAAGGCCGGCGCGATGGTCCTGGAGAACTTGAAGCTTGCGTTGACTCTGGAGCATATGCCGGTGCTGTAGTAAGAACTGCCACACTCGTAGGACCAAAGAGGCCCACACGCCTGGAACATTACAGAAAGCATTTAAATACTATTACTACTATTACTATTGTCCACCTCTGCGTGTGAGGCAACGTTATATCACGCTCTCCGTAGCTGTCGTATGACGTCAACCATGTGTTTATTTTTTTGTATGTTATACCTCAAGAAGACAAATCTGTGTTAAACTAACCACAAAGCTGTTGTCTTTGGGGTTGGAGGTGAGCGTCATCCCCAGCCTCATCTTGTCCTTTCGCTCGGACACGTTGGTCAGAGATATCCTTCCTTGAGGGAGAATGAAACTCATTGGGAGGATCTTGGATGCACGGATCATACGAACATGAATACATGCACTATCCTTCAGAGACCAAACAGAAGGTCCGCCATCTGGGCCAACTGGGTTTGTTGTTTGGGCCCGTCTAACCGGCCCGACACATGTGCAGCCGGTGTGAAGACGCATGCGGCGAGCTGTGTGGTGTAACTTGCGCGTGGAAACGTCCGTAAACAATTTAGAAAACACTGTAAAACGTGGAATGATCGGTATGGCAGCCACACTTCAGCCTGACACATGCCACCGTGAAGCAGAAAAGTGTGCAGACATACATATAAACACTTACATCTGCATACACACGCGTGTGTTTTTGGGATACTTTACCTAAGTTGAGCTTGGAACAACCGTTGCCATTGGTTCGTCGGCTCAGTGAACACTTATAAATATCCCCCGTTTGGTGGTTGCCATTCATTTCATACGGAGCTCCCACTAATAACCTGCAATGAAACAAATTCCCACAATAAGTGTCACTGAACATGTGCATTTACATTACAGTAGGCATTTGAGGGTTAGGTTATGTCTCACAGGTTATTTGTTCAAAGTTAACTTTTTAACTCTTTCTCTCATCTCCTCTAAGGGGACAATCACAGTGGCTGGAAGGCTTTCAACCTTTATGTATCCATGGAGGTTAAGTAAGCATGTTTAATCAGGTCCAGCAGCAGTTTTCATTCACAAACAGTTCCTGTCTCAAACTGTGTCATCTGCCACACGTCAGATCCTCAAGATGAGACCATATCCCCTTTAAACATCCACGTGAAAAGGATTTTGCATTAGAAAATTATGAGGAAGCACATTATTATTATTTTTGTGGACCATCATTGGCTCTAGACATACTCAGAAAGCGGCGTGTTGGGAGAGCTGCACATTCTTTTCACATGACCTATTGTTTGCGAGGAGTCGGCCCAGCACGGCGGGTTTCCTGCGCCGGGTCAGCGTGGTCTCATAAATGTCACTAAAAGGTTTTGGGTGACTCGACGTGATGGAGAATGTAAAGTCATCTGCCGTGTTTACTTCAGGACTAACTGAGAGGATAAAAGCCTTCAAGGGAGCCAGAATTCCCATGATTGTCAGAGATAACAATTCTCCGTTTTATCCGTTTTTTTGCTATTGACGATCTCCAGAAAGATTCTGGCTGGTTTCACGCTACGTCTTGTGATGCATGCGTGTCATGAAGTGAATTTAGAGGAAATCCCTTACAACAAACAATGTTTAAATGCCTCAGGTTTTAAGATGTCAACAGATGTGACACTGCATGCTTTCTATCTCACTCGGGACCTTTCTATAGTGTACAAACATTACAAACCATATAATAATATACACATATATAAAACAAGATTAGATTAGATAGATTTAAGGAAATTGGTCTTGGAGACGTACAGTGTCAGCTGTTTAGAAAATACAGACAATAACATAGCGCATAGAGGTTATACATAGAGTATAACCACAGACTGTCGCCAGCCGGCAGACACATTTCACACTGCCCGGTGTGAGACAAGAAAATAAAAAAATAAAAATAATTCTGCGTTGTGGGGGTCAGGCTCTCGCTGACTTCCCATTCAGGGCTTTAAATAGTGTCGATGGGATGTGCTAATAATGCTTTTATAGCAGAATCCTAATCTCAAATGATGTTGTTTGCTGTTTTTTCTCCTCTATATGGCTACTTATTGTTATTTTTGAAAGGTTTTACTGTTCCCAAACTTGGTGGATTCAAGCATTCCAGCCAAGTTGTAAACTAATCACATTCCTGTAAAAGCTTCAATGAACACAGTCAAATAGGAACTGAAACCACTCAGGAGTCCAATTGAAAATGGAAAGCTGCGGGCAAAAGTGCTTTCCGTTTAGTGACCCCCACAGGAAAGACACTTGACACCACTTAATAGCAAACGCAACCTCCTGCACGGAATTCTAGGTCAAAGTTTAGCAATTAAAGACTTGTAGATTCTGAATTTAAGGATTTTGGAGATCATCTCCTAACCCCCCTGAATTCCAAAGAACATAAAATGCTGACAAAAAGCACATAGGGTTTATAATATGAACAACCCCATGTTCATGATTCCAGAGGAATCGTCGAAGGGGCCGTAGGCATTACAATGTAATAAACACACACTTGTTGACAATACCACTCTAGCGTCTTACATTTGATATTAGTCATGAATTTGTTACAGAACGTAGGGCTTAAGGTACAAAAAGTATTCATCATTGCAGTCACCATCTAACCGATTAGGTCAGAACAACCAAAGCAGATTAGGTTTGACAGGCAATTGGTAGTTTCTCAAAAACACTAATGCCTTGTTCAAAAATATTCTCTGTCCCTCTGCAACTGAGTCTCATGGGAACAGCCCCAATGGCATTTACATTTTGCACTGAACAAGAACTTTCAAGTGATTCAGCTCAAATTACAAATGGTTTCATAAGCTCGTTCCATGAAAGATAAAACCCAGCAATCATTGTAAAACATTACGTAGCTGCTGCATGCAGTTCAGCTCCAGACCAACGCGAGCCTTGCAGGGAATAATGAAGTTGTAGCTGTAGTTGAAAACATAACGTACAAAAGTACAACATAACTGGTCCAATTCCGGCTGCGCGAGCTCGTGTGAAACAATAAAAAGCAGGAACTGTTTGATTTAACTACTGTTTTCAGGGTCGAGAATGGAAATGTTGTTTCAAGCAAAGAGCGGCTTGTAAGCTTTAATGTTGTTGCACCTGAAAACCTTTTAAAAGTCTCACAGACTCTGGAAGTCTTTTTCCCCACAGTGGCTCCAACAGCGATCATATTTTCATAGCTATTAATATCACTATTACGACCTCGGTTATTGCTGTCTGTTGGCAGGAGGAGACACGGGTTCGGGTGGGGATACAGCTACCTTGATGAAAGGGGACCATTGTTGGCCTTCCTTGGACGCCGGCCTCCGGACCTCCTGAATTTCACCAGGAGCTGTTCGATCAATCACCTTCCTCATTACGGTCGAGCGCTGGCCTCAGCGCATCGCCGCTGCAGGACCGGTAATGACACCCGAAAGAAATAATACAGGATTTGGGGGTTTTGAGAAAGCGCCATCCCCAAGCACAGGCTGTCATTAATGCGGTAATGTTTTTCATACTTGGAAGGGAGAGATGTAGGGAGAGACCACATGCCTGCCCCAAACATGAGCGCCCCACTCCGATGTCAGGACGCGGCGCTTGCTCATCACATTCCGTCTGTTTGCGTTAACGGGGAATATGTTCTTACGCTCATGTTGCCTTATAATTCGGAGGAATTCTCACGATCTCATAACCCTCTTTCGCGAACACGCACATGGCGTCTCTAGTTCTCTCGAGCGCATTGACCAGGCGGTGAAAGGGAGACTTCTAAGGAAGCTTATCGCTTCAATCTATTGTCAAACACTGAGCTGTGCACGTCTCAATCTGTCGGTCGGTTGGTCCGTCACTTTCCTCCGGAGTGACGTGTCAAAAGCTTTAAGATGGATTGGATTGGGTGACATTTATACAGACAGTTGTGGTCCCCACGGGATCAACCCCGCTGAGACACTAAGCTAAGATGGTTAATGTAGTAAATATTACCTCCTAAAAGTCTGTTGAAATAGTCATTTTGATTATATTGTGCCTGATTCAACGTCGGGGGAATAAAGTCCTATTTGTGCTACATTCATTGAATAAAGATTTACTTTAACGATGTAAATCATTTTAAACCCACCGACGTGGGCACATGACCTTGGATGTTGAGTCTAAAACCAAATTCAATAGATTGAATTTTGTTTTCCCACCATGCTCAGTAGGAGCCAAAATGATTTTCTTTGCACCTCTGCAAACAAGCCACATAAAGGGGAACCGCATTTAAGGACGGAGCTGACAGACATCACAGACTCCCTGTAGTTCTTTGCGGTGTGCAACTCGAAGCTGAGCTAAAGAGTAAAGGTCAGGTCTCCGTTGAGGATACCTGCTAGAACTGTAGAAAAATAAACAGTGGAAATGGAAAAGGGGGGGGGGGGGGGCTCAAGTATGCAGGTCTGTGTCTCCCATCAGGTTTAAACAGCCGAGCTCTGAAGGTGAAGTGGCCTCTTCTCAGCTCCCCAAAGAGGGTCCGCTGTGGCGGAGCGTTTAAAGCCCCGTGATGCTGAGTAGACACGTGAGGAAATGACACATTCCTGACATTGTGACCTTTCCTCAGCTTGGTAGCTCCACGAGCACTGATGGACAAAAACTGTTAACAGACCCGACGAAGATGTCTTAGATTCTGGATGCAGTATTAAGCCTGATTAAACACCACGTTTTCTTTCTATACCTCTCAAACACCTCATTTGGAATTAAAAACTGGAATTAACTAACACTATTTCCTTAATTGGGTCCTTAAAGAAACGGATCTTTCTCTTATTTCGGGTATTAAATGTATTTCTTTTTTTTCTACAGTCACTTTCCAGCAGTGATCCTGTTTCTATACAAATACGGAACTGAGGGATTTGAAAAGTCAGACTGGAAAATTTGACATCTCCGCAGTCCCACACGGATGCTCACAGGGAACATCAGGGGTCGCAACGATTTAAATGATCTCCAAAGCTCAGGTGATGTGGAACTACTTGAGGAGGAAGTGGTTAGAAAGTAGAAAAGAAGAACTGTCCACGGACAATGCAGACTGTGAGTCACTTGAATAAATAAGCATTCGCTGATAGAATGAATACAAAGATTCTTTTAACACTTGTGTTTTCACATCTCAGACCCGGCAACATTCCAGAGTCCAGATGAGAACCGTCAGAACCATCACTCACACACACACTCACACACACAAATATACCGCAAAGCTTGGCTTTGTAAATGCAGCTGTGTGGTCAAATATCCACACCTACGCACACTGCTGCTCGGACTAAACTGTCTCTGAGAAACTTAACTCCAGTGGATCAGTGAGACTTCTGACGAGTAGGTTGAGTTTTAATTTCCTCAACGACGCTTCTAAACAGTGGAATCGTGGAAAGGAGACGTTGACCAAAATGTTTTATTTCCTTGCATCAAGTAGAAGACCTCCCACCATATCAGTGATCTTCCACACTGTGAAATATGTTGCCTATGAATAAAGATATAAAAATACTTTCATTCCAGATGTATGAAGACTCCCTGAGCTCCTTTAATGCTCCTGTGACTCTTCCCCTGCAAGTGCTCTCAGCTCGTCCTCGGGAACGTCTCTGGTGACCTACATTCCACAAAAACCCACCGCGATCAGACCTTTTTTTTTTTTTTTTCTGGTTGCCGTGGGAGGCTCTGACGTTTGCTCTGAATGCTAAAGTGGAAAGTGGATTTAACGGCGTAATCCAGTCTCTTGCTGACATGGTGCAAAGGACGACTTTGACATCTGTTAGCTGGCAGCTCTGGCTAGTTTGTCACCTCACTCTCCAAGCTTAACCATGCGCGTGCTGTCTTACTGCGTGTGGCTCCTACATGAGATGTACGTAATAACCTGTATCACAATGCGGCTACACAGACATCAGTAGAAGTATCAATTCATTGTTTTTTTTTTGTTTTTTTGTCACCGGGTTTGTGGATAATAATAAAGAGACCGGGCATCATTGCATTCGCAAGCTTTACGGCAAACAGAATCAAAGTATCATCTGAAGGCTTTTCATTAAAACCCTGTTAAGTCCCATTGCACAATGAGCTGGATGGAATTATCCCTTGCAATAGCATTATTAAAAACTGTGGCCACATTATTGGGAATAATTATATCAAAACCCTTAAACTTTGTAAAATGGAAAGCTCCAAATCGGCTTCTAGTTGTTTTTTTATTTGGATCTCATTTACAGACATTCTAATGTGTGATTAGATTAGAAAAGGCCAAAGGATATATAATAACCGCCACGTGCATTGTGCAACTAAGCGTCCTAAGAAAGAATGAAACTAGTCATTATTTGCTTGTCGGGAAGTCTCAGGTTGTTTCAACCATTTTAACAAATGAAGCTCAGGCGAAAATTGAGCCAGGAAGACCGGACAGGTTGTGCCGTCCCCTGGTGGCCTCCTCTCGCCCTGCGGGCGCACGGCCAGCTGATTGGGGGCGGGCGGGGTCGGGTAGCACCCGCCAACCAGACGCGGGCGCCGTTACCGGAATTCCAATTGCATCGGTGCTGGCAAGCGTGAAAAACGGTTCTCCTCTCTCTTGCTGTCAGTTGTCATTTCAGCACGCACCAAAGGCGACCCGCCACCACCCGCCGCCACCACCCGCCGCCCCCACCCGACACCTCCAATCTACAGCAGAACCTGGCATATCAGGAGATTGGAGCAACTTATTCTCTACCACCACCAGTGTCTGGACTCCCACAGGGGGGGAAATGCCTCATCTCGGCATCCCGGCCCGGTGGTCTATCCTGCGGCAGGATGGAGTCCGAGCCCCAAACAATATTGCACTATGAATATTTATGCCTGTTATAATAAAGCATTGTTCAAATTTCAACTACTCTCCGGATTGAAATGGCCTTACGGTATAATTTTTCTGGGAAAGGCAGTCTGGAAGCCATCAGAGAGAAAAACAGACCTATAAATATATATATACAAACCAAACTAATGATTTACGTATACACACAGAAGCGCAGCTGGATTTGGCATGGCACTAGCACAATGTTTGCTACCAGAGACTGATTTTGGCCGCGACCCGGTGCCAATCGGCCTAATGATAGTGTGCCTCGGGAGTCAGTTTGTGCTATGAGGTAACATGATGAATGAGAGGCATCCAGTTTAGTATATAGTTTGTTCTGCAAGCACAGATTAATAGGAGGAAAGTTTTGCACACATCGATGAGGTACACTATCTTTCTGGGGAAAAAAGGTTTCACTGCCAAGTCACAGAGTCAGTTGGCACTAACGTCTTGTCTTTCCTGTTTTACAATGCGCTTCATCTCTTAATCGTCGCCGTAAATGGCAAAAAACTAATTCTTCACGTTTTATAAAAGCTGAAAATATGCATCCTAATTATACAAATCTGTGTAATAATTGATAAATGTTTGAATGTATAGTATCAATATAGCTGTCCAAAAATCAATGGATGAATAAATAAACAAGGTCAAACTTGGGGGGACAACAGCTTGCATTGCAGAGATGTGTAAATCATATCAGCCACTCACCACTTCTCTCCTCCAGCAGCAATGTGCTGCTGAACAGTGTATCCAAACTGGGCTTGTTTGGGGCCTTTGATGATCCTGAAGTTCTTTGTGTCGATATTGAAGCAGTCATGGAAGCCTTGAAATAGACAAAGACATTTTTAATCAGGAGATGCCTTCAATGGCCCGATATCACCCAGTTCTATAGCATTGGTTTAATCTATCCAAAGCATGTAGTATTAAGTGGCCCTTGGTGATAGATCAGCTTCATGTCTGTGATGGAAAAAACATTTATATTAACACTGATTAGACCTCAACATCTGGCCAAAGTGTAACAAACCGCTCAGTCATCATTAAAATAATCTTTACCCGGTCTCTCGTGTCTCAGGTCTAAATATAGACTTTCCTCATCAAGGAAACCAATACTAATCTTACAGGTGTTGCAGAGCAGTTGAGCCGTCTTTGGCATCCTTCTATCGGATACACTATCAGCAGATCCAGAGGGATTAGCGTAGCTTCAACGTGAACCCAATGTTTTTCTGCCATAAGAAGTTTTCTCACATAAAACATATCATAGGCCTGAATCTCTCGCAAGAAAGATGGAAAAACCTCTGATTTACATTTCAGAGGTGAAGCTGCTGACGAGGCTAAATATTAATAAATATGATAAAATATTCCCCAAAAAACTGCACCATCAGTGCCTAATATGTTGAAAATGCCCCGTGCCTTTTGCTGAGCCACGTCCACCACTTTACCTTCTGCAAACCAGGTAGGTCTTTATTTACTGTGACAACAGGGGCAATAATAAGATTGGTAATTGCAGTGATATTCCCGACTAAGAGGGTAAAAAGTTAAAGCTGCTGTTGGACCCCATCAAAGCCAAATCTGTTTTCCAGATCAAGTACTTCAATTTCTCTCACATCTTTTGATAGCTTACCAGGTGGCAGAGAAAGAGCAGCGAACAGTCTGTTTTCAATTAGAAAACCAATCTCAGAAGGTATTTTCTTTTCAGATGTTGCCTGTCACCAAGTTACCCAGTACGGCTCATTAACTGTGTGTCAGGGTGTTATTGGGCTTCTACATTTCCATCAAAGGAGGAGGACTCGGAGGTGATGAGGTTTGCATTCTGGCGCAAGGGGGGAATGGAAAACGACGTAACCGTCTACCACTCTGACTTCCTCCTTCAATCCATCTCCCTCCCTTCATCTGTCTTCCACTTAATCCCCTGCTGATTTCTGTCCCACCAGTTGCCAGACGTGTGGCGGGTGTACGTGTTGACCAGTGCTGCCCCGTTGACGTGTCAGCTACTGTGTGGTCGAGGATCACGTGGACCGTTACACAAGGGCTCGCTGATACCCGAAACACCCAAATGTACGAACTTAGCTCGGGAGCTTTATTCACTTCAGAGCAAAACGAAAATGCACGTTGAAAGTAAAGTGAGAGGGCAAGTTAAGCGGAATAAGGCGCTCTCTCACACGCATGAAGCCGCACACAGGCCCCTTCTTTGAACTCCGCCGACGTCTGGTCTGCACACTGCGGGGGCTTATTCAATCCCTCGCGCCTCACGCTAAACGACCCCACTCCCCGCTCACCCTCCGCCGCCTCGGAGGCCCCGGGGGTCACGTCGAGTAAAGTCGTGAGAGAGCGCCGTTAAACGTAAACAGCCAGGTGAAGGGAGCGCTCAACAAAGATGGAAAACCTGTAAAAGTCAAATTAACCGTCGGCAGAGGACAGCTGAGGTCAAATTCAAGATGGCTGAGCGAGCGGTTCTCTCGATGTCATTCAAAAGAGAACATCTTCATTATTTTTTCATTGCCAGTTATTAAGCCGACTTGACGCACCTAATGAGCCACAGGTATGCCGTTTTGCAGGATAGAATGTTTCATAAAATAAACAATAATGAAAGATAATCCAGCTATTACTTAAATTTATGGAGAGGAAAACAGTTTGAGTCTCTTAATATAATTACTGTAGAATTTTTGTTTGCCAGTACCCCTGTTAATTGTGAGTAAAGCATCTGTTTTCACTTGTATCACAGTTTTTCTCATCTTTATTGCCAAGATAAATGGAGGAACCCACGTTACCCACATTACATCACAGATGAAGTGAAGGACTCGCTGTCTTCTCAGACGTGACAATGTGCACCAGTCTGCCATTAAGCCAGCTACTGCTTTTAACCCGCCTCAGAGGAGCCGCTAGATATAAACACATCTTTGGCTTTCTAATGAAATCTAAATTAAACACTTCGATAGATGAAGTCGTGTGGTTGTTTTTCTTGCCAGTTCATTGTCAATGTGTTGGTTTGGAGCCGAAAAAGCTTATTGTGTAACAGGTTGTGGTTTGGCTCCATGCAACGAGATTTAGCATTGGAGGCTTCTTAAGATGCCTGTTTGCTTCAAAGGAATCTTTATTCATTCTATCGACATTTTGTGAGCGTTTTTCAATAAGGGAGAAATCATAAACACTTCACCGCATCAATTTGTGCCAGCCGAGATAAATTTGCATCAGATCACATTTTTCCATGGAAGTGATGCAAAATTAGTATATATAATGTGTAAAATGGGACCACTGGCCACTTCCTATCCACCTGCATACGGACCACAGAGCAAAGCACTTTGCTCTCAACCATCTCAACTGTCCACCAAAATGTTAATACCTCACAAAGTATCCGGTCTCAGACAATATCAGCCTCTCGTCTGATGATTACTAATGTTAGATTCCTTTTTTCTAGATTTATAACAGGCCTTTGATATTTGTTTTTCACAAGTTGAGCAGCTCTGTTCCTCCAACCGAAATGTGAACTTTTCTTTGTCTCTTTGATTTTGAACATTTCATCGGGTTGTCCATACAAATAGTAAACAAAATATCTACTTCCACTGTTCTCCCGTATCTGTGAGACAGTTTTAAAAACACGATTCTACCACAGGAATGAACGTGCGTCATTCATTTCTGCAGTATATCACACTTTGATTGGCGCAACTATAGACTATGTGTTCTGCTACATGAAAACCTCCATTAAAATAAATGGCCATCGCTGCCATGCAGACTCGTGTAAATATTGACACATTCTCCACATTGCTCATTTCCTGTTGTATGAAGGGCTCACATGTTCAGCTGGTGTTTGATCCAGACCGCACACATCCGCCTGAACTTTCTGTTTATGGAGACACATACAAGGCGTGAGTGGAGATAGATTGTTTGGAACAGACAGGTGGGTGAAAATAAATACAAATCAGTAGGTAACTCTTGCGCTGCGGCATAAATCATTTCGTGGATGACAGTCAGAGGGTTCGCATCCTTTTGAAGTCCATCTTTGTTCAATGTTCAAACAGTTCTGGTAGCAGAATCAATGCTTGGATGACGTTTAATCTTTTTAAATAAATGTCCCAAAATGAAATCACAGAGAGGCTGAAGTCTGACCAAGAAATGAGAAGGTGATTTTGGAAAGTGTCGGGGCGAAAGCTTGAGAACGGACGTGATCCACTTTCCATTTCGGGCTTCTAATGTAGCGGAGTAATTTTTTCATTCACGGCAATATCAGCGGCTTCCAACGCGAGGTCACAGAGTCTCGCTGGGTTTCATGCGGCCACACAAACAAACCTCAGGCCGGTGTGGCTGCGGCGCGACCCGTATTAGTCCGCTTCTGCCTCTGGCCCAACACCAGGCTGCAGGAGCTCCACCACAGACACCGCGGTCATGCTCTTATCGGACAGCCACGGAGCCGACGTTTCACAGGTTGGCATGGTGTGGACTTATGAAATGACACGGTGCACTACGGTGACGCTGCGTCACTGCATCGGATTGAGAACGCCACATTAAATCCGTCTGAAAAGCGACCGAGTGTACTGTTTTTTCTATTGATCCATTCCATTCTACAATGATTTCCTCTGGAAAGATATTTCGCGCCTGACAATTTTGGCACCTCACATCACATCCGCCATGACGCCAATGTAAATACCCCAGGATGCACGGGGTATTAAACCAGATGTTCCCAATACACAGCAGCCAACTGGGCACTGGTTAACGATCCGTTGACCCTTTGAGCCCCGCCGCCCCCCCCCGGGGATACAAATAAAGTCTCTGGGGCACTGCAATATGAGATGTGCACCGGCAGCTGTCACACACGACCGCATGACAGCATTGAGGAGGACATGAGCAGAGAATTAGCAAGCGTCACAGAAATAACACGACGAACATCGACCAGCTGAAACACTAAAACAACAGACCATAGAAGTGGCAGAACTGCTGCTACTGATGAACGAGTACATATTTTTGCACAGTAATTCAATTTCTAATTCAATTTCTTTGGGTAGTAGAGGTAAAGCGCTTATCTGGGATTGCAGGAGGCTTCGTCATCAAGGTTTAATTTGTGTAAAAAAAATACCCATTCAATTAGGACATTTTAATTAAATGTCTATTAAAATAATTCAGAACACCTTCGACAAAGATTAAGTCAAGAGTTTGAAAAACGAATCAAGCTTTTGTGTTTTCAGAGGAACACATGAAAAAAAAGATCACTCCTTATTAGACTTGAGAGGTATTTTGGCGGCTGGTTTTGTGTTGTGCACATTTACACTGTGGTTTAGTCCCACTACCACCAAGAACCACATTCACAGCAGCAACAGCCTTCTTCTTTAGTCTTCCAAGACAAACCGAATGCTCCAAACAACTTAGATTTATGTCTAAGCGGTTAAGCCCTCTGGCGGCCGAAGGATGATTCGTGTCTTCGGTGAATAGCAAAGCAGGAGGCTGGGTGACATCATTACTGAGCCACAACGTCTGCGCAGGGAAGACGTCAAGAAGGTTGACGCTATCGACAACACTTTGGACAAACTGAAAATAACCGATAATTCGCCCACAAGTAATCTGATGACAACTGACTTACAAAGCAATCCTTCCCTCGCCCGAACCAAACCCAACCCAAACTTTACCATTACATCGTCCTAGCATGAAACTACGGTTTGCAATCATTGATGGAATAACAGATACGTTTGATCATCCGATTGGAAAACACCTAAATGTGTCCACCTATAGGGAAACCAACAAGGTATTTAGTCAATATCCGAGGACTTCTCAGCAAATAATCATCCTCCACCTGCCCAGCATGGAGCTGCACCGGAGAAGACAATGGAGCAGCTAAACAGCCTTTTACAGATTTTACAAATCTAGAATAAATATTTAAAATACAATTTTTAATTCCAGTGTTGCTTCATGTTAGCCATTGCGACTGTGTGGAGCGATTTTATGTAATGTCTGAATGTCTGTCAGATAATTAATCTGATCTCCAGTGGCCAAAAACTGTAAATGCAGCTAAATTAAGGTGGCTTTAAGGTGGGTGACGTTCAGGCAGATTCCTCCTCTGGCTTCAGTTAACTCAGTGGTGGAACAGAGCTGAGCACGGCTCATACAGCCTCCTGAACGATGTGTAATTGCTACCATGCAACCAGAGGTTTGACCGTGAAAATAAAGCGCAAAGACTCGTTTTTTTAGTATGTCAGTAATTGATTAGCATTGTCACTTTCAGTGCGCTCTTCACCTTCTGCATCGATATGGAAGTCATGCTGCACACCCTTCACCACGGCTTCATCATCCTGCGGAGTGACAAATGTGGAGGTCCAGTAAAATGAGTATACATTAAAAAATGAACTCTTAGCGGGTCTTATGAGGACAAATCGGGAATGTATTCCATAAAGAGAATGTTCTATCAGGGGAAAAAATGCTGCATCTTTACGTCAAACAGCAGTTTCTTGAGGCTGTTTAGACGTGTCCTCCGTATGAGACGGAACCAACTCAAAATGACCTGGATGGGATCATTGACCCATAGGTTCAAGGATTCCACAAACACCAGACAAAAATGCATGGGGCTGCCAAACATCTCCCACCACAGCGAGAGCATCAAGTCTTTCTCTACAGACTCCATCTACGAGGTCGCTGGGGCGTCAGTCCAAAACTTGTTTCCAACAAATTCCGAAATCAAAAGCAAATATTTACAATAGAGGATTTTTCCAAACGATTAATCAGCTTCTCCTTCTTTAACAAATTCAAGACTCGTTGCCCTTCGTTTTGACCTTTAGGATGAAGCAGCGTTGCAGAGATGTGGTGAATAATGCTTCGTTGTTGAGGCAGCTGTACAGCTACGCTCACAACATGCACACCACTCTATGGAAATGTTGGCCGGCACACAGTGTGTTTAAAAAGTGTGGTTACGGTCCGCAGTAAGCTGAGATAAACCATATAGAGCTCTCTGCATCAGTTGCTCAATGTATTACAGTAAATGAATGGCTGCAGCTGGTTAGACAAGGCTTGAAAAATACTTTTGGGTGCCTTTCATTAATGATTTATCCCCCTCTTATTGTCTAAATGTGTCACTGGTATTTTCATTGGTAATTGACCAATGTTCTGGCTGAGCACCAACAACGCTGCAACTCAGTCGCTGGCAACTTCAAAGACAGCATCAACTTTCATTTGAGAGAACAAGCCTGCCTCCAAAGAGCCACATAGCACCTCTGTGGACCCGTGGGGGCCGAAAAAGCCTTCAGTAAAGCCACTGAGCTCTGCTCTTACCGTGACCCTGAGGTCAAGATGCCAGGTGATGATGTCATTCGCACAGGCGGCTATTCACTCACAGAAGATATTCAGATATCACTGTTCCTTCGAGAGCAGAATATATGTGCACATAAAAACCCTTTAAAAAGCAACAGTCTCAAAGTTTCCAGTTACTGTTGGAACAGGTCAAAGCATAACCAACAATTAGAGAGCCATTATTAAACTGCAAAGAGGTACAGAGGGTCTGATTCCCACACCAGCACATAAGGGATGCATTCAGTGAGCACACTGTTAAAAAACAACAACACACGCACCCACCCACATGCACACATGCTCGTTTCACTCACCTATCATCTGGCTGCAGATCCAGAGCAGCAGGAAGCAGAAGTACTCCATATGTTTGCCGGAGCAAGGAGACCTAGTGGTGGGCACGGTTACAGTTCCCACTGTGATTGACTCAGAGTCTAAGTTAAAGTGCTGCCTGTATCTTGGGGAGGTAGGAGGAGACTGTGGAAGGAGAAGAAGGAGGTCCACTGTGACACCGCAGGGAGGAGAACTGAGAGTCTCTCATGGACTCAACTCAGTTGGACTGGGTCAATACTCCCCAGAGGCTCATCCTTTAGGTAGCGATCTTTGTGCGGTGTGCTCTTCCGTCGGGGGGAAAAGTAACGACGTTTATTCGAGCACTGCACCACAACCTGGACGTGCTTGTATTTTACTTGAGTATTTACATTTCATGCTTATTTCTACTTCAACTATCTCACATTGGCACCGCATTAAAAATCCGCACACCTTGATTGCTGTAACTTTCCTAACAAACCCAAAGCATCTTCTTACAGACAGCAGCTATGTATCACGCATGCCGTCATCGTGGCACGACCACAAACAAACCGATGTTTTAACAGTGGAACACAAATGAGGGGTTTGTAGGTTACCTCATAGCCGTGCAGCTGAACCAGTCCTAGAGTTTATAATGATCTCCTTTATGGAAAAATGTTTATCTACGTTAGCTATCCAATTTGTGGTTACCTTACAGATCTCCGATTCAATACTTTATGCACATTTTTCTAAACCCTGGCCTTATAACATGTATAATTAAAAAACTACCAGGTCGATGTGAAACCTCATTGCAGAAGCCAAGAAGTGAGGCGTGCAGGGAGGATTGAATGGAGGGTTTAGGGAGAAGAAATGAGTACTGTAGGAAATAGGTGTCCTGTACACCTCTCAGCGCGTGCAGTATCCGGAGCAGACAAGCGGTCAAACAGCCAATTTGTGTCTGTGAAAGTCATCATGGAGATAAAACCACGTCACACGTCCACATCCGATATCCATCCTGAGTGGCTGTCCACCTGGAAATCCTTCAGACCGATGAACACACGTCTTTGGCTCCAACAGACACTTCCTCTCGGTTTGCAATGACAGCCCTCGTTTCTTCCCCCTTTTTAATACGGACCGACCACAGATCACACAAATCAAGTCGAGGTTTGCGCTTGCAAAACACAGGAAAAATGCCTCAGGAAAAACAAAAGGAATCGAGACTTGCTTTCATCAAGGACGCTTAAAAGCTCATTGTCTTCTTTGACACTCCGACCATGTTGACTGGTGGCCCCGTTTCACTTTAAAGTCAAGGAATGAAGCCGATTACTTACTGCTGGTAACTGGCAATTTCCACATAGTGCGGCGGATGTAAATGTCAACGGTCAGGGTTCTTTAAATGAGTTACTGCAGTCGTTGCGTGAAAGTAAGTGATACTCGATGGTTGGAAACATTACAAATGTCTGCATTTCATCCTGATGACTTTACCATGAAATCATCAGCGTGCACTTATGTTGTGTTCTCTGCAGACTCTGTGTTATCAAGCAAAAGAAATTCAAAAGGATTTACAAAATCACACACAAATAGTGTTTTGCTCGTGCAAGACGATGCAACAGAATGAAACATTCCCAAACTGGAGGGGAAGTTAAGAAGTTTGGAACCGGGGTTTGGAAACTTGCTCACGAACATGGGAGGTTTCATAACAAGGATTGCTGTCTACAGTAAAGTGGGTACAAACTCAACGCTTTAGAATACCCCACTGGCTGCTTGAGACAAACCTACAATTACGATCCTGCTCTCTGAATGGAGGCAGTGTGCTGCTGCACTGACGGTCTCAGGTTCTATTTGTCAGTTTTTCACCACCAATTGCTCTCGATAATCTGCTTCTAACCTTGATACGTCATGTAGATATTTAGAGTCAAGGGGAACCAGAGGTGATCCAAACACGTGTGAAAAATTGGGCTTTTAAAATGCAGCCTGGACTGAACAGGAGCTGCGCTTGCCTCACCTTCTCAGGGTCCTCTCCAACACCAGACCACAACTGCAAGCAATTACCTCCAACACCCTCGGATTGTCTGTCTGTGTGCGATATATGCAGTGTCCCCGCGGGCAGGAACGGGAGCTTCAGCCACACGCGAGAGAAGTCCTACGAGATTAAACATGAAGAGGCAAATAGCCAACCCACATCAAGGGATCAGAACAATGTGCGTGACTCATGTTGAGACCCTTCATAAGGTTGTCACGTTTGAGACCCCCGCGCCTGGTCTCACAGGCAACGCTTCTTTGCCTCTTGAGGCCGCGTTGAGCTCAACAGCCGGGACGGCTGATGCAGGCTTTTGGATTTAAAGTCAAGCCAATTTCCGAAGCTGTATTTTGAAATCTGACTTTTTCCAGTTTGATCCAGTTCTTTTGACATTTTTCGTTCATGACATCTGCATTACATGTTGACACGTCGGGACAGAAAATGTTTCACCCTTTATTCTTTCTAAATCAATTTCTTCAAGTTGCATTACTTCATTAATTTACGACGACTAGAAGGTGAGCCTCCACCATGTTGAAAGTGGCGTCTCTATGCCCAAAGTCCCATATCCTGTCAGTCCTCCGACTGCCTCGTGTATTTCTTGGAAGTCGTTCTTAAAACATTCAACAGTTCATGAGGCTTATTACCCGTGGAGATGCTACTTTCCACAAATCACAGCCAAGTAAGGCAAGGGCAGGATGAAACAATGAATGGTTTTTAAAGCAATGGAGCACACACTCACGGTCCCCCAAGGAGCTTTCTGAAAACATGCTGCTGTTCCAGGCCCCGTCCCGTCGGCAGGGAGAGATTACTGCACAGTTCCGAGTTGCCCTGCTGAAAGCATTAACCTGGAGGAAGGGTCGGTAGGTCATCGTCGGGGAGCTCTCGGTCCGGCACCGTGTGCTGCAGAATACGGGGACATGATGTTTTGTTTCACCAAACGTATGACACCGAAGCCTTGAGTGATGGAATGCCGGCCAAGAGGGATTCAGTGGTGTTTCAGGCTGCCATGCAGAAAGCCTTCACTTTACAGAATGCAGCCTGTATGCTTTTTATTTTTTCTTACGGTCACGGAGTATTTTGAAAACCCTCTTTGCTGGTACCATCTGTTGTGTGGAGGAATGTGACTTAGGAAGTTCGCTCTGTTGTAAGAAAGTGATCCGTAAACTACTACAACTAGAAATGATGCTTTAAAGAGTAAATAAACAAAGTTCTCTTTCTGTGACTGTAAATCTGACACCAGCTTTCCTTTGCTTGTTCTATCTTTGTTCTTCGGATGTTTCCTCGAAATGGCGTGTAGAATAAACAGTCTATCATACATGTAAACACCACCAGAAATCTACTGTCTGGCTTTAAGCTTCAATGACTGTCCATCTGGGAATACATAATGAATCCCACATATCACTATGTGAAAGGTACTGTGGCATTTCTGGGAACTATACATCTATGCTCCGCTTATGTTCACTTTAGGGGTAAATACGCAGCGCTGAATAGAAGACCGAGAACCAACTTTAATCATTTATTTTCCTTGCCCAAAGTGAAGATGCCCTAAAATGCTTTTTAAAAGAAAGACGAAAGTTACCATTTAAGACAGGGCACAAATAGGTGGGCACAGTTCATGAATTTATGGCCAAATCTCCAGCATTGAGAACAGTTAAATATGATTTCTCTCCCTTTATCCCACGCTGCTGTAAATCCTTTTTATTTCCCCTGTAGGATTATCTTATTTTACAAACACTGAATCAAATTGTTCTATAAAATCTAAACAGAGGTTAGGCTTTGCCCAGCAGTTTGCAATTTCCTTCTTACTCACACACCGATGGCAGCAAGTTACCATGCAGGACACTGGCCGAACCACAGGAAAAATCTGGGGTTTAATTCCAAAGGAGTCTGTAATATCTGGACAAGAGGAAGCGGGTATTAAACGGTCAACCGTGATATTAGAGGAGTCTTCCCTCTACCTGCTGAGCCGTGGCCGCCTCACGTGGAAGACATGCTCGACTTGAGGAAGACATGAGGAATTAATGCAAAAACTTGCAGCTCTTTTCTTGCAGCAGTTTTTTTTTCTACTATACTTAAGATACTAATAGATACTTGTATAAGACTATTTTTTAGGACCTAACAAAAATAAACCCATTAGCACGAGTCAGTATTTGTTGTACTATATTAGCTATAATGACAGATTTCTCAACCTATAAACTTTCTTGCCGTCATTATTAACCAGCTACACAGTTCTCAGGGATTTAATTAATTGAATGTCGACTTATTGGACAAAACTTAATTGTTTCTTCTTGATTTGCCATTGAAAGTCTGGTGGTGTCCGAAACACAAACGTCCCCACAGCACTTATGCTGATGACAGTGTAGCTGAAGTAGAGAAGCTTTGATTGAAGTATCCACGGCACAGTGCTGTTAACCACACAATTCACTTCTGCGTTGTTTGCAACAATTGCAATCTCTACCCCAAAGAATAAATAATTTACTCACAATCACAGAACCGCATGGCTAGTTTAATGCCTGTGAACGGCTGTGTACTCAGAATGAATGTATTAAAGAGCCGCGTACATAGAACGGGCGACGTTAATGTTTCTGCCTGAGCTTCTGTGAGTCATTCTAACTTTTCCAGATCTCTGGCAGAGCGTCGTGCAGGTTGAGTGGTGCCAGTAGCAATAGTGGGAAATAAACGAATGTGGAAACTAAAGCCGCACGCCACAAGATGGACGACAATGGAACGCCTCGAAGCTCACACATCCAGTTTCGGGGCAAAGCCACGTCTCTCCACACCCGGCTTAAATGCAAAGCCTCGCTCCCCACATGAGATATGTTCCATGGACGCAGTAATGCGCCATAAGTCAGGTCGGTGTTCTTTTCACTAGACTGCTCACGCATAATTGATACGAGATAGTCCTGAGTGTGAGACCGTCATTGACGTATCATTTACGATCAGCTCTTACACAAACCACGATTTTTAAAGTAGTGTTACTTTCCCGGACAAAATGAATTGCGGTCACACACCGCATTAAATCCAATCAAGCAACGCACAACTCAAAATGTCACAACGTCCTGTGGTCTCACATAAGCGCCTTCCTCCGTCATGTCTTCATCATGGTGGTGAGCACACACACTCTGGTTTAGTTACGTTTGCA